GTAGAGTAGTGGCTTATGGGTCTCGACAGTTGAAGACTCACGAGCTTAATTACCCTATTCATGATTTAAAATTAGCGGCAGTCGTATTTGTCTTGAAGTGTTGGAGACACTACTTGTATGGTGAAAGGTTTGAAGTTTTTTCAGACCACAAAAGTCTCAAGTACCTTTTCTCCCAAAAGGACTTGAACAACAGACAGAGAAGATGGGTTGAGTTCTTGGAGGACTACAATTTTGACTTGCAGTATCATCCGGGCAAAGCAAATGTGGTAGCAGATGCCTTAAGCAAGAAATCTCGTGGAACTTTAGCCAGTTTGGCTCAACCTACTTTTGTCAGACGAGTGATTGAGTCGCAGAGACATGATCCGGATTTGGATGCCATTCACACTTTGATCTCCAGTGGTGAGACAGTGAAGGATTGGATTTTGCATGTAGATGGAGGTTTACGGTTCAGAGGTTTGTTGGTTGTTCCCACTATTTGTCGCGAGGACGTCCTACAGGAGTTTCACATTTCCCGCTTTGCAGTTCATCAAGGTGGTACCAAAATGTATCACAATTTGAGACATCAGTATTGGTGAAACGGGATAAAGAAAGATGTTGCACAGTTTGTGGCTAAATGCCTTACCTGTCAACAGGTGAAGGCTGAACATCAGAGACCGACTAGTTTGTTGCAACCATTACCTGCAGCGCAGTGGAAATGAGAACATATTGCTATAGATTTTGTGACAAGTCTTCCAAGGTCACGGAGGGGTAATGAAACCGTATGGGTCATCGTTGACAGGTTGACCAAGACGGCCCACTTTTTGCCTATTAAGGTAACAGATGATGCAGAGAAGTTTGGTGTACTTTACGTGAAGAAGATTGTAAGGTTGCATGGAGTTCTAGTAACCATTGTCTCAGATAGGGATGCCAAGTTCACTTCGAAGTTCTGAGAAGGACTTCAAGCAGCGTTTTGTTCAGTGTTGCATCTTAGTATAGCATTCCATCCACAAACAGACGCCCAGTCGGAGCGTACTATCCAGATCTTGGAGGATATGCTTCAGGCATGTGTGCTTGACTTGGGTGATAGTTGGGAAGATTATCTACCGCTTATTGAGTTTGCCTACAACAACAGTTATTAGGCGAGTATCCAGATGGCTCCATTTGAGGCGTTGTATGGTAGACTTTGTAGTTCTCCTATTTATTGGACTGAGGTGGGTAAGACCGCCGCCTTAGGACCCGACATAGTACTCGAGACTATTGAGAAGATTAAGCTGATCAGACAGAGGTTACTTATAGCTCAAAGCTGACAGAAGAATTATGCGAATAAGCGGAGACGGCCGTTATCCTTTGAGGTGGGAGACCACGTTTTTCTACGGGTTTTTCCACGGAAAGGATTGATGAGATTTGGGAAAAGTGGCAAGTTATCGTCACGATTCATTGGACCGTTTGAAATTTTTGACCGAGTAGGAGAGGTTGCTTACAGACTTGGTTTGCCACCACAATTGGACAGGGTCCACAATATTTTCCATGTATCGATGTTACGGAAGTACGAGCCAGATCCATCTCACATTTTGATTTTGGTTGATGTGGACATTGATGAGGATGTTTCCTACGAGGAGGGACCAATTCAGATCCTTGACACACAGCAGAAGGTGTTGAGGAACAAGACGATACCAATGGTGAAAGTTCTTTGGAGACACCACGGAGTTAAGAAGGCTACTTGGGAGCTCGAACAGGAGGTTCGCTCCAAGTACCCAGCTGTGATGCCCCCGAATTTCCGAATGCGGGTTGGCCAGGCCCACGCCCGAATACCCGAGGATATCAAAACAAATTGATAATAAACGAACACAGAGTACAAAAGAATAAAGAAGAATAAATAAAATGCTGACAAGAAACTAAAATGATAATCTAATAATAAACCTTATAATATATTTCCATTAATTAATAAACTCTTCTGATACAACTGATCCTCCAAAATACAACTCGGGAATCCATACTGTGTGGACCCCTAGAAAATTCAAACTAAACAAATGACAGTAACCTAAAACAGGAAACTGAATCATAAAGGAACTCCTATGTAGCATCGGAAGAATGAAGTAAACTGATCCCCGCTCAGCACGAACAACCTCTACTCGTGACGAACACCTGAAAAATAATGGTGGGTCAGGCCCACAAACAAGTTCTACTCTACTACAGTCCAAGCAAAGATCTGATACACGTATACATCCTAGTCAATCCAACAGTAACTAATAGTCCGTATATCTATATATATACACACTAAAGGAACCTCACTAGACTATAGGGTTGTCTCAACCTGAATAGTAGGCAACATGCAAAACGCACATATAGTGGGCATGAGTACCTAGACCTACCAGGGTACACAACTACACTATATCTAGCTACACATCCGTGGCGATATACGCGCCCTAACCATTGATCTTGAGACTCAAGCTCATATCATGGCACCATACTTATATATATATAATCTAGTAACCATCCTATCCAGTATAAATTAATCCTCCATAAGTCATTCAACTTGTTCAGCTCACCTGACTTGAATATAAGTAGGACATAACATTTTAGTTAATCCATTCCCTTATATAATAAATTAATCATCCATAAATCATTCAACTTGTTCAGCTGACCTGACTTAAATATAAGTAGGACTTAACATTTTAGTTAATCCATTCCCTTATATAAAATAGGTAGGACTTAACTAATAAGTTAATCCATCCCTAGAATGCCACCGTCCCATACCGGTGCATTAAACCACAAAATCCAACAATTGATGTAACAATTAAGGAAATACATCAAATATTCCATAAATAACTATGATAAATATGATATCAAGTTATCACGTAATAGGAAGGACTTATTATTTCTTTAAACTTTCTATATCATATGTCCTACATAAACTGAATCTTATATATGATGATATTTTATTATACCGTTAAATAAGGATTCTCCATATCCAATTCATCCTACACATTTAATCTCAATTGCTAAAATATTTTAAAAGATTAAATTCATTCGTTTGTTTAAAACATTCAAATAGCAAGCATTATTATGATTGAGTCTATTTAAATTTATTAAAACCCAAACCTAATCCCTATTTAATGTTCAGAAAACTTAGGCATGTTTCTACGTTCCATCATTCCACAGATATGAATAATATATAATTTAAACATGTAAAAATTCACATAAGAAATCAAATCAAAATCATGCATTTTATCAATTCATAACACAAGAACATATATGAATCAATTTCATAAAACTTATGTTCTAACGCAATTAAACATACATAATTATTTAATTTTATGTGTTTAATAAATTCTGGAATTTCCTAGGCATGTACAGAAACACGAATCAAAGGGAAAGAGATAGAAGAAGAACTTGCCTTAAACTTCCGGACTAAAAGTTAAACTTCTTCTTCCTGGATCTTTTCTCTAAAGGGTTTTCTCCTCATTCCTTCCTCTTTCTCCTTCTCTCTCTAACTCTCTCTCTCTAGAATATATTACGTGATATATTTTCACTCCTTTTTCAACATATAGTTGTGTATTTATAGGCTAAATAATAACCCTATTCATTTTTTCAATCCAAGTCAACTTAATAAAGAAAAATAAAAAAAATGAAAATATTAAAAAGGTAACTTAAAATATGTTACGTATATAATCTATGTATATCCTTATTAATTAAATAAAATATATACATTAGATTATTTATTAATACTAAAGTTACCATAATATTAAAAGGTAACTTAAAACATGTTACGTATATAATCTATCTATATCCTCATTAAATAAATAAAATATATACATCAGATTATTTATTTATACTAAAGTTACCATAATATTAAAAAAGGTAACTTAAAACATGTTACGTATAAAATATATGTATATCCTTATTATATAAATATATAAAATATATACATCAGATTATTTATTAATACTAAAGTTACTATAATATTAATAAATTACTTTCCTTTTTATATATATGTATATACATATATATCTATATATATACATATACAACTATCCATGGGTAATTATCCATACCCATCCAACCTCCTATCCAAGTAGTTCATGGGACCCAATTAGTTAGCCCATTACCACTAACCATAACCATAAAATAAAATAAAACAAAATATTTAATCATTTAATTTACAATTAATCAAATACATCATTTAAGCACACAATCTAATTAAACAAATAATACAAATAACATAAATAACACCTAGACAAAATACAAATAACACATAGATAAGTAGCCAATTAATCAAGTAACACTTAATTCAATTAAACACATAAACAATTAGTCAAATAATCAATTAAACAATTAAAAAAAATACAATAAAAATAAATAAATAAATACCGAGACTATCCTTTTAAAATTAGGGGTATTACACCAGCGTTGTTTTCTTCCTCAGTTATGTCTTGATTTCGGGGACGAAATCTTTTAAAGTTGGGGAGAATGTAATGTTTATCAGTATATATATAGGGTTAAGTGCACTAAACCCCCCTAAACTTTCTTCTCTTTTTCAATAAACCCCCTTGAACTTTAAGAAAGACATTTAACCCCCTAAATTATTCAATTTGTTGCAAAAAACAAATTCCGTTACTTAGCCGTCTCATATTTAACGCCAAGTGAAGGCATATGACCTTGGACAAAATTATAATCCCAAAGATACCCTTATGCGAATTACTTCCTCCAATTTCCACCTTGTCTTCATTCTCTCTCCTCTACCAGCTTCTTCTTCATCTTGTTGAGCCTTCTTCTACCCATCATTCGCCTTCAAAGCCTGCAACTTTGAATGATTATAATAGCCAACACCCAGAAAGCCAATACATATCCAAACAAATTAACCGGCGTCATGGTATCCTTAATCACTGACCACAAAAATGCAATCAACAACCAATATTTTACCACCCCAACCACATTAATAGTTAAAGCAGAGGTCTTCCCAACAAGCAAATACACAACCAAATTCAATGCAAATGCACAAAAAGAATTGGTCCCAAAAATCACAAAATCGATATTAAAATCCGACCGAGTCGCCACAACACCCAATTAAGGGGATTCAACGTCGTCCGGGGAGATGATGTAGGTGACGGAAGAACCAAGTGGCATGTCGAAGACTCGGAGTAGATGAAATTAGTGCGAGCTCGAGAGTCACGCATGGAGCGGGCGGCTTTATCATAGGCGAGAACGGCCTCTTCTACGGTGTCAAAGGTGCCCAGCCAATTCCTCTCTTTGGTTGAAGGGTCTCTTGTTTCTGCTGTATATCTTCCCCAAGGTCTCCGTCGAACACCCAGAAACCTGCATCTACTTGTTTCCTGCTGCTGTTGTGTTTGCTTCTTTTTGCTCTTGGGCACTGAATGATTCTTATTAATTAATTTCTAGCTGATCAGAGATCAATCGATGGATCTAGAGAGAGATCAAATTAATGAAAGAACTAGCTAGCTAATTAAGTTAGGAGCTGTAAAACTGAAAGATAGATAATACCCTTTGATGTGAGCAAGATCTGAATCATCACCAACTGAGTCGCCAAAATATCCAATTGGAGAAACACACCTTACAAATCACTTTTGGTCTCTCCATATACAGCAATCACAACCCCAATTATGATTGAAACCATGTTCGCCATTATTTCCGATTTGAAGCTATTTTTCTTGAAGAGAAGAGCTTGCGATCAGGGATGTACTAGCTTGTTGTAGAGGATGACAGTAAAGCTAATGAAGATCTAGATGGCCACATAGGTGTAGGATAAGTGATCTTGATCACGTCATTGGTAAAATGAAGGTGGGTTGACCGGGGGCACAGGATAAGCCGGGAAGGGCGTAGGATTAGAGGTATATACGTATACCAGATGAATATATATATATACACACATATAAATCTTCTCTTTTAGGGCTATTGTGGCTTCTCTAACAACATAAAACTCCTTAACGATGTCGTTCAAGTAAGGGTTAAAGGGTAATTTAGTTTTTTTGGTAACGGCTGGCTGACGGTTCTTCATTGAGTGCAACAAACTGATAGTTTAGGGGGTTTTTCTTAGTTCAAGGGGGTTTCTTGCATTCGGTTCATAGTTCAGGGGGGTTTAGTGCACTTAACCCTATATATATATATATATATATATATATAATTATTAAACATTACTTTTCTATTGTGGGACCCACTTCTGATATAAGGGTTATTACAGATCCATTTTATTTTCACTCAGCTCTCTCTCGGCCAGTTTGTTTCCTCTCTTTCGCTACCTCTGTATTTTCCTTTTCTTTTTTTCTTTTGCAACTTCAATCCTTGATTTCTTACTCATCTCTTGGAAATTTTGGATGCCGTTTGCGGCAAATTGAAGCCCACCACGAGGTCTTCAAGTCCATACCAGCAATTTCAGCTTTTGGCCATTCTAGGAAGTCCGAAAATTGAGACCCATTTTGAGGGTTTGAGGTAAAAATTGGGGCTTTTAGCTTAGATTGAGGTAGGGGTCTCTAACCCACATTTTCTTGTTCATTTGTGAGTTAATTTCATGTAATTGTTGTTAATTAGTCTAATTGATGATAATTATCTTAGAATGATTGTGTTGTAATGTATATAGTTCATGAAGTCCATATATATATATGCTGATTTGTGTTAAAAACATACTTAAATGTTGATTTTCCATGTTTATCGTGAAGTTCATGAATTCCATATATATATATATGCTGATTTGTGTTACAAGTATATATAAATGTTGATTTTTATATGCCTATCATGCTAGATCTCGATTGTATGAAAGCATATTGTAGTTTTACTTGAAAAATCTTGTGAATCATGCTATGTTAATTAAGTTTGAGTTAGTTATGGAATGATGAACTTGGACATGGCATGATGCATCTATGCACTAACATTAGGCATGAAATGGGATTAATGTGATTTGAAATGAAAAAGGGGAATTTTGGGAAATTTTTTTGATTAAAATGGTTTTAAGAAAACCAGGTTGTCGCGGGGTTACCAAAGGGCCGGTGTGTTAATATAGCCTAGACGGAACTAGGGAGATTGCCCTAGCGTAGTTGAGCTAACTGGATCCAAAATGACGCCGCGGGGCCTTCTCTCATGTCACTGCGGGGTCACCAAAAGACGGGTTATATTAACAGTTTGAAAGTGATGGATTTGAATGTTGAAAATGGGGAGCGACATCGGCATGCATTACATTTCATAGCATCATATTGTGTATGCTGAGATTGGATTTAATGTTGTACTTTCCCGACATAGTATGACCCCGATTCCTATTGTCCTATTCCTTGTTTGGATTCACGGGGACACAAGAGGTGTGTCTTAGGCACCACCTACTGAGCAATTTTTGCTCACCCCTTTTATTTAACATTTTTTTTTCAGGAAACGGGAAAGAAGTGGCTGATGACAATCTCCCGTAAGCTTGAAGAATATTAGGAGTTGTATTTTGTTATCTTTTATATCTTAGCCCATTTTTTTGGTATAGTCTCAAACTATGTAAAAGAGAATTTATTTTTGCAAATCATGGCCCCTGTAACATAACTAAGATCCTTGATTATTTTTGTTGTAAACTGAGACTATGTAAATGCTTAAGTTGAATAGGATGATGATAATGGGCTAACTTGGGGAGGTTGTTGATGTTGTGGTATTGGAAAATGTATTATATTTCTTTTGTATTGTGTGTTGGGGCAGGTTGGACAGGTCTTGAAAGGCCGTTGCATTTTTTTCATTTGAACATGTTGTTGTAGGATCACTTTTAGCGGAGGTCATGCCAAATTTTTGTTTTTAAATAGTTTCAATCTTGGGGTCGTTACAGTCATCCTGTCTTCTCTCATTTTTTTCGCCCATTTTTTAGCGAACGAAAATTTGTAAAGAAAGAAAGATGTCTTTTCATTTCTTTTTTTGTATCATCTCTGTCAAACAAATAAAATTCGTTTCTTCCTTTTTTTTTTTCTCTTCACTCCTCTTCTTTTCTTTCCACTGAGCATTAGGTAATATCACCAATTTCTCCAACCCTCTAGTGGGCCTTTTTCTTTTACGTTCTTTGATTTTCCCCTTTTATGTTACATCTACATTTTTTTCCCAACCAAATAAGTAATTTACAATTTCCTCTCACTATATTCTTTTAATTAATCTTCTTTTCCTTTCCCTCTCCCTTTCCCTTTCCCTCTGTTGTTTTTCCTCACTCCAAACAGTATAACATTATATGCTGGCCATCGTACGAGTTACGAGACCATGGTGTCCCTTGGGATAAAACTTGCAACACACTAACCGCGGTTAAGAGTTGGGGTAAAAACGTCAATTTAATGTCACATGAATTTCAACATCAGATGAACCGTCGGATGTGCATTCGTAAGAGACTAGCGGTGGGATCTAAATGTGGAGCGGTTCTCAAATTTCAAACTTGTTCGCAGCCCGCTCCTTTCAGAATCCAGAGAGATTGAGGAAAGAGAAACAAGAGAGAGAAAGGGAGAGAGACGAGAGAGAAAAAGGGAGAGAGAGAGAGGAGAGAGAAACAAGGGAGAGAGAGAGAGAAAGAAGCATTTCGGGAGTGTCTGGATCTAGAAACAACAGTAGGTGTCTGCGATTCTCTCTCTCGTACGAAGATGTCTGCTCGCCACGAGAAAGAGAAAGGAGGCGTTAATGTTCAGGTTCTTCTTCGTTGCAGGTACTGAACTTCCCCCTCCATCTTTCTCCCTATGCATATATATGTGTGTGTGTATATATATGTAGTCATGTGATTTGGTAGCGCTTTTGATTCTTTAGGCTGTGTTCCAAAAACCTAATTTTTGTCTATAAGAATGTTGTATTTCAGCTTCAGATTCGTTTTATATCTGTATACAGTAATATGGATTCTCTTATTTAGGTATTTTCAATCATTTCAGGCCGTTTAGCGAAGACGAGTTACGGAACAATGCCCCACAAGTGGTTACCTGCAATGACTACCAGAGAGAAGTCGCAGTATCTCAGAACATTGCAGGGAAGCACATAGATAGGGTTTTCACATTCGACAAGGTACTTGACCAGAAAAGACTTTTTTTTTTGTCCGATTTACTTAATTTGGCTTGCGAATTCAAGCTAATTAGTCTGTATTTCTTTATTTTGATTGCCTACGTTTGATATTCTTTGGTATTTCGTGTAATAGGGTTTATGTACACTTGGCATTTTGTTTCCGGTACAATGTTTTCTAATCGACAGTGTTTTTAATGGGCATTTTGTTTCTAGTACAATGTTTTCTAATGGGCATTAATGTATCTAAAAGATTCAGTGTCGTAGTGAGGATTCAGAGTTACAGGGATTAGCTGTGATTAAGTGGAGAGTTAATATCGTGTTCCATTAGTAAGATCAATTGTAAACACAAATTATGAGCCATTGGTGTCAGGCCCTTTCAGTATTTAAATAAAACATATCTGAAAATTGGAGATTGGAGATACTATATTCATAAAAAAAAGGGAATAAGGCAGCAGTTTCTGAATTCGTACGATGCGATGTTATAAGAATTAATAGCAAGATAGTAAGTCAATAATTATCGAGACAAGGAAATAATGCTTTTAGAATTGATTTTAAGCAAAACCTACACTCCATGTAAAACTTTTTGAGGAGTGAGCTTCAAGTGTTGAGCATCGATCAACATTGGGGCATTGCCTTCCAAACTTGTCTTCTGGCGAGCCTCAGGTTGCAATTCTCACTCAGTTTAAACACATTTTGTTGCCTTAAAAAAAAAACATAAAGCCTGAGGGATTTAGTATTGTGATGTTCACGGGGAACAACTATCTAAAATGGTTTGACCCCGATGAACTGCATTCTTCATAGTGTCAACCACATCCTCAGCCAAACCCCACATAACCACCACAAAGTAATCTCTCTTCCTCACCAAATCAGTTGAAGTTTATTTTCCTGGTAATGTTTTTGGTCAGACGAAATTGCCTCTTTATCTATATGTTTTTTATTTCTAATTTGTTTTCTTCCGAGTTAAAGGATATTGCTGATTTAATCATTTTTTATACTTGAGAGGCATACTAATTTTTCTTCTTTTTCAACCTTTATCACATTGTTCTTGAAAGGGACATTTTGGTATTTCTGGATTGCAGAAATTAATTGATTTAACTTTATCCATTTTGTTAATAATTAATATTTATTGGTGTGGTACAGTGAGTTTTTTTTTTTTTTTCCTGATATCTGCAGGTTTTTGGTCCTTCAGCCCAGCAAAAAGATCTTTATGAACAAGCAGTTATTCCCATTGTCCATGAAGTCTTAGAGGGTTTTAATTGCACCATTTTTGCATATGGCCAGACTGGTACTGGAAAAACTTACACCATGGAGGGTGAATGCAAGAGGTCGAAGGTACTGTATCATACAAGGTTATTCCATGTCAATGTTTAGTATGGTCATTGTTGATCTTTTATGGTGTCCACTTCCATGACAGAGTGGTCCTAATGGAGAGTTGCCCCCAGAAGCAGGCGTCATACCTAGAGCTGTGAAGCAAATTTTTGATACATTGGAGGGTCAAAATGCAGAATACAGTGTGAAAGTTACTTTCTTAGAATTGTATAATGAGGAGATCACTGATTTGCTTGCCCCTGAAGAATTATCTAGGGTTGTTGCTTTGGAGGACAAGCAGAAAAAGCAGTTGCCTCTTATGGAAGATGGGAAAGGTGGAGTTCTGGTTAGGGGTTTAGAGGAGGAAATTGTAACAAGTGCCAATGAGATTTTTACACTACTTGAAAGGGGCTCCGCAAAACGTCGAACTGCAGAAACCCTGTTAAACAAACAATCAAGGTCATATTTTTTTCAATTTTTACTTTTTATTTTTTATTAGAGTCAAATTGGATCTTTCTTTGATTATTAAGAGTTTGCTTTATATTTCAGTCGGTCACATTCTCTTTTTTCCATAACCATACACATCAAGGAAGCAACCCCAGAAGGGGAAGAACTTATCAAATGTGGCAAGTTAAATTTGGTTGATCTAGCCGGTTCAGAAAACATTTCTCGTTCTGGTGCTAGGGAGGTACTTCAATAGTTATTTTACCATTATAAGCTGAATATGTATGATGCCATGGTGATTATATTAGGAGTCATCAAACTCATTCTCAAGTAAAATTACTGTTTTTTTTTTGGCTGCTATAACTTGATTTTGTGTTAAATTTACACTTCTAATTTTTTTAGGGTCGTGCAAGAGAAGCGGGAGAGATCAATAAAAGTTTACTAACCCTTGGTCGGGTTATTAATGCTCTTGTGGAGCATCTTGGGCATATCCCCTATAGGTTAATTTTTTCCCGGTTCTTTAGTTATAATTTTGTTATTTTCAGCTTCTTTTTTATGATCAATTTTTCTGATTGAATTGCAAACTTTGAACTCAGGGATAGCAAGCTCACACGTTTACTTCGTGACTCATTGGGAGGAAGAACTAAGACATGCATTATTGCCACGGTGTCACCTGCTGTCCATTGTTTGGAGGAGACATTGAGTACATTGGATTATGCACACCGGGCAAAAAATATAAAAAATAAGCCTGAGGTTAGTTATTGTTGTGCGAGTAAATGGGCGTAGTATTTCATTAAATTTTTTGATTGAATTTCCTACTGCTTTTGCTCTATATCTCTTTATCTATTAATCTTTTGATATATAGGTTTAGCATTTCACTGCATATTGTTGTATACGATATGTACCCTTACCCTTCTATTCATATTTACTTTCTATCTGTCTACTCTTATTAGGTTCATTGGATGGCCTGCAAGTTTTCATCTTGAGCTCAGTAATGTCAATAAGGAATGCATGAAAACTGTTTAGATATTGTTCTGATTAGTGTTTTAGATTTTAGACATGACATTTCATTTACATTTTGATTGAAATTTTTTGATACATTGAAGCTAATGTTTTTTTCCCTGTCACTCTTGTTGTAATTATACAAGTCTAATAGTAATTATATTATTAGTTCCTCAGACTATCCATTTATGCTTGTAAATCACATGGTTTGTGGTCTGCATATGGCTGGTCCAGCAAGGAATGACTACTTTATGTACACAAAAAGACTTGAACATCAGTGGGTATCAAGGATTGTCATTTCTTGGTATGAAGAATGAAAATCAAAGTTTAAACTCAATAATTAAACTTTTTTAGTGCAGAATGAACTCTGAATGAAAAGTTTTTTCAAAATGAATGGACAATGTTGCTAGCAATTTTCAGATCATGGTTCAATAATCCTTTAAAACTTAAAAATAAGCCGTCTATTGATATGTGATCTTTCTGTTTGCGGGGATCACTTCTTCAATGGTCTAAATGCTTGGTTTACTTCATTTAGATTTTACGCTTAAATTTAGTTTGGAATATCATTCATTTGTTGTTACGCTTCTTTGCAGGTGAATCAAAAAATGATGAAATCAACTCTTATCAAAGATCTTTATGGTGAAATTGAACGACTTAAGGCAGGTAAAAGTTTTAGCAATGCCAATTGTTGCTCAAAAGATTTGTTTTGCAGTAATTTATTGTTCTATGTACAACTTTTGTAAATTGATGTACTATTGCTAATTAATACTTTCACTTTCTCCAGAGGTTTATGCTGCACGTGAGAAAAATGGTGTCTATATACCGAAGGATCGATTCTATCAGGAGGAGAGTGAAAGGAAGGTACAGCATAGAAGTTCATGGTTGATAATATTCCTCCCAACTGTTGACAGTTGACTCACTTATTTATAAGATATGTTTGCTATTAACAAGTGCGCTGGTGTTGTCTTGTCGATTTTCAATTGAAGTGCATCTGAAAAGTAACATGATACTTGTTTATATGTGGGTTTAGAACTTGAGATGAGCTTTGGATTTTTGTTGCCTAGGTCATTCTAGTGACTATTTGAAGTTTATGCATACAATGATCCCTTCTTACTTTTGCATCTTTTGACTTAATGTTTAGGCAATGACAGATCAGATTGAACAAATGGGGGTTGTGATAGAAAACCATCAGAAGGTCAGTATGTTTTTCCATTCAGTTTATGATGTGTCAATATGTTTGCTATTTACAAGATTGATTGTTAATTTCACTTATCACATATTTTGTTTGTTATAAATAGCAACTTGTGGAATTGCAAGATAGATATGATTCTCAGGTTCAACAATGCTGTGATTTGAGCAGCAAACTTGGTGCTACCCAGGTAGTTGGGTTCACATGCATTTGTGTATGGATTAGGGATTCCTACATAGGTTCTCATCTTGTATAAGAAATTTTTGCAGAGAAACTTAAACCAAAAAAGTAAATTGCTGGACAGTACTGAAGAAGAACTAAGAAGAACCCAGTATGTTCTAAAGGAGCGGGATTTTATAATATCTGAACAGAAAAAAGCAGGTATATATTTGATATGTATGTATATATATATATGTATATATTTACTGCTATATTATTGTTGTTGCTGCGTCTTAAGTATGTTGAATGTCTGAGACAGAAAATGCGCTGGCTCATCAGGCATGTGTGTTACGGTCTGACTTGGAAAAATCTCTTAAAGATAATGCTTCTTTGTTCTCGAAGATTGGTATGTAGTCTCGTTCCTAATCTGCGAAGTGTATTGATTGGCCACATTAAGGCCTGATCGTATTCTTCTGTCTGATGTGACTTGATGCAGCCAGAGAAGACAAACTGAATGCTGAGAATAGGTCAGTTGTGAACAATTTCCAAGCTGAACTTGCACAGCAACTTGGTTCCCTTTGCGACACCCTATCCACATCCATGACTCGACAAAATGAACACCTCCAGTGCATTGAGACACTTTGCCATTCGTTTTTGGAAATGCATGATAAGGTTATAATGATATCCAGTCAGCCTATTCTTCTTTTTCCTTTTTCTATTTATTTCTTGTTTTTCCTGTTCTCGTGTATTGTGTTGTTACATTATCATATTTTACTTTTTATTGAGTTAAAGGTAGTTTGTCATGCAATTGAATTTCTCTTTTTTATTGTTTTCGCTTATTTTACTTTTTTTGCATGTCTTACAAATTTTTTCTAATAGGCCGTTAACGATTTGGAGAAGAAAATGACTGCTTCAAGGGCTTTATATGTTTCTCACATTGAGGCCATGCAAAATGTAGTGCGTCTGCACAAGGCTAGCTGTAATGCTGCTTTAGATGAGATTTCAGCTTCGGCTTCTTCAAATGTGCATTCCATTGAAGAAGTAGGTTGCAGCAACTTCAGTTTTCTTATCTTTTGTATATCCTAAGAACTTTTTCCCCATAATTAAAAATCATCAATATATGTGTTTTGCTAAATTAACTTCTTCCTTTATTTTATTTTATTTTATTTTAATTGTGTGTGTAAATCAGTTTTTAGCTGCAGAGGCTGCTGAAGCTAATTCGCTTTTTGATAATCTTCAATGCGCTCTATCAACTCACCAAGGAGAAATGGCACTATTTGCCAGAGAGCTCAGACAGGTGCAGATGTTTACATTTATCTTTTTCTTTCATGAATATATAGTTAACCTTCATGGACTTATTTAGGAAAAAAAAAAAAACCTTCATGGACTTTTGAGGACACTTCCTGGCATATCTGACCTTGAGCTGAAGTTTGATTATTTGAAAGAGTGATTTACTGAAATACTTTTTAATCTAATTCAATGCTTTGATTATTAATTACCATTTATGGCTGGTCAATAATTTGATTAATTGATGAAAATACTGCTTGTAAATTTCATTTGAAATTTTGTCTTTTACAGTTTATTATTCATGATTAACCATTGTTTGCAACCTTTTAATTCAAACTAAATATGATCTCTTTTTTCTTTTCTTATTTCTTGTCGTTAACTTGGGTTCCACAGAGGTTCAATGTTAGTCTTGAGAATACAACGAACATTTCAGAGTTTATTCATGGATTTTTACAAAAAATTCTGGAAGAGTCAAGACGGCTGGAAAGTCATGCAACACAAGTTGATGAGATTCAGATGAAGAGCATTGCTGAATTTCAGAAAGCTTATGAGGTTGTTTCACATATTCTCATATGCATAGGTTAAGAAATTATTTTTTAAATATCTAATATTTTGAGCTAAACTCTGCAGGAGCAGTCAAAATCGGATGCCGAGAAACTTATTTCTGACATGACCTGTTTAGTCTCCAAACACATCCATCGTCAAAAAGAGCTGGTCTGTTTGTTATCTGATCTGGTTTCTGGTTATCTGCTTTCTGTTCTTGCTTTATTTTCCAGATGGGTTAATGGTTGAGGTGGCAGGTTGATGCAAAGCTTAATGGTTTTAGAGAAACTGTAGTTGGGAATAAGACATTTTTGGATGGTCATGTTACCTCGATGGAGGGTATAACAACAGATGCTAAAAGAAAATGGCAAGAGTTCTCAATGCAAGCTGAGAATGATGCTAAGGATGGTGCTGATTTCTCTGCTGCCAAACATTGCCGTATGGAATTACTCCTCCAGCAATGGTAAGAAATGTCCTTTGCATTGTTTTTTGAATTTATCATTTCATATTATTAGATTTTTCATTTTGGTCTTCCCCTATATCCTTTATCGCTTAAATTAAAATTATCCTTCCAACCACCCATCTTTTGTATCTTCTTCCTTCAGTGTAAGCACTGCTGAATCAGTTTTCAAGCACTGGAAAAGGACGCATGAAAGTGTAAATGAAATGGGTAGTCAACATGTCTCTACAATGGTCTCACTTGTCAGGTCCATTGCAAATGCCTTTTATTAGTCCCTCTCTTTGCTTGTCATCGAACAGTTATGGATTTGTTGTTGGACTTGTCAACTAGTATTTATCTATATGAACTCCTTATTTTTAAGTGGCAGGCCATCACATCATCTCTATTTTTGAACTTTTGTTATAGGAACGCTTTTGATAGTAATGAGCAACATGATACTGAGATCTGCTCTGCTCGAGCTGCTGCTGAAGAAGATGCGGCAAATAATAGTGAAGATGTCATTCAGTTTATTGGTCGTGAGTATTGTTATGACTCATGTTCTGTGGTTTGGATCCTACAATTTGTGCAACTCTTTGATCAATTGATCTAAATACACGTCATGAGTATGTAGCTTGCAAATTAAATTTATAAATCCTATAAAATCCAAGACTTGGTTTTCTGGCGATTGTCATCTGAATGAATCACTAATCATTACATTCCGGTGTATACTTGATTCGGAATATGATAAAGGTGGATAAAGTTCGGTTGCTGTTTTTACATCTCTATTTGCAGAGAACCCATGGAATTAGTGCATGTAATTAGTATAAAATTTAGGCGGTAGTATTTTTTTATGCCTCATTTAGGAATGCTACTTTTTCTTCTTGTATGTAAATTAAATAAGAAGTCTTCGCCATGTTGAGGTTGCCATCTAGCTTGTTAGTAAGGCTTAGGTAGTTGTTCCATAGTCCTGTTGTAATGTTGGCCTTCATTGGGGTTTATGGGTAATCATGCATGTGAAATTTTGAATGAATGTGTTTTGAATGCATTTTGTGTGTTGTTTTTATAATGTTGTTGGGTGGCTTGCTATTGAAAGTTGAAACTCCCTCCAGGTGAATCAGAGCAAGAGCGTGGATATATATCTGGAATTTTGGCAGCTAAAAAAGATCACGCAGACACTCTTGATGTTTTGCGGGAGGATCATTCTGTTCAATCTGCTTGTATTGAAAAGAAGGCTGTCAACACCTTCCAGCAGCAATATACGGTATGCTGATCTTGCATATAACTCAATGAGAAACGGTGTTTGTATCTGAGTTATCCTTTTTGTTGAAGTTGATACAACAATTTGTGAAACTTCTATTTGCAGACAATTCTGTTGATGATATTGTACCTCAGACAATTCATCAGATCAAAATCTTCTCCATGATTTCATCATTTATTCACATAGGCTCTTGCTTTAAACAAAATATAGCTATACTGTTTTGATGGTTTCTTTTTGCCAATGCACAGGACTATGAGCCCAGTGGCACAACACCAACTAGGTGTGAGCCAGAAGTCCCTAGTAAAGGGACTATAGAGTCACTTCGAGCCATGCCAATGGAAGCACTTCTAGAAGAATTTCGAGAAAACCATTCATATGAATCATTTGAAGTAAAAGAACCAAAGCCGTCTCTGATACCACGTTCGCCCCTCATCCAACTCAATTGATAACAGCTTGGTTGTCTCATCTCTAATTTGTATTTGTAATTTTTGTGTAAACCATTGTTATGGAAGATATAAGGAAGCAGCGTTAGGTGTCATAATAGGTTAATCGGCTATACAAGGCATTACTGAGTGTAATTCTTGTCTCTATAGATTGACCGACGTTGTATATTGAGGGGAAAGGTCTACATGGTTTTTTTTCTTCTTAAAAGTTGTTTTATTCGTAGAGTACCTTTTCTTATGTAATGTAAGAATATTTTTTATTACATGAAGGGTAAGGATGGATATTATTTTCTGTCAGCTTCAATGATTCAGTGTGATAATGTAAAATAACTGGGACTATTTGCCTTTCATCTTATAACTTTGTTGAGGAACTTCCTATCAATTGAGCCTCGTTAATGTTTCAATAATATTTTTGATTTGTCATGTGGAATTGATTTGATTAATCCTTGAGGCTTGTATTAGGAAGAAAATGAATATAAAAATACATATAGGACACTCCTAGGCTGAATTATAGATGCTGTCAAGAAAAAAAGCAAAAAAACAAAATTTCATGCCGAATCCCTGGTGATAAGTTCAAGGATCCTGGATTGTTCAGAGTTCATTATAATTTCCTTCTTTAGCTGCCGGCAATAGCCAGAATTATAGATGCTGTCAAAAAAAAAAAAAAAAAACAAAATTTCATGCCGAATCCCTGGTGATAAGTTCTAGGATTCTGGATTGTGCAGAGTTCATTATAATTTTCTTATTTAGCTGCCGGCAATAGCCAGCCAATGGGTGTCCACGAGTTGATCTTGTTACAAACTTACTACAATGTTCATCTGCTCTCTCTTTTTCTCCATGAAATTAGGTAAATAAATACTATGGTGTTAATGAATTCCGGTAATGCTTTCCTCTTGGTGGTAATAGCTGCATTTCTGATTGTTGGAGAAGTCAAGACGGACTTTGTGCTCCCACCAAATGTCACCAGAGTTGATGCCGGCTTCTTCACCCACACTGCCATGCGTGTACTTTTTGGGGCAGAGCCTCCAACAACATTTGAAGTGATGAAAGCAAGCATGGATGAATTTCCAGCACTACGTGGCAATAGTGTTTCATATGCTGTGCTGCAATACCCTGCTGGTTCTGTCAACCCTGCTCACAATCATCCTCGCTCGTCTGAGCTCCTTTTCCTCCTCACAGGGTCCCTTGAAGTCGGTTTAGTTGACACGAGTAATAAACTTCATGTTCAAACGCTTCAAGCAGGGGATATGTTTGTGTTCTCTAAGGGGTTCATTCACTACGAATACAACAATGGACAGGATCCTGCTTTTGCTCTTTCCGCATTTGGTAGTGCAAATGCTGGAACCGTGTGTGTTCCTGGAAGTGTTTTTGCTACTGGAATTAGGAATGATATCCTTGCCAAGTCTTTTGAGATCGATGTCTCAACTGTTCAGAAGATCAAAGGTGGTCTTGTACCCAAAGCCTATATTGAAAATTAAGGCTCATTACTAAGTTCTATTTCATAGTTTTTTGTTTTAGGCCATATCCCTTTCTAGTTGAGCAGCTATTAGTAATGTGCTCTAGAGGTCTCTATGCTGCACCTCTTACAGAAGTTTAAGGTTCGAGTCCTATAATGTTTATCAATCTATTCTGGGTTATGATTTGATGTAGCAGTAGTTTTCAGGTGCTGATGTACATGCATTCTTGCTTATGGATTACATATTTATATTCTTAGAATCGAGATGGAAACAACCACCAAGCCTTTTTCTAATTATTTAGAGTCGGTTACATGAATCCCATGCTCATTCCAATCTATTTAAGACCATACTTAAGTCAATCAAGATGCTGTCATATTTTTAATTTTCATTTAATCAAAACTCTTTTATAAACACACATAGAAGAGAGATCACAGTCAAATCTGGATGGATCCAAAATCCAAATGAACAAAAAGAGAGAAGAGAGTCAAATGTGGATCGATTCAAATGAACAAAAAGAGGAAGAAGGCAACACTTGCAGGTCCGCATAAACTGGTACACGAACACATGCGGTACACAATTAAGTGCAACTTGAATTTGATCCATCCCAATCAAGGGACCAACTTGGGGCGAGTTTATTTATTTATTTTTAATATATATATATATATATTGTAAGAATGGGTGTTCCCACTATACATATTGAGACTGAAGAGTAGTTGAATTCCAACTCATATTCATTTTGACATATATATTAAAAAAAGAAGCCCAAACTTCAACTAATTTTGCCTTATACCATGTTAAGGACTTGTCGTGTTAACTTTTACCATTGGAGGAGAGTCATCAATTGTGGCCAAAGATCGAAAAATAGAAAAAAAAAACATGATTTTGAGCCAATTAATAGTGCATGCACTTCTTTGATTCTTTTCCTTAAATGCGTTACCAAACATGTTCTTTAATGTGTAAACATCTTGATCATTTACATATACATACATACATACAGACATGTATATATAGATACATATAGGCATAGATATTTGTACCTCCCATGCTTTTTAGTTTTTGTTGCCTTTGTTGCTGATGTTTACTTTACATGATCACTAATGGAAACTCACCTTTAGTGATAAGATCTGTAAATTACATTTCAAAATTTCTCTAGCAGACCAAAAGTTGTGTATGGTTTATTCAAAGTTTCATGTTGTTGATTGGGAAGATTAAGTCATTACACAAATATGTCAAATATGATGTTTAACTTTATCAAAAATATAATCAAAGGATAAATAAAATAATGTTGATTGGAGCATATTGTAAATTATTCTAAATGAATTTTGATATGAAATTTCGAGAATTCAATCCTAACACAAATTACTAACGAAAAGACACATTTCCTGATCAATCCCGTGCATTTCTTGATATTAAAAGAGTTGAAAGCATAGAGTTCAGTTTTTTCACAATTTTCTTTCATATTTCAATAATATTAAGGTCTTGATTTTACAAAAGTGACAAAATTCTATATTTAACAATTTAATGTAATTTTGATATATTTATCAAGTCAAAGCGTGTAGTCAAAGGGCTTTTTATCCGTTGAATGAAGTGGACGGGGATAATGTTAATCTCATTAGCTTATCGAAAGGTTAAAAACACCTTGGCCTACACAAACAGGGCTTGAGAAATCGGTCAAAATATTTTTACAATTATTACATAATGATGGATAAGAGAATACCTACGGCCAAACAAGCTCGATTTAATGCACGTCTTTGATTCTTCTTTGTGACTGCATTTTCAAACAATTCTCTAACACGTCTTTGACGTAAAACATTTTTTAAAAAATGTTTTGACCGTAAAATATTTTCTTAAATACTCGGGAAAACTACTAATAGATCAATTTAATATGCTCCTTATTTTTTCAAACAATTCTCTAAGACATCCCTAAATTTTTAACCATTTTAACATACAATTTTTTATTTGTCAGAATGCATAAATTGAAAAGGAAAAAATAGAAAACCAAATGGAACTGACTCTGTTTCAAAAGATTTTTTATCCAACATTAATTGTGACATACTTTTATTTATTTATTTACGAAGGTCCAGTGGTATCTCATCTATTTTTCAAAGTGAAAGGTCTCTAAAGAAGCAAAAGTGAGTGTATGAGTTTCTTACCAATGACAAAAAATAAAAAAATAAAAATTGTAATTTGTGACATACTTTCTGCTCTTGTGAAAATGAAAGTTTTTTTTTTTTTTTTTAATTTTAAAAAATGTATATTTAACAATTTAGTTAATACTACTAGGTGAAAATCTAAAATGGGTTACAATTATTACATATTGATGGATCAGAGAACACCTATGGCCTAACAAGTTTGATTCTTCTTTGAGAATGCATTTTCAAACAATTCTCTAAGACATCCCTAAATGTTTAACCATTTTAACATATATACATGCATATATAATTTTTTTATTTTTATCGAATTTCAAGCATATATAAATTCATTCCGTAACGTACATCAAATCTCTTTACGATATTGTGGATCCTAAGCCTTTTAATGTCAATTTCTTTCACATAAATGGAAATTCACCTTTATTGATAGGCTCTGTAAAATTTGATGTTCCCTTTGGACATAAATACCCCAACCAGGACGGACCCATGGTATAATCACTCTCCCTATTTTTTCTTTTACTATTTTGCCTTATTATTTTTGTCATTTTGATATATATATATATATATATATATATATTTACAAAATATTACCTTTACCGTTTTGAAATTATTTTTGTCATTCCCGACCAAACAAGTTGGACCCTTCATGTACTGTTTAAAGATGAACGTGCTTTTCAATACCTAAAATTCTCTTAAACTAATGACTATTTTTGTTTCAGAGCCAAAACCACAATTTTTTTAACCACCCACAATTCATGTGATGTGTAGAAGTGTCTCAATCTAGTTACTAGGTTTTCAAGTTTCTTTATCACCTAAAGGAAATTTCAATTTTCTCTTGTTAGGCCATTCTAAGCAAAATGTTGCGCCTCGCTTATGGAGGTTACGCCATGTAGGCGACACGCAGGCGTTGAATAGGACGCTGCATAACGACTGCATGGCATGGGAGTTTCTAGAGTCTTTTGGAATAATCTAGAGTTGTGTGGAAGATTCTAGATATGTGTAGAATATTGTAGAAGTGTGTGGAAGGTTTTAGAATTCTCCAAAATTTTGTGGAGTAGTATAGAGAATTCTAGAATATTGTAGATGCTTATGGAAGTGTGAGGAAGGTGGGAGAAGATTCTAGAGAATCGATCTCCACCATTGGTTGAAATGCATCTTAGCCATTTATTAGGGACGGGGATGTCTATAAATAGGAGTATGACTTCATTTTGTAGGTAACAAGTCCTGGAGTGAGACTTGAGAGCCTTGTAGAGAGTTTGAGTGCTAGCCTTGTACAAAGCATTCTTTAAAGTAATAGAAGTGTTCTTTCCTTACCAACTTAAGTGTCTTAGTGTGTGTTAGTGTGTAAGCCAGGTGAAGAGAGGGAGAGCGCCACTACAACACTAGTAAGCGCACGAGGGGGGTGTGTTGGCTAAGGTGTGCACGGGAGTTAGGTTGACCAAGTACTTACGAGAGTAGAAACAACGACTTGGTGCCGCACGGGAGCAGCTAGAGTGGTGCTGAAACTCTAAACCCTTGACAAAAGCCTCTTGTTTGAGAATGGTGAACCTAAATTCATTTGATATTCTCTCACCTAATGCATATTCTTAGGGTTAATATACTTTTATCATTTATTTTGAGAAAAGAAATAAGATATATCTCTTTACCCAAAAACGTATATTCAAGTTGTATAGCACGTTAGGGTTCTTTTACCTACATTTGATTTGAAATTGAATGGTGGACTATTATTTAAGAAACAATATCATGAATAATCACCATAGCAATAGGACCTCCGACTATTGATCTGTGGAGCCCACACCCCGTTGCAAGTAATTTGTCATTTTTCTATTTTCATACCACATAAGTTGTTATTTTTCTATTTCCAAGTAATATTGTTTGTGTGAAACAGTGCAAGTCCACTCTTCATCTTTTGCTTACCCTCCTCCTATCTTCTTTAGGTGATTACGGTGCTATTTGATAAAATTGAAAAATAATTACTGAAAATTTTAAGAATTAAATTTTAAGTGCTAATTTTTTTTAAGTGGATATTTTTTACAATCTTTTTGAATTTTTAGCATTAATAACAAGTGATATCTTTGTCACTTAAAATTTTATTTCATTTTAAGTGACACTTAATGTTTTTAATGATATTCAAATTGTTTCTAATGATATTCAAATTGAATTCAGTATATATATATATATATATCTATCTTTTGAGTTCTGTGTACATAAATAAATAAATTAATTTAAATATTATTATTATTGAGTAAAGGTTGTCCCACTCTTCCAGAGGGACGATTCACCTCCAGTCACATGGCATGCTATTTTTAATCGAAAAGACTTGACTTTAGACTTGTTTGGTAGTTTGTTTATTGTTTCTATTATTCCTAATTTTGTTGAAAGGAAAATTAAAATAATTTATTAAATAAGTATGTACACAGTCTATTCTAAAGAGAGGAAAAATTCACCTATATAGTTGTATTTCATGAAAGAAGATGTACAAATCAAGCGAGATTAATTTTATACTATATATTAAATCTAAAATTGACTTCAGATTGCACCGACCTCATGTAATAATTAAATATTATTTATATTTCTGTTAGACACTCAAAACACTTCTAATAAAGACTGAAGGTTTTAAAGCATCAGACAAGAGAAAAAGAATTATAAAAAAGAAATTGTTTCATTTAACTAAAAAATTAAGAAAATTGCTTACTCAATCTCGAGGAATTTCACCAATATAAAAGAAAAATAAAAATAAAAAGAAGAAGAAACCAGCTCTTTTACTAAAGGTATTATATTCAAGATTAGCAATTATACTTTGTACTATGAATAGTGTGTACCACAAGTTTTTTGATATTTTCTTTTCTTTTCCTTTCGTTAATGAATCAGGCACAGACTCACATTAGGCCCAGTCGGGGCACTTTTTTTTTTTTTTTTTTTTTGGTTATTTCTATTATATATCTATAATTTTTGGAAAAATTTGAAGCCTGTCCCACTATTAAATTATTATTATATTTTTTAACTTAATACTTCATTGTATATACTTGCTACCACTAAAGCTTAGTTAATGAAAGTAGAGTAATAAAGCTTAGTTAATGAAAGTAGAGTAATAAAGCTTAGTTCATGAAAATAGAGTAATCAACATTCTTTCTTACCATGCCAAGTTACGTTTACTCAACTTTTTTGTTATTTTAGTTTTATATGTTTATCTTCTTATTATTATATAAATGCTCCTACAAAATTTAAAAAAATTTATTTCATCTTACAATCCAATACAAAAACAAGACAGAAAAAGAAAGAAGAAATTTGAAAATGAATCATACAATTATAAATGAATTGAATGAAAATATTATCGATCAATATTTACGTCGTTGTATTTATTGTATTGGGTTAAAAAAAAATTACGACACACTGGCACTAAATATTTTTTCGGGGTCAACCATTGACCCTTTTTATTGTTATTAGTTTTCTTTGTACTACTGTAGTTTTCTATATTTGTTTTCTCTACCTGTCAACCCAAATATATACAGATAACAAATAAAAAATACCGACCTTTATTTGGAAAATGAAAAAAACTAAAATTTCGCAAAACAATTAACCACTCCAATGAATTTGAAAGTTAATCCAATTTTATCCGTATCATGGTTGACATCCACCACCTTTTTCTATAAATAAACCCAACTCCTTAGTTATTCATCTCTCTCTCCTCCTCCTCTTTCTCTCTCTATAAATACACAACTCTGAATTTATAGTTCCTGAGAAAATTTAATTTTGTGTTTCTGTGAAAGAAAACACAATGAAGGTCTCAAAGTTTCTTCCAAGTTTATCAATATTGATATTGTACTGTCTCATATTCATATATAACAACAATATTAATGGAGTTGAAGCAACCCACAAGGTTTATAGGCATTTGCAGTCTGTTCCTGCTGCTACCGTCAAGAACCTACACCGAACTGCCTATCATTTTCAACCCCCTGAACATTGGATCAATGGTACGCTCGCTATTTCCTTCTTTTTCCTTCTTTTTTTTTTAAAAAAATTTTTGCATAATGGGTCAGTAGTAATTTGTAAACTGCACTGTTTGATGGTATTGGTTTTTACAGATATATATATATATATATATTATATTTGTGTATATATACAAATATTACCAAAAATATATATATACGAATATGAGTTTGTTAATCTTATGGTGAGTGACTGATAATTGAGAGAAAATATACAAATATGATCGAGTTTCACATGCCTTTTAGATTTCTTATATATATAGTAGTTGTTTGTTTTAGGGGAAGATGTATGTATAGTATAGATAATAGATACAAAATTGTGTTGGAAATGAATGCTTGAAATGTTAGGAGACGTTTAGTTATAAACCTTAAATTTAGCCCACACAATGAGAAGTTTGGAACCGTCATTATAGATAGGGTTATTAACTGCACGCTAACTTCTTGGCTCACAATTAGGTTTTTTTCTTTTTTCTTTTTTTGATAAATAAGTTATGATTAGGGTTGGAAATGAGTTTATCTTCTTTTAGGCTTACATATGAAAAAAAAAAAAAAAAATCCAAACTCATTTTCTATTAATATATTATTCATATAATCGAATTTGAGTAGATTTATGAAAGAAATCAAATCCGAACAAGAGATATAGGCTAATTTAATCAGACTTTGCAATCACCTTTTTAGACTCGTATATTTCGACCTACAATGGTGGGTCCACAACCTCTCTTTTTGATTGTTGAGACGGAATATCACGGTTTGTTTATGGATTGTTGAAGAATGGATTCATAAGGTTGTTAGTGGGGAAATATGTATAAGAAATGTTAGGGAGCGTTTGCGTTTTTTAATAAAAATAAGTTGAAGAGATCGACACATGTAATGGTTTGTTTGTACAAGAATGAGTTGGAAAAGCTTAAGGAACTGAAAAAGGCAGATTCACCAATGAAAGGTCTAAACTTAAAATTATGGAACTTTTTTAATTAAATAATAAGAACTTAACAATCATGTATTGTGCATATGTATTAACCTAATAAAACTATCTCAAATACTAGTACCATTTTTATAATCGAAAAACAATTAATTGTCGTGAGTAGTGGTAGCATTTAATATGGGAACTTGGAAACAATAAATGAAGAAGAGGCATTTAATGAGAGAGTTGAGATAAGGTCGGTGAAAGTAGCAATAGTTTCATGAACATCTGCTGCATCTACTTCATGTAATCATACCATTCTCTAACAGGTTTTGGAAACATCTCCTCTTTTACACCTGAAATCTATACAGAAGAGGAGTAAATGCATACCTAGTCTATTTTTTACTTTTCCATCAACCTTATCTATCCCCTCTCTCACATTTTTCATCAAATCTTGCTGTAAATGTAATAGGTTCTTCAAAATCCTAAAGCTGACCCTCCTCGTCTCTCTCTCTCTCTCTCTCTCTATACTGAACTTTCAGTTTTTGGAGAGAGAAAAAGTTTCCTTTACATGTGTGCATCAATAGGTACTGGCTTAGGTAGGTGAGATACATTTGTTAGGTCTGGACTTCTATAAATTTAGAACTATGTATAATTAAAAATGAATTTTGATACTATTTCTTTAAATAAAAAAGAGACATCACATCGATCTATGAGGCAGAGTACAAAATATACAATTTTTAAATTTATTTGTGAGGCAGAGTACAAAATATACAATTTTTTTTTAATCTATTTATTCACAAATAGGGTACAATATTAGTGGAATATTTAGTGATAGTGGGTCGGTTGATGTTATTTTCTTGAAGACTACCTCCTCTTCCTCGAATAAGTGGGGAATTAAGTGAAAAAAAAGAAGGTTGTGTGTTGTCTCCATTTGACTTGAGGCTACGTGCTCAAATTGATTTATTGGGTCTGTTAGTAAATTTGGAATGTCACCATCCACATATATAAAGTGTGATTATGCCTTTTCAATGCCCTTGCTCTTGAGGTTTTTCATTCACTTCGCATACCATTTTATTTAGTTATTTTTGTATTTAACGGACCACAATAAGGTGGTTGCTTCTTCACGAATTTGGTTGCTTTTTTACGTATTCTCATTTTAACATCGGCGTTTAATAATACTCGATAAGTTAAGTTGGATGTCTCATATAATGGAGTCCACTATTACTTTTGTGAGATACCCAACACCTACAATTAATTATCACAACTTTTTAAAATTTTCTTTTAACATACTGTCATTGTATAAACTAAAAAAATTAAGAACTGGCCTATTGTTGTTGAGTTTTGTTCATGTTCATTAACTTTCTTTACTTGATCCAATTTCTCAGCATTGCATTTCGCACACCATTTCAACGTCACCTACTCATAATCTTTGTTTTCAAAGATTTATTAATATCATGAATTGTTTTTTTAGGTATATTTTTCTGCGGAAGAATCATTATTTCTAGATTAGTTTCAACATTAATTGCTAGTGATTCAATTATTTTATTCCTATCAATTTTAGAGGATATAGATTCAACTTTGTTTTCAAAGATTATTATCATGACCCCCTGTTATGCTTTTTCATAAGTTTGTGGAATAAATTATACGGAGCATATCATTAATTATGGATCTGCCTCCACTAGTTGTATAACCTTAAATTTTTTTTAAAAAGACTAATGTTTATCCCATTAGTAAAAACAATTTTTTTTTTCCCCTTTTCATTGTTTGTTTCTTTTCTTTGATATTGAAAAAGAAAAATACAAACTACATCTTTTATTACCATATCCTTGTTCTCAATTTTTATCTCATGTTTGTTTTGTACATTTTCTCATACAACACTTCAGAATCGAGAATTTATTTATTTGTCTAAAAGAGTCACAATTATTGATTCTGATTTAATTTCTTTTTCCATGCTCAATGGTGATTAAACTCGGGCAATTATCCAACGAAAAACAGATCCAAATGGTGAGTTTACCCATCCTTAAACATCAATTATCATTCAATTTCTTTACAAATTACCAATGTTTTACATTTTCATGCGTTCCATTATATATAACTATTTTCATGTAAACAGGACCAATGATTTATAAGGGAATTTACCATCTATTCTACCAGTACAATCCCAAAGGTGCGGTGTGGGGCAACATTGTGTGGGCCCATTCGGTGTCAACGGATTTGATCAACTGGAAGAAACTGGAGCCCGCAATCTACCCATCCAAGCCATTCGATAATTTCGGGTGTTGGTCCGGGTCGGCCACCATCCTTCCGGGTAATAAGCCCATCATACTCTACACTGGAATAATTGACAAAAACGACACACAGGTCCAGAACTATGCAGTGCCTGAAAACTATTCGGATCCTTACCTCCAGAAGTGGATAAAACCCGATAACAACCCGTTGGTGGTTGCCGATCCGGGTGTGAATAAAACCGCCTTTCGTGACCCGACAACAGCTTGGTTCAAAGATGGGCATTGGAGAATGTTGGTGGGCAGCAGGAGGAAGCACAGAGGGATAGCATATTTGTACAGAAGTAGGGACTTCATGAAATGGACTAAGGCCAAACACCCACTGCATTCCGCGGCCAAAACCGGGATGTGGGAGTGCCCAGATTTCTTCCCGGTTTCAATGCAAGGTGAAAACGGGTTGGACCCTTCGTACCTGGGGCCGAAGATTAAGCATGTGTTCAAGGTGAGCCTTGATGTCACAAGGTATGAGTACTACACAGTAGGGACATACTTCCCGGAAAAGGACAAGTACGTACCGGATAACACATCCGTTGATGGTTGGAGCGGGTTGAGACCCGATTATGGAAATTACTATGCTTCAAAATCGTTTTTCGATGATAAAAAGAATCGAAGGATTTTGTGGGGGTGGTCTAATGAGTCCGACACTGCTGCAGAAGACGTTGCAAAGGGATGGGCAGGAATTCAGGTAACACATACAAACACATTGATGCAATAACATACATAAAGGACTAGCCTAGTGCACGCGGGTCTGAGGAGGTTGTTTCCTTACTCAGTTACTCGAACCTGTGACCTTCAGGCTGACCCTCAGATACAATATACTGGCACATATATATATAATTCCTTGATTTGTCCATGTTTCAATATTTCATGACATTGTTTTTCAGACAATTCCGCGAAAGGTATGGCTGGATACTAACGGAAGACAATTGGTACAATGGCCAGTTGAAGAATTAAACACTTTGAGAGCGCAAAAGGTCCAGATGAGCAATCAAAAACTCAATAAGGGAGAACATGTTGAGGTTAAAGGAATAACAGCTGCTCAGGTTTGTTTATCAATTATGAAACAGTTCACACTCTCCTCATGTTTGTAATAGCTAGAACAAGCCACAAATGCAATGTTAGTTATGCTTGATTCCTATGATGATTGATGAATGACCAATAACAAGTATCATATTATACATACACCTTATATAATAGCAAGAATATTAACATTTTGTATTGGCATTCATGGTGTATTTAACAGGCTGATGTTGAAGCAACCTTCTCATTCCCAAGCTTGGACAAAGCAGAGCCATTTGATCCTAGCTGGACTGATGCCCAAGAGGTTTGCAGCAAAAAAGGTTCAACTGTTCAAGGTGGGGTTGGTCCATTTGGCCTCTTGACATTGGCTTCGGAAAAGCTTGAAGAATACACACCCGTCTTCTTTAGGCTTTTTAAGGCTAAGGACAAGCATGTAGTTCTCATGTGTTCTGATGCAACCAGGTTTTTTTCTATTTGCCTCAACTTCTCAAGGCTTCAATACCCTGTTCCTTTAGAAATTTTCAACACTCTAACTTGGTTATGAATTGGTTTCTTTGAACAGATCCTCTTTAAAGACAGGGTTGTATAACCCATCATTTGCAGGCTTTGTCGATGTAGATTTAAAAGATAATAAGCTTTCACTTAGGAGTTTGGTAAGGCTTCAATTTTTTTAATACAAATCTCTCTTTCTATAGTACGTGTGTGTTTGTGATCGTTTGGGTTGATTATATATGAACACTTTGTATGCAGATTGATCACTCTGTAGTAGAAAGTTATGGCGCTGGTGGAAGAGCATGCATCACATCTAGGGTTTATCCTACTATAGCAGTACAAAATGATGCTCATTTATATGTATTCAACAACGGGACAGAGACAGTTACCGTTGATAATTTGAGTGCCTGGAATATGAACGCTGCCAAGATCGAGTAAAGAAGGGATGGGAGAAAAGCAAAAAGAGGAATTTGATTTTACTTTTTGGTAAAGCTTGTATGTTATGTCTATTGGGGTTTAAATAATTGATTCAAGCTATTGGATGGATGTAGTAGACTCTCTTCTTGCTCAAGTGTTCAGGAATGGAAACCAGATTTCATAACTTTCAAGTTGCATTATTGATGATGATCTTACAATTTATCCAAAATAAATAAATAAATTAGGACCTCGAAAAATAAATATTTGGTGAACAAATGTTGAGATATTCTATCTACTTTGTCCCATGCCAATACCTCTAAAATTACGATGTCTTAAAGCATTATTTTATGGGAATTCTTCCATCACTACACTGGAGAAAAGCTAAGAATTCTCACATATGAGTATCGTGTATATGAATTTTAAGAGCAACCATTTGACTAAGTTTTCTTACCTCTTTGTTTTCAATCCAAATTAGCACTATTTTCTCCAAATCTCTTACATATGATCAATTTTTGGTCTTCTTTCAGCTAAAAGATCAACTTTAGTCAAAATAAAGGGATAAAAAAAGATAGGAGTTCACCTAAGATTTTCTTCCGCTGGCTTGAACTTCAGCAGCCGGTGGCTGTTTCCTTTGCAATAACTTTAAGGCCACATCTGAATCCTATCACACCAATAAACATTACACTAATGGGCATTAGGCCAGATGGGTGCGTGCACGTTACATTGAACTTTATATATACATATTATTCTCTCTAAAAACAACTACAGTAAAAGGTAAAAGCAAATCAAAAGTTCAAAGAATCAAAGGTAGTCATAAAAAAAGTTGAAAAAGATCGTTGACTTGAAAGAAACTGATATGCTCTATTAGTTATATCATAGATGCATAGATTTTAGGGGTGAGACATGGCCTACACAAAGTAATAAATCTTGACCTTGTTGAACAATCGTAATACTCTGAGATTTATTGGAAGGAAAATAGATGACAGAGATCATTCTACTTTTGTGTTGGTGGCTTAGGGTCTTTAACACCAAGTCCAGGTTTCGAGACGGGTAGGGGAAAAAAAAAAAAAAAAAAAGAAAAAAAAAGAAAAGAAAAGAACAATAGACGAGAGAGAGAGTGAGTACTCATCATATACTAATAACCCAGAAAAATCACAAAGACCCGATATTGTCACAATTCCAGGTTCATTACTCTTTCCTTCTCTATACACACACACACACATGCTAAATTTCTTCTACCTTGTATAGTTTATTACAAGCCTCATGTATAGTTTTCATCTAGTCCTCTTTCTTTCTTAATTTTTTTTTTTTATTTCGGTAAATTTCTTTCTTCATTAGTTTTTCTTGATTTCTTCCTCTCTATTTCTTTTTTCTTTTTCTTTTAAAGTTCTTTATTCCTTTTATTTAGTTGACTATTACAATCTAATCTACCACACTCCTTTTAATTGTGTTGCTTGCGAATGTATAATGGATTTGACTATTTTTCAATTAGAAAAAGAAAGAAATAAAGATGTGCTCATGGAATTCTGTTTGTATAATATTCCTATTTTCAACCTTGTCCTGAGAATCTTGAGTTCCATGTACTAACATTACAAAAACAGTTTCCAGTGAGTTGAAACAGCAGATTATTTTCCACATGAAATGACCATATAATCTGAACCATTAATAACAACTGTATTGAACTAGGTAAAGTTTCCAGAAATCCTGCCAACCCAATGACAGCTATATCACGTCTTCCAAGCAACCAAATGATCTTCATTGCTTACCTTGAAAAAAAAGAAGAAAAAAGGACCTACCCATTTCAGTGGTCTCAAAGAAGTCATCTTTCTGGTGACATGAGAATCAATACTACCGCTCGGAAATCATACGTGTTAATTGTTTCCTATAGTATCATACATGTCACGGATTGATGCACGATCATCACTACTTCATTGGTCTTGGAAAGGTCTGTTAAAACCTACCTAGCTCTCCTTAAAACAAAAGCAAAGCCCAATTTCCTCCTTTTAAAAAGTTTTTTCAACATCAAATATCAACTCTAATCACAACTTTCAGAACATGCAGGATTCTTTATTAATTATTTTTGGGTTGCAGGATTCGAAGGCAAACTTGGCGATTTCCGATTATTGCATGCCGAGAATTACAGGGCATCGTCCTACTCAAAGGTCAAGGTAATGCAACTTTTTTTAGAAATGAGAAACAATTTACATTGATCAGCATTATATGAATATAAAGGTAATCATTTTTCCATTTATATTGCAAAACTATAGATCAACTACTCATCTTATTATCTCCACCAAAATGATGTATTATACCACTAAACCGTTGATGAAAGAATGCTCTAAACAAAGATTTGTGTACTTCTCAACAGTAACGCATGTCCTTTGTTTTTTTCCCCCCTGCTAACAGGATCATCTAACCTGAAAGGGATACCAGTAATGATGGTGTCATCTGAGGACTTCCCAACATGAATCAAGAAGTAATCATTTGCACTACAAACTTCAAAAACATTGCCACTTTAACTAATTAATTTGTATATTTAATTTCCTCATGTGTGGTTATGGTGATGTGGATTAATTTACAGTAGGAGATGTTTTATGTCTGCTACTAGCACCTCTATTGAAATGCAACCATACATGCCTAAATTATGAAGAAAAAAAAACTATGCATGCCTACCATGGAAAATCACGGTGGTGTTATTGACATGCTTAGATATATGTTATTTTGAACACATGACTTGTAGTAAGGTCTATTGGCATGTAATTGCCACTTCCAGAACCCTTTGCAATAGTTGCGGCACAGAGGCATTTAAAACAAGCAGAAGATAATGATATCCTGTATCCTTCAAATGTGAATTAGGAAGAAGTATCATACCTTCTTACTAATGTCCTGCGCAGATGCATCCTTCAGTACCTTCTGCACACATAGAAGTTGAAGAACATAGCTTTCAAGCATCATCACGGGGTAGGATGGGTCCACACTATTATTTTGTCCTTTGCCATCTACCTTTCCTTTAGGCCCAGAGTTTTCTATCTCTGTACTTGCAAATTAATACATGGATACACTCCATCAAAATATAATTACTGCAGATTCAAAACCTAGCCGAGAAATTAAGGTAATCCTACCTCTACAGCCATTCTGACATGGAAGAGAAGTGCGGGCAACATTGCGATTTCTGAAAACAAATTAAATCTCATGAGAACAGACATAATGGAAGTTTTGATGATCATTTTTAAAAGAAAAAAATAAACTAGAACAAGAGGGAAAGATATTTCTGTCGCAACATACATTTTTTTGTCAATATTGGCCTCACATTTGTCAGGGATTTTCACAGATGATGATGTCTCTTCTGCATCTACTGGACAACATGTTGCTTTTATACTCTCCGTCATTTCTGGAGTTCTATCTGTTGCTTCCCCACAACCACTGCTATTCTCTTCAAAATCCACATCATCCATTTGCTTTCTATTTTCTGACGACAAGCCGTTGCTCCCAGTGCAAATATCTTTCTGTTGTTCGAACTTTCTGCATTCAGTTGGCTGGATTTCTGATTTGTTTTCCCAATCTTTTCTAACACTTTCCTGCACTGGTATATTGGAAAACTCTCTCTCTGTGTGAGAAGCAGAAACATGAAATGAATCTTGACATCCACCTTCAATATTGGAGGCTGGAGACAAATTTGGCTTGCTCAGCCTGGACCCAATGTTTGAGAATATAGGGGTCTCATTAGAGTTCACAGGACTAAATGGTTGGCAGAATGCATGTTTTTCAGAGAAAAAACTGCCACAAGGCGAACATTCGGCAGAAATGTTATGTTTGGAACTTCCAAAAGGTGACTGAGCGTTAAAATGTAATTCGGGGACAGGAAATGCGCCAAAGAGATCTTCAGATGAAAGCTTGCAACCTGAGGATGCACGTTTTTTTGTGTCTGAAGTTTGGCAGAAAGAACTCAAACCTGATTTTATATCAACAGAATTATACCCTTCCTCATATAACCAACTGTCATGTGGTCCAAATTCTTTCTGGAAATTAGTGTGTGAGTAATGGGCCGGTCTTGATGAATTTGAAATCTGCCTAAACTTTTGTGGTCCATTGATATCCTCCCCTTGCTGAGGACTGTCCATATTATTTCGGTATGCTTCTTTGTAATATGTGTTCTTCTCACCGCACTTATTTGTCGGGCTCCTAAGATCACTTCCATGCCTTATCGAGTTTTGTCTTGTCATTGAGTTTGATGGTGGATTCTCAGATGCCTTGCCCCTTACTAAATTAGTGAAAATAAGATTTTCTTGAATACGATAAAAAAATTTAAATAATTTAAATCATCAAGTCATATTGAAATCAATATATATAACCTGCACTGGACGAGCATGACTCTTCACTGTAAACAAAAGAAATAAAATCATTTAAATGTTAAACAAAGAGGGACAAATAAAAAAACCATCAGAGGTAGCCAAAGCATATAACCTCAGCATGCTCATATTATCTCTTGCATCTTCCATTAAGCAAGACCAAGCTAGTTTGTTAGTAACATCTCTACCATCACAGTTTTTTCCTACTGTAGAGTACCTGCCATCATACAAAATAAATCCACAAATTAAATGAGAAGTTACGCAAATACGCTTTCATTACCTTCTCAGCAGATTGACCTACCATGTCCCATCTGGAATTATGAAATCAAAATCATTTTCTGACATTTGGTGCTTCGAATATGTAGCACGTGACGCTGACAAAGAAAAGATAAAACCAATCAAAAAAAAAATGTAAAAGTTCTCCATTATGACATTTCCAGTAACAGATAGCAAATATACATCCGAGACAAGACTATTAATTTTTTTTTAGATAGAGGAAGAATCATGCCATCACTCACATATTTTTGTTGTCGGTTATATCCCACCAAATGATTATCCCCTCTGTGGGTGTGGGAGTGGGGATAACAGCGCACAAGAGGCAAATACATTTTTAGATTACAACTCCTTTAGATGCTCTCATTCTTAGTTTATCCATGCTTATAACATTGGGTAATGGATTACTATACATCCAATTCATTTCCCCAGTCATTTTCTTACAGAAATTACTGGTAATATGTCAAACATTGCATTTTACACCCCTTAATAGCAGATCCTACCTTCAGAAATACATGTTTTCCAAAAAGTGAGGTACGAAGGTTTGCGCAGTTCCAATACATCAGGACATATCCCAAATTACTAAATTTAGTGCACACAAGATTAACAAAAGAAGTTACATTACTATAAACATACTCTCCCCTCAAATCTTCAAAAGATGTATTGCACCCTAGTAAATATACTTGCAATTCTGCAGATGTAAGAAGTTGGGAGAATACTGGACCCTCCATAAAGGCCTTCTATTAGAAAAAACCAGTTAAAAACAATTCTATTCTTCCATCAAGTTCAAAAAATAAAACTAAAAACATGGTACTAATTTCATAGTTTTGCAAAGACAAAAAGCACCTAAGATATTGGATCTGCAAGTCACTTCCTCACTAACCCTGCATGGATTTGACAACTTGGTCAAGAAGTTGAACAGAATGATTTTAATAACAGGAAGGAAAGAACAGTCAGTTTCTAATAGGATACCTTTTCTTTTGTCTATAAGGATTGTCAAAAGCAATGTTTGATATATAGGGACCGTCAAAAGCACAATCTGATATCTCTTGTTTTCCAAAATTCAAACAATCTAAAGATCTGCCATTAATTTGATGTGGCCAGTTCTTCCAAGATGAATCGTACTCTGACTCGTCAAGGAAGTCGTCATCTAGGAATCTAGACTTAGCTGATATACATAGAATAAGAGATTTGTAACATGCCACTTTTCCATCATGAAAAGTAAGAAACAATTTAATTGTAGGGTATAAAAAAAAGCCCATTATGTGTGTGGTCATCACTAAAAGAAGAGCTATATAGATCAACAAATCTAGTTTCATCCTTGTGATAAGCACATCCAGTAAAATCACTAACTAGCATATCTGAAATCATGTCGAGGAAAGTTTCTTTATCACGGTTACGATGAAAAGAAAATGATTTTAAGATCATATCTTCATCAAAGTTTTGTTTCTTATTAAAGCTAAATACATAGAGTACGTCAATTGAGGTACCAAACACATTTTTTGGGAACTTATAATTTAAAAGTGTATTTCCAAAAATTGTGCTATCTAGATATGCATATCAAAGATATAGAATCTAACTGAAGAAATACTGATTAAAATAAAACCTTAAGAACCTAAACAGTAGAGTTGAAAGAAAAAAAAAATATACCATTCAATATATTATCATTTTTGTCTTCCCTGTTGTACAAGATTTCTTCATGACCGAAAAAATTATTCATTCCACATCCAGCGCCATTGAGTTGTGATGACTTGTTTTTGTTGGATAACTTCTTGATAGATTTACTAAATGAATCTGTTATACCCCTTGAGAAGAAAGGTTGCTCCAAAGAACTGCGAAAACAGGGCATGTCAATGTCTTGCATTATGACATCCTGCATATATACACGACAGTTATGAGTCTCAGATGTCATTCAATAGTAAACAAGTTTCTTAACCCTCTCATGTAGTTCCACACAAATTACTGCCAGTCCACTGCACATAGCCACATAGGTATAATAAAACCAAATGAACTGAAATGCATGAAATAGAAAGTTGACAAGAGTATTGCAATGCTCAAAAAGAGACCGTGAGATTAAAATTAGATGGGCCCTGAACCCAACAAAATCTGGTCTAAGAACAAGCTCTTTCCTATCAGAAGCTTATCAACATCTGTGATCCACTTCTCCGATTTCAGTTGGGAAAAGGCTTTCTAGAGTTGAGAGATTAAATAATATTCATCATGAAATTATTCTGCTAAAGAAACTATTTTGTCATCGGCAACGCCCTTTTACAATCACTTAGGAGAAGCAAAAACCAGTGTAACAGGGAATTATATTATTTGCTTTATTAAGTACAGCAAATTTATATTTTCTTATCAAGTTTTCCTACCAATTTAAGTGCAATGCATTAACCATAAGCATTTCAAATGTGTTTTGTCCATAAACTATAGTCCAATAACAAGTTTATCCACAAGGAAAGATCCCAAAAAAAAAAAAATGCTTTGTTAAAAAAAAATCTTCAACTTTCATTCCCATTTCCCAAGAAACACACTTCCAATCAACTTTACTTTTTGTTTATCAGTAATTTAAATCACCACCACTTGCAGTTGAATACATTTCTAGTTTGTTGGAATCTTTTCATTCATCCACCTAGACATCCTCACCTAAAAAAAACTTACAACTATGGATGGGTTGCTTCTTTTTGGTCCAACCTTTTGCCTAAAGCATTGCAGTTTTAGAGTTTTCTAATTGAATTTTGTTTTTAATTCTCTTTGGACCGACCTTTTGCTTAGTATTGCAGTTTCACAGCTGTCGAATGAAAATTTCTTTTTAATTCAATTGCAACCTGTTGATCATAAAAACTTCAAAAGTATCCAGGGTAGCCTAGTATCCGATGAATTTACCCACATGAAGAATGAAAAACTTCAATAAATTATAACCAGAAACACACGATTGCACATAAGGAAAAATTGAAAGAAAAACTGAACACTACTTGCATCGAAAATATTTACAAATGATTCTAGATCATTTGTAAATATACTTCAACTTTCAATCCCAATTCCCTAGAAACACACTTCCAATCAACTTTACTTTTTGTTTATCAGTAATTTAAATCACCACCACTTACTGTTAACTACATTTCTAGTTTGTTAGAATCTTTTCATTCATCTACCTAGACATCTTCACCTCAAAAAACTTGAACCACAGATGGGTTGCTTCTTTTTGGTCCAACCTTTTGCCTCATAAAGCATTGCAGGTTTAAAGTTGTCTAATGGAATTTTGTTTTTAATTCTTTTTGGACCAACCTTTTGCTTCATCGAGTATTGCAGTTTCACAGCTGTCTAATGAAAATTTCTCTATAATTCAATCGCAACCTGTTGGTCTTAAAAACTTCAAAAGTGTCCACGGTAGCCTAGTATCCGATGAGTTTACACGCATGAAGAATGAATAACTTCAATAAATTATAATCAGAAACACAATTGAACAAATGGGAAAATTAAAAGAAAAACTGAACATTACTTGCATTGTAAATATTTACAAGTGATTCTAGATCCAACCAAGCATGATTGAACTGATTCAGAATTACTATCATTACTTTACTTCCTGCAATTTCATAGGACAGATGAACCGGCAACCCAGTTAGACTACTGGTCCCCGCCACATATTAGACTAGCTCTCTCGAGCTGATATATGTTGGGGGAAGAGAGAGAGACATCATGTGGCATGAAATTTAATAATGATAATTGACCTTAATAATGAGCCATCATCAAATTGAAATATGTATTAGGAAGTTTAATGTTTTATGTGAGTACGAACTGGATGGGCCACCCAGTGTGACCGCATTTAAACTGGTTGAATGGCTATTAGGTCATAGAAGATGGTTGATGGCGCCCAATTTGATAATTGTGTCTTAAAGATACTTCATACCTCACCATTTCTCCAGCAAAAAGATAATTCATACCTCACCATTCCACCAGGAAGTTTTATGCTGGTCTTTCCCATGTACTTCTCCTGGAGTCCTAGTGCACCTTCTCTCTATTTTGATACAATTTATCACTGAGTTCAGTATCTTTACATCTTTCCACTACAGTCTTGCTGTTGTTCCAACAGCAAGACTTATGCTAGCCTTTCATTTTATTTATCCTCAAGCATCTTTCCCTGTTCCCATGCAATTCCACATTCCATTCAGCGGCTTCACACCCTTCTTTTTAAAATCTAATTTTCACTTTCCTGCAGGATTAACTCCAATTTCAACCCTATCAATCATTTCAAATAGTACTTCTCCCTCTTCTAAGTCTGACCATTTTTCTAAGCCTCTCTTGTTTATGCATCCCATCAATCCTATCAAATCCAAAAATTTTAACCAAAAAATGATTGTTGTTTGCCCAGGTATTTCCTTAGTAAAGAAATAATCTCTGCATTTTTTTGTTTTGTCCCTTTTAAGATTGTGTGCATGCTTTAGATATTGCATGCAATAAGAATTCATGCAGAGGTAGCAAGTTTCCCAATATGCAAAGGTCAATGCTTCTAGGAGGAGGGAGGGAGAGAGGGAAAAGAACTAATTGTGGTACAAATAGGAAAATTATAGAAAATAGCAAAAATGCAGAGATTTATGTATATTAAAAAGTATGCATCGGTAATGCTCTCACCATTTCAACTTCAAGATCATCCAGGATACTGTTATGGTTCTTGGATGGGAGAGCTTGCCTCGTGGCGTTCAATGGCTTGGAGCAACCATACGAAAAGATTCTATAGTAATGTGAAATGTAAGGCATTGTTCAGAAAAGTTCCAATCTTAATTTGGGCTCTTCAGGTTATAACAAGATATAATGCAGCTAAGCCCCTTAAAATTAATTTTAATTGTAACCTCTACATGCAGCAGAGGAAACTATGGAACTAAGCAAATTAGATCCAGCAAGAATAGTGAGATAATTATAAAAAATCAAGTTGAGAAAAAAAAAGCTATGACATCAACTCACAAATTATGTCTTCAAACATGTTTCAAATTTTATCAATAAACAAGATGAATTGTTGTATAACAAGATCACAGTAAAGGTTCGGATGTTTACTGTAGTTCTAAAGCAAATGCAGGACAGCAAGAGCATCTTAAGAATAACTCAGGGACTAAAATCAGGACAAGAGGGCCCTGTTTCGTTCTTTTATTTGAAAATAGTTTTAAAAAACAGTGAACACAGAACCATATTTAGACAAAATAATAGCGTATTTATGAAATCAGATTTTCCTCTCTTTTTTAAGGAAAGAAAAAATTAGCGACTGGATTTTCAAACATTTCTTCTTCTTTTCTTTTCTTTTTTCCTCCCTTTGAGAATAGTAAAATATTCTCAGAAAACATAACCAAGTAGGCTCTAAAATTCAATGTTCATTCACATGCAGAAAACAAAACCACACAATTTATCCTTTGTGGAAAATTAATTTTAGCAAGTCAGAACTGTTCATATATCATTTGGATTATAAGAATGATCAACCTGTTGGTGCATCCCAATCAATTTAGACAAATTTTTTTACATAATATCCTTTCATTGCAAACACTATAGAGCATAAACTGGTTTAAAAAGTAACTAAGTTAACTTAAGTGGAACTGTACAATAGGTCATGAGTCAATCAGTAAGCCTTAGGCAGATGCCAAAGGTTCACCTACTTTATGCGAAATATATGTATAGAATTGCCCATCTCCTAAATTTCTTTTGGAAGTACTCATAAGAAGCTTGCCCATGGGAGGAATCTAGTACTTAGAACTATCAGGTTGCCAGTGAACTGTAGTACATACATGTTTTTGTTCTTTTAGTAAACTAACGCTAAATGAATTTTTTTTTATTTAAAAAAAGAACAATAGCTTCAACCAGGAATAACTAGAACTGACGCACAAGGGCTAGGCATGGTCAAATAGGCCTGTCTCGGAAATCACAAGGATAGGATAGTATAATTGGAACTATAACTTCGGCATTAGCCACCCAAGTACTAGAAATTTGGGACTGTCCAGTGTGGTTTGGAACTTTGGATACAGTGGTGTACCGATAAAAAAAAAAAAAAAAAAAAAATCAGTAGCTATCTGGCAAGAGTTGATGACTAAAACATGCCTTCTACTTCTGATCTATAGGAAATATATACATCCTGCAGTAACATTAAAAAACTCTTGAAAAATGGCATTACCCTTGAAGTATTGCAACACAACACCAAGATAGCATCCTAACTAGAAGCTAAGGTCTACATCATACAAGTTCAATTCTGGAAAGTCTGACAGTTACCTGCCAGGCTGTTGCGGTGATTGGACTGGTGTTTCTGATTCCACTTTACCTAAACCTGATGAAGAGGAGAAAACTTTAAACAAGCATGTATGCCACAACATCGGAAAGACTCAGAATCTTGATGGATATCATTTTCATACATAAAAAAGCTTAAACATGTCAGCATTTTAAAAGAATTTTGCAATTTGTTCTACAAATGCACATAAAACTACTATATAACAATGAAATCCTTCTGACAATAAATAAGCATGAGTATCATGTGAAGAAATGAGTGGAAAACATAACTAAGTTCATTTTTCAAAACTTGAGTTTAAAAGGCCAGTCCGTTTCTTTTTCCTAAATTCTTTCACTAATTACTTGACTACTGCAAGAATTCTCCAGTTCCTGGTTAAGAAAGTTCCCTGTTTGTGAGGTTAGCTTTCACTTATTTTGCAGACAACATTATGCATTGACACCACGGGACCACTATCTCTCTCTCAAAAAAAAATTTAAAAAATTAAAAAATAATAAAATCTCAAACCTCAAGCAACATGACTGTAAAGATCACTTTGTTCTTCTTATGATAAAAAGTCAATATCCACCGTCCCGTTTGAGTTTTTTTAGGCAGTCTATCCCTTAGAATTTGCTATAATTTCCAAAATATGAACATACCTTCAACTTGGGATGTAGAAATCATAAAGGACTTCAAAATTTTATAATAGTCAAAAATGGAAAAAAATAATTCATGAGGCTGACCACATTCATTTGGGATAAAGGTAAGGATGATGATGACAATGACAATGATGAACATACCTTCCAGTGAAAATGCAACATGAGCTTCATTTTCTCCTTCTGAATTGTTGCATGGTACATCATCACCAAGTAAATCAAGAATGGAATGCTCTAGGGAAAAAAGGATAAGAAAAAAATAAGTAAACTAAGATCAAGTAAACATTGAGATGTATCTATAATGATAAACCAGCTGCAAATCAGGTAAGAAAATGCTTTACATACCAAGGAGCTACCTATCAATTGTTAACCCTCAAACCTAACAAAAGATATAAAAAGTCATATACTTAAAAGCTTGGGCTTAATGAATATAAGCTACTCACGGTGCTTTCTAGCAGTCATCCTTTGATCCAGCTTGTCAACATTCCCATTTAAAGCTTTGTTATGACAATCAGGATTACCAGCCCTGTGAAGCCTTAAAAAGAATCAGCTCTTCACAAGGACAACACAAACTCTTTTACAACAATAACACACCAACTCACGAAAAGAAATAGAAGATCCAAAATGCATGAAATTAGAAGACAGTGAACATGCATGTAAAAAGTGAAACCATAGTTAATCGAGAGTACTTTTATAATTGCTAAATCCCACTTATAAAATATTAACAGTTGGGAATAAAAGGAATTTCATAATTAAACATGCATACACAAGTACATACATCTTTGGACATGCAACTTCCTCTTGGTAGATCAATGGAGTTCCTGCTTCAGCATATAACCCTCATTTATATTACAACTCATATAAATATCACTAAGTTAAAAAAGAAATCATTGCAAAACGAGACAAAATCTCAATCAAAGCTACAAAGTTGATTGCGTTCAGAAAAGCCTACTTGTTTCTTTAAATTCAGTGGTACTTGCAGGAGTGACTCTATCAGCCTGGAGTCTCTGGACTGGAGGTGAACAATTTGCAACGTGGTAATTCACCGTCCAACCATTGCCATCCAAATTTTCCATTTCTTATAGAGTCACAGAAACAGAAACATATAGGGAAAGATACAGAAAAGGTAAAGAAACTGTCATCTACGAAAAATAAATGAAAAGGCATACCTAGAAAAGTCATATCCCATATTACTATCACAGCTGTGCCTTTCTGATTAAAATTTAAAATACATTGACTACCGACTCTTTTCTTTTATTTCCTTATTTTAAAAAAATTTAAGTGTCAAAATATATTGACTCAAAATCCAGAATAAGAGTAACAAGCCAACCACATCAATATTGCGAATGTTACTGTAGTAACCTTGTGCCAATCAAATCAATAAGATGTTTCAGATAAGAAACCATGCTTGACGTTTATGTTACATGGGGTCAACTGCATCAACTGGGTACGGATATGTAATCATAGTATTTATCAAATCTTCAAACACAAGGACATGAGATCACGGCTAAATATCCATATTCTTTAATGTTTTTCCTTTATTTTTAAGGTAAAATGGTTTTTATGTAATACGGAGTTCAACATGGCAAAAAAAGGAAAAAGAAAAGAGAGAGAGACAGACAGACAGAGAGTTTAGCAAGGCACTTCTTTTGAATTATAATATTTTCAATATATAATTAAATAATATGTGCATGTCCAAATAAATGTGTTGGACATATCCAATTTTAAATGACTTCGAGCATTTAGAAGAGACTATCTATATTTATAATGAACAATGAAGCTTGAACTGAAAATCTAGGAGTTATTAGCTACAAGTCCCAGCACTGGTTTAAAGTGATCAGCTCAATTTTAATATGGGGGAATGAAACAGCCTAAATTGACAATTGTCACAATTCTGTGTTTGAGCAACTTTCATTGAGGTGAACCTACTATATCTTATCCAATTCAGCAAAAAAACAATATGAATAATATTCATAATTTGAATCTCAACCACTTTAGATGATGGGAATAGGAAAAAGAAATATGCTGTATTTTAGATCAGTTCACAAATTTGATAGATTTACCACTGTGGAAACTGGAATTGCGTTCTTCAGCAACTGTTGACAAGTTCAGTAAACTGAGGATATCAAGTGATCGATTATTTTTTTGAGATTGACTGCATGTGTTCATTACATCAGAACAGCTTTCTAGCCCGTTTGTCTGCTGCTGCTGTCGTAGTTGTCGTCTTCTTTGCTCAAAATATTGCTTTTGCCTGAGAGAAGAACTCAAGGAATCATGGTAAAAACAGAGCAATTTACATCCTCTAACACTATCTCAAATTCTGACAGATGCTTTCAACAACAAAAAGTATTAACATAAGATGACCATTTGCTTTCTTTGAAATGGGGAAAAAAATAACAAGAATTGTCTGTACCTCTTTTGTGTTGACTTTCTTGACTGAAACATTCCTCATCATGGAAAATTGAAACATATCATCAAAACATGAGAGGAAAAGGTGTATGTCAAAACAGAGATTCAGCATTTATTGAGTACATACAGTCTATATTCTATAAGACCATGAAAATATATCTAACATCCTAATTGATCACATGAACCTTAAGTTATTGACAAGAAGTTTAACCATGCCAACTTCTCTTCTCAAAATACATAGGAGCATAAAACTTTAGTAATACAAAGTAGAATAAAGTGAACAATTACACTAGCACTGATCGCATGCCATGGCCCATGGCCCATCAGTATCTATAAGTTTGGTCTGTAGTGAAGAAAAGTAATCATTTAACATATAAATATACATGCTCAATCGTGTGAGTTCCATGACTAGAGACCTGGAGTTGAGTAGTTGACCATGTACTGAGACATGACAGAAGAACTCGTGTGACCGTATGCAACTAAGTTCCAAGAATACAACTAACGAAGCTAGAAATTTCCAAAAACTATAGAGAATTAAGAGATTAGAGAAATCAAACCCCTAAGATTACAAAATCATAAGCCAGTGATCACAGTTGAATATTTACACCGCCATGTTCTTCTTCTCCTTCTCTTTTTCTCTCTTGCTCCTTTTCTGCTTGAAGACTCAAGGGACTTGGGAGAAGTTGAATATGTCTTAATTAGGTAAGGGTTTCCCTCATCTAGAATGTCCTAATGCAGTTCCCAAGCGACACTAAAACTGCCACTTTGCCCCATAGTCACAATTTAATATGATTCTCTATAACCAATGAGAAGCAAAGAACAATACTTATTTGAATGTAATATCATTTTAGTAAATGTATTCATTAAATATCTCAATCTACATGTAAATGAGAATAAAAAAATACCATCATTTGAATTTATTGAATATAGTGAAAAATGGAATTCTAAAGTCAATTTCCCCCCTTGAAGAACAACATTCTATTTATCATGCTTGGCTGATCTTCTAAACTTCCAAATGTCAGGTGTTTTTCTCTGAGATTTAAGAGAGAAAAGAATTTTTTTTTATGTCCAGAGGATACTAAAAGCCAAAAGACTGGTAAAATAAATTCTTACATGTTCAGTGTCCTTTGTACTTAAAAAGGTTCAATTCAACATGATTAATAGCAGCCAAAACATTCACATATAGTGGTCATATGAACTCTCTAGATGCACATTTAATCATTACATTGCATCAAATTGATATTAAAGATCTCAAAGGGATGACTTGACCTCAAATAAGATTTCAAAATCCAAACTATAATTTAGTAGAACCTTAAAATAGTTCTTTTAGAAATTTGAATAATGACCAAAGCAATAAGGTGCAAGATTTGGTTGTGCTAAGTGAATCAAAATATGACTTTTCTAGTTTCCTCAGTCCAGTCATTCTGGATGGTGAAACTGTAAAGAAGCTGCATTATGGTACAACTGTAACCTTCCTAAAACTAATAAATTCTCAGTGTTCAAAAAGTCCAGATTCGCAAAGAAAAGTTAAAATTAAGTCCTCATCACTGGTCACACTTACAGTTGTTACTTTCCGCTTTGATCCACCCATCCATTGTAACATTGTGAGAGATACAATCTTTCAACAGAGCCTAAATGAAGCAAAAGCAGCATGCACATCACCAACCCAATATATTAATCAAAGGTATGATTTTTATAAATAAAAAAAAAAAAAAAGAAAAAGAAATCCTATCAAGAACACAACAAACACAAGAACAGACCTCTTTTCTAAATAAATATAAAAATACCTAGTCAAATAGACTTTTTGTCTTTGTGGACTTTAGCTTGCACATTTTGTGTACGCAATGCTCTCTTAATGCAAGGAAATTTAATTGATATCGCATAAAAGTAACAAAATGTTACAAAATTGGAAACTTGTTGTGGAATTAAGGGGGAAAGGGCCCAGTATCTAAAACTTCCATTTGACTATTTCAGAACTTGAAGCTCAGAATATGCAATGACTCTTGTTTATAAAATATGACGTAACTAGAGAAACACCAATTGCAACTATCCAATGAATTCTTCATACAATTAAGAACCAAATTTGCAATTATTAATATAAAAAATTCAAAATTACTCCAGAGAAACTTTCTCTGAGAAAGGGAGTGGGATATAGATATGTGTGTGTGTGTGTATAATACGTATAGAGAGAGAGAGAGAGAGAGAGAGAGCAGTAACACAAATCTTAATTGGAAAAAAAGCAGATAAATGTCTCCAAAAGGTATACAGAAAGTCAATTAAGCTGCCATATACATACTCATGAACCAAAGATGTAATTGAATGCTAAAGCGAAGAGTAATTAGATGAATAAATCAAACAAATTATTTGAATTACAGATAGGACCTTTACCAGGACAGAGAAAGAAGCTTGAAATGTGATAGAGATTCGTGCGCTGAAATACAAAGATGCGAGAGAACAACACAACCACAAGTAGAATTTTAGAGAGAATATCAATGGCTTAGAGAGAGAGAGAGAGACCTGATACGCAGAGTGTAGATGGAAGATGAAGAGAGGTCCAATAGCAACAATGACGTCGGTGGCGTGCCGGTCGCGACCAGATGTAGGAGAGAAGCCAAATTGTTTGATCATTCAATGGATCAAGCAAGCAAGGTCTTCTTCGAAAGAACCAGAGCTAGACGAGTAGCTAGCTCGAGCAGGAGTTTAAGAAAAGCTAAAGCCCCGTGCCCTTCTTCTTTCTGGCGTGATTCCCCGCCAAAATGCCATTTCTTAGCCACTCCTCGTCTGAAATACGGCGTATTTTCATTTGAGAGTTGCAACTATTAACTCTTTAAAAAATGAAGTACTCTTTGGAAAAATTATGGACAAAAAATTATATTAAATTGTTTTTATTAAAAAAATTGCAGAATACTTTTATTTACAAATATTATTTTTTCTCAAGCAAAGAAAAAAAGGCAACTCAAAATTTAGATACTAAAAAGCATTTTTATTTTTCCATCTGAAGATCTTAAGTTAATTCTTCAATTTAGATCAAAACAAATTAAGGTTCGTGTAAAATATTTTTCCCAGAAAATATATATATTTTCAGGTTAAATATTTTTTTTATTTTCTCGATATTTGACAAAAGTCTTAAGGTCCAAATTGAAGTCAGTCCATCCTGGGGTGTTTAAAATAGTTTGCCTTAATATTTTTTTTTCCTAAATGTATTTTAATGAAATATTAATCAAAGTAAGGATTATAGGTGTTACTTTTCCTCCCATTCTAACCATTTTAGAAATTTATTACCATAGACAACTCTTCAGCGGAGGCAAGCAAATGAAGGCGGCATTACGTGCAACCTACAAGAAGCAAAGCTTTGTAGACTCGACAAGCCGCTTATAGAATGCCTAAGCCAACGGAGAACTTTATATGGCCAACCACTACATAAGCTACTGGCGGGCAGAGAAAGCTCATCGAGCATCCCTTCGTTCGTTTCTAAGCCAAGGCCCCAGGTCTTCGAGCCTTCAGAAATTCATTACCATAGACAACTCTTTAGGGGCTAGTTCAGGCCTGGCCAATTTGGAGCCTGACAAGGGGGGACACAAAGCACTGTAAAATGAAGGAGCTAATGTACGAAGACTAGCCCTTACGGGCTATGACTACAAAGTTGCACTTACAAGGTTGGACCCTGTGCTTCCAGGTTCTAATCGCAAGGCAGCAATATGTTTCAGACATTGTAACTGGAGTGATCAAATGAAATAACTGCAAGCTACTTTGGAAAAAACTGGAACTACAAAAACCACAAACAAATGCAGAACAAAGAGGTAAAGATTTCTCACTGCTATATTATGATCTGCCTTCTTTTCAATGACACAAAGACACCAGTAGAAATCAATCTACAAAATCCCCTCCTATTGCCTCTCAAACAAACATCTTTCGGAAAATTTTATCATCAATAGCCTACCAATTAATAGTATGCCCGGGTACTTCAAACACGTAATCATATGTTAGAGAGGATACACAGGCCACCTCTCCCTAACAAACACTACTTACACGCGTCTGCTTGCAAGATCACACACAACAACAAATTAAGTCGGAAACCTTCACAATAACACAGCTAGCACCACTTGAATTTACGAACAAATCCACTGACATTGATTAAAAAGACACACATATGGAATTCGATGCCATTCCCATTACAATCTTCTAAATGCTGCAGAATGCAAATAAAGGGGTAGTGCAACATATTAGAGGTACAGCATCCATTGTAATTAAAACATATGTAGCTTGTTTAGTACAAATCCAATGGTTCAGCTCCACTTCAAAATGCAAAAAACAAGAGTCCACAAAGGTTCACTTAATCTTCTTCTTAGGCCGCAGCTGCAACATAAAAATCAAACAAAGATTCAGCTAAAAATGTAAGAACTTATACCATATAGAATGTCCCAGTAGCAGTCAATACAGTAAAAACTTAAATAATAATAGGTCTAAATATGCCCAAATCTAGGAACAATTAAAAAAACTGAAGTAATTAAACCGAAAAATACGACAACCTCCCTTATGAAATAGCACACACTTCCCATCTAGATCCCAATCTCCCTTCACCAATCTCCCTTATTTTTTCGGTTGCAAATTCCTCTGAACCATTCAGTGCAATTCAAAACATCAATTCTTCCCACGGTAGTTATGCTGGAATATTGAGTTTACCATACACATCCCCCACTAGTAAGGTCAAATTAAATGAATTTACAATTTAATTTACCATGGATGAATTTTTTTCACTTCTAACATCTCCATAACCATTTTAGGCCCAAGCTCTCCATGCTCAAGCTCCATATCTGGTGGAACAAAGTCCAATAGCTTCCGCTTTTATTCATTGAGTCACCAAATAGTCACCAAAGGGAGTCCTATAGTTTCCCCTTCCCCTTGATAATTGTTAAAAGATGAAGATCCATGGAAAAGCGAGAAATCCAAGAGCGAGGAAATGAACTGAAAGTTCGGAGGGGCAGAGATTTTAAGAAAAGAGAAATTAAAGGTGGGAAGAAAAATTCCCCAAGTGTTAGGTTAATAAATAATAACAGCAATAATAACCTATTGGGCAATCATAATTACTATTTATTAAATTGTGGAGATGAGGAAACTTTTGTGCCCATTTGTGCTAACGGACAGCGATGGCATTGGAAAAAACAAAGGTGAAGATGGGTGGCCGTTGAAGATGTGTTGTTTAAATGCTATACACAAAAATAGGAGGATAAAGACGATTTTTTTTCTTTTCTGATAATTGATAGCACGGGTGAAGAACTAAAGATGATGCCCTGATTCTCATGATTTATTTTAAGTCATACAATTAAGATAATCTTGTTTTAGGTTTGAAATGAGATAAGATATATGAGCAAAAGCATTCCATTAACGGCACCCACTCTGGGCAAAGTCGATGTGATTTTACTGTCAAGATGAGAAGCAGGTGCAATTTTGCAAGACCCCAAATAAGTTGGCATATTTACAGGTGAAACATAAAAATCAAATGAGGTAGACAGGAGAGAAACCTGATTGCTGTGACCACACTTCTTCTTCCTGCAGTTCACAGCCCTTGGATGCAGACGGGCATAGCATCTACAGGGAAAATAAGAAATATGATAATACAACCATTAAAAAGCAAATATCCCTTAGGACTGCAACTAGCAATTCCTTAGGACACCGGCACAATATATTTAGGGAAAAAAACGAGTGTCTAAAAACACCTATTACACAATGAATTGTTTAACTTTAAAATACATATTTGTAAGATGTAACTATGCAATGATGGAACAACAGAACAGTCCCACCATTTTCAAGAACTAAAAAATATTTAATAAATAGGTTCAGTATTTTCATGTAGGGTGTCAGTTTTATTTAACTTAAACTTGGGGCTTTCGTGTAGTTTATGCTCTCTTAGAATTAATTGAACTGTAAGTCTACAAAAGGAAACTATTGCCACTCAATATCAAAAGAAACTATCTGACTATGCTTGAGATTTTGAAACTGTGAGAAACAATTGGTATGGAAGCCATATCCTATTCCGAATTATAAACAAGTAAAACCATCTAATCCCAGTGATAAAATGTACCACACATGAAAATCAACTGCAAGTAATTGAAATCAGCTGACAAAGTTGTAGAATGGAAATCAATATATGGAACGGTAATACCCTCTTTTGCACTTCAACAGCAAGAGAGGCAACAAAATACAGTTCCATTAGCAAAATAAACCATTAAAAAGAATGGAAGAAATGTAAGAAAAGACATTTAGAAACATAACTACCACGAAATGTCAGCAAAACAAAAGATACTAATTACTAAATATTCATTCACATATCAATTTTGTTCCTTACCTCCAACCGAAAAATAAAAGAGGAACAGAAAAGAAAAGTGAGGATGGGTTTAGGATTTCCATTCTCAATTTCAATTTGTTTCTTTCCATTAAAAAAATCAGAACATGAACAAATCAGCACACAAATCAGAAAAGTAATTATGAGAAAGTCAAAAGTCAGAATATCAAGCATTTGAATAAAGAATTGGAAGCACGGTATCAGACGGAACTGCGCCTATGAGAAAATTAAAAGTGTATATTATAGAAGCGTACTTCCTGCATATCATCTTGTCTTGATTGTATTTCCGAGCCAAAGCCATCAAAGAAGGTTCTATGATCCCTCCTCTAAGCCTCAACACAAGATGGAGGGTCGATTCTGAATCACCAATAAACAAGCCCAAAAACATATTAATAAAAGAAAGAAGTGTTCGATCATTCTTTATTTTGCGAAGTAATAAAAAATAGAACAGTTTTGAGAACTATTTCTTTAATTAGGGCTTAACAGAGACCTTTCTGGATGTTGTAGTCGGCGAGAGTTCGGCCATCTTCGAGTTGCTTTCCGGCGAATATCAATCTTTGCTGGTCCGGTGGAATACCTGTTGAATCGTATCAAAACCATATACAAAAAACGCGTTTATATATGTGAAATATAAATATATATACATACAGATGGGAAATAGAGCAAATATAAGTACCTTCCTTGTCTTGAATCTTGGCCTTCACATTGTCGATGGTGTCACTGCTCTCTACCTCAAGAGTTATTGTCTTACCGGTTAGGGTTTTCACAAATATCTGCATCTTCTCTCACTAGACGAACACACCGTCTCTCTCTACGACTGAATTTACAGAAATGAGGATGGGCTATAGATGGTATATATAGTTTCTTTCTAGGGTTCCCAATTAGGGTTTTGGAAAGGCCCGTACCCGGCCCAATCTTTTACGGTAAGTTGGTTAAGGAAACCACCGTGAATGTTTTTTTCTTGGGTTAAGTGCAAAAAACCTCCTGATATATAAACTTTGTGCCAAACTAGTTCCTACTTTTTGAAAATGTGTATGCAAATCCACAAAATTCATAAAAGGTGCATAACCAGTCCCTCTGACAACTTTTTGCAAAAAGTAAAACTGAAAACCTCATTTTACCCTTTTGTTTCCCATTTTGCCCCTCACCCATATGTGCATATAACCTCGTCGGAGATGTGACCGGATTTTCGCCGGAATCGGATTTTCGCCGAAGAAGACGCGTGAGGCGCGTGACAGCGCGTGAAATCTACTCGCAAAACTTCAGGTGGCGCATGTAACGTCGTCCGTGGCTTTTATTTGCAGCGTCGTGTTCGTCTTCGTCTTGTGGACCTTATTCGGCAATCAAAATGTGATTTTGATCACATTTATTTTCTGCGTTGTTGGCTCTCTTTCTCTCTGATCTCTATAATTTTCCTACTCTTTCTGGCTCTCTTAACAATCACCGCAATTTTCTCTCTCTTCAACACCTCCGCGGCGGCCGATGGGGCGATGGCGAAATGGCCATGGAAATATGGGGTGACCGAGCCCTAGGAATTGACTTTCTTGTCAAATCCCCTCTCGTCTGTAGCCCCTCAGGTTAAGGTAGTGGTAGTACCAAGCCTCTTTGCAAGAACCGAAGGAAGAAAAAAAAATTGAACAAGAATAGAGAGCAACATAATGGAATGTGTAGAGAGAGAAGTGCTGCTGCGCGGGTTGCGTGTGCGAGAAAAAGATGAAGAGAGAGAAAGCATGAAAGTACAGAGAGACCCAACCTGTAATATCCCGTAATTTTAAAGAGTTTATTTAAATTAATTTTGTGTTAGGTTAATTCTTTAATGTGTAGATTTATTCACCTTTTTATTATATATGTTAAATTATTTAATTAATTTTATTTATTTGTGCAGGTAATATTGATTTTTTTGTTCTATATATTATAATGATTAGTTTAGACATTTTATTGGTTATGTTTTAGATTAATTAATATTATTTAATTAAAGTATTTAATTTGTATTTAATAATAATAATATTTATAATAATAATTATTATAATAGTTTATTAATAATAAAAATAATAATAATATTTATAATAAATAATAATAGTATTAAATCGATGTAATGATGAAGAAATTAAATCTTAGGATAGGATTTACCTTAGGACATCTTGTTTGACTTGGCTTGCTAGCCTTAAAGCCTTATGGTTGGGAATGTGGTTAATTAAATGCAAAAATAGATATTTGTAATATTTAAATTATATAAGTTATGTATATATAGAAGTTAGCCCTTTAGTTGAGGATTCACATAAGTTGAAGAAGGAAATAATAAAAGTGAGTTCTTGTACAAGACCGAAAGGAAAAGAGAGAAAGAAAGGAGCCTGAACCGGTGTAGGGAATTTACCCGATTACGCGCAACCGGCGGATTTATTTTAAATCCAAAAAGCCAAGTTATTATCTACTTTTCCCCTTTGAATTAATAAATTAATTGTTTAGTTTATTTGTATGCATAGAGCCAAGGTTAGTAGAGTAATAAATTATAAATTTTATCTTATTAAATTAATAAAAATTTAATTATATAGGATGGTATATATTTATTTAATATCCTATGAAATTAATAATGGCCGAAAATAATTAAATAAAGCTTTAGGGATTTTTCTAGAATTTTCTAGATTTTTTCGGGGCTTTTCTGCAATTTCCGGCGACCTTCCGGCGAGTTTTCCGGTCGCCGACAATGGGGGAGATGACCGGAGTGATCCGGTGTGATGCGGCGCACCATAGGAGGGTATGCGCGCGCATCTGGACCATTAAACAGCAACGATTGATCCGGTGCACCGCGGTCCATGTTACCGCGGTACACCCGGATCCGTAAGCGTTGGATGGAGGGAAGGTAGGTGGATTGATCCGGTGTGGCGCGCAGGTAGGAAAGGTGATGCAGCCACCCAACCGGAGGACGCCACGTCTGTAGGAGCCTTCAACGCGCGCGTGGGAGCGCGTGCGCGCGCGTGGAACTCTCCAGACGCGCGTGGAAGCGCGTGCAAGCGCGTGAGAGAGTGGAAAACATTGGGCTGCGCGTGGGGAAGCTTAGGGCGGCGCGTAGGGGCGCGTGAGGGGCCCTGTCAGCTGCTGGAAATTACCGGATTACCCCTAGGGCCTGTTTTGTAAATTCCAAAGCCTTAAACTTGGATTTTTAGGTACGGGGTTGGTATTTACGGGTTTAACGGGCCACGAAATTATTATTTCAATACCCGTTAAGTATTATTAGGGCCGATTAATATTTCTAAACCTTAATTAGCCGTTTACCGTACAGATATGAATGTGATTCATTTGAACAACATTACTATAGGTGGTGTTATTATTTTATTAAATGGTATTCATTAGTACTGTTAATAATGTCACGGTTATCGTCATATAAGTTATCCATTAGATGTTATGGGATATTTATACTGTTAATCATATATCAACCATGATTATTATGCTGTGTGCATTTCAGAGAATAAATGGATTGTTTAAATTATGTCGCATTTATATTATATGGATGTGTTGCCATATAGAACCATGTGAGCTGGCTAATAAGTTTAGACTCATTTATACCTTATGCATTCGTTGCTATAGACAGATGTGTGGCTTTCGGGGTATATGGTTTAATATTATTGGCATGTGTTGCCTAATTGACATGCTCAGTATATTTAGTAATATTATTGGCATGTGTTGCCTAATTTATATGCTCGGTATATTCATCAGTACTTTGAGAGGTGTTATCACTGTGTAGTTCGTTATAGTCTGTGTTGTCAGTACCGTGCACCATGTATAATAGCTGATTTCCCGGGTAGGGAAAGGCGACACTTAACCACCTAGTGTGAGTTTAAGTGATCACCGTCTGTTCTGGTTGAGGTCATGTTATACATTGGATGTTCCCTTAGGATGTATACAAATATAGTACTCATCCGATTCATAATTTATTTGATTCTCTGATTTGGGTCATAGTAGAGAGGACTTACTCGTGGGGTTGACCCACCATTGTTGTTATTTCAGGATACGGTCAGTACCCGTTCCAAGGTTGAGGTTAGCAGTGTGGGACCACCATCCGAACTCATCTACTCTTACGATCCAGTTCAGGGTAGAAGTTTTACGTATTACTTCAGTTTCAGTTTTTATTTACTTTTGACGTTGAACTCTCAGGTTTATATTTAGGGATCCTTGACATAGGATTTCCAAGTTGTAATGGAGTACTGTATTTAAATAAAGGATGGGTAGATGTTGTATTATTTAGTGTTCCTTTCCTGTCTAAATTCTTTTATTATCATCATTTTGTATTCCATGCTTGTATATTGCCAATTGTTTTGATATCCCTCGTTTTTCATGTATAAGCCTGATCAACTTATGCGTGGAAAATGTGGGGGTGTTACACAACCATCCAAAACAGCTCTGTGAAGAAGAAGAAGATGATGATTGATCTGGGTCTGTGCTTTCAGTAGTGTTCGACAGAAAAGAGAGAAGGGTGTGGATAGACAAAATTTTGTTTAGTGCCTGTATTCATAAATTAGGTTATATCATATGTATTGCATACTATATATATATATATATAAAGAAAATGGAGTCAGTGGACAATTCACAAAGCAGATCTTGCTTTCTGGGCAGTTCGTTTCATACATCCAGGTCAATCTCCAAGCAATTCACAAAGCAATTCGTTTCAATCTCCAAGTCAGTGTGATTGTTGCAATAACAAATATATATATCAAACCAAAAACCTATCTCCAACTTTCACTTCTGATGCCTTTCAAACCCAATTAGGAATCAATCTTACCAAACAAAATGAGTGAACAAGGTCAACCCACTAAAAAAAAAGAGAAAAGAATAAAGGACCTAAAATGGTAATTTATATTGTCTATTTTTTTTAATAATATTTTATTTATATTAGAGAGGGTATTATCGTCATTTTACACGACCAGGGACCCAATCACACCAAATTGATAGTATAGGGGGGTTTTTTACTACACAAGGACTGATATGCACTATATTTATAGTAGAGGGGGGTTTTTTGCACTTAACCCTTTTTTCTTCCCTCTTTTATAATTTGGGTTTCAACAAAAAGAAGATGCGTCAGACATGAGAGAAAATAAAAGGAATAGAAAGAAATCAATAACAATAGTTACGTGAGAAAAGATATTAAATGATAGATATAATTTATATTTATGTTTGGATAAATAGGAAAAAATAATAATAATAATAATAATATTCTTGTTTGAATAGGAGAGAAAATAAAATAATAATCAAATTCTATCTTATATTTTTTATCTAATCTAAATCAAATGGATTACACTCCAAATCTTGTAAATTTTGGAGGGATACAATTTGTTCAAATTGGGCTAATAAATAAGTTGGCTCAATTTTTAAATGACTAAGTATTGAATATTAATATATGGTTAAGTGCAAGAGAACACCCTAATAATATGCAAAATGTGTAATTACTCCCCTATTGTTCAAAAAACCCACTTACTGTTTTCAATTTGTGTAAATAAGGACAAATAACAATTTTGTTGGTAAAATTACTAAATTAACCTTACTTAGCAAAAAAAAAAAAAAAAAAATGGACAAAAGACAAAATATCAAAATTACCCTTAAAGTCATAACATAATAGTATAAGGATTTTAATTGTGTCCCAAAATTTAAAACAAAATTAGAATGTGGCTTACCTTTGAATTTTCCTTCCAATACATTCAAGAATATATATATATAAATCTATAGTTGCTAAAAATAAAAAAATTATAGACCTACATCACTAACTATATGTCAGTCTCACTTATCAATAATAAACTAAATAAATTTAACCGCATTTTATCCCACTTATTAATAATTTTTTAGAAATTGTGCTTGAAAAGTTAATGGTAAACCAACTAGAGAAAATAAAAAAGGGTTAATTACAATGACACCCCCTGAGGTTTGCCATATTAACAGCTATATACAAGTTGGAGCTTTTTTGAACAATGACACCCCCTTATAAAAAATTGCATCCAAACAACCCCTAAAAGGTTATGAAAAGTCGAAATTGTCCTTTAATAATTTATTACTATTAATGATAAAATATCAAAACTCTTTAAAGACCAAATTGCCCTTTGTGTAAGATCAATACCAACCACCCATTTTTTCTTCCCTCATTACCTTCTGTCCACCCAAACCCACTAAATCACTCACCATCGCAGCCACCACCTCTTCACCCACAACCTTTGGATTCAAAATTTTGATGGAAACATTCGTAGTTCATGAGATCGGTCGACATGAGAGAAGATTAGATCGTTTAGAACTTCTGCAAGTTTTTTTTTTGGGCTCCCGTGATGGTGACAACCAGGGCGACGAGATTGGGTTCCGATGAGGGTGACTAGCTAGCAGCGAGGATGACACGGCGGTGATGCATTTGCGACGTCGACGGCAACTAGGGTTATATATATATATATATATATATATATATAAAGAGAAGTGGTGGATGTGGCTGTGGGTAGCGGTGGAATGGTAGGTGCTTTTGGGAGGATGGAGAGAACAGGGTGAACTTAGGAAGAAAGGGAAAAAATTATTTGGTCACTTAATACACCTGTGGTATGGGCGAGGGTGGCGCCGCCGAGGCCGATGCACTCGAGGCGGCCGCCAGTGTTTCAGGATAAGCGGTCGTTGGAGTTTTTGCAGCCAGTGCTAGGTCGGCGTCGGGAAGGATCTCGTTCTTCGACTCACCGGATCTATTGGCAATGACTTTCGTCTCCGTGACGACCTCTTGATCTGCCATGGGCAACCACGCCTCAATTTGGGGGTTCACTGCCGCCGCCAACAACTCGACCTTTGCCTACGCAGACACGAGCGAAGCAATAACTTTTGTTGAAGATGATTCGCGGGATGCCGCTGGCGTTAACGACGTCAGGGAACCACCGGACCTGCGGTGAATGTGTCGGTGAAGAGGCAGTCGGGGCGGCGACTAAGGAGGAGCTACTTGATGGGTTCTTGGAGGATGGAGATGATGGAAGGCTGATGTGGTCGACGACGGGGATGTGACTGAGATTCCAATGGAGAATCCATGATCGCAGAGCTGATTGAATCTGTGTAGGGCTTCTCAGCTTTAGTGGTGGTTTAAGGGCTAAATTGGTCAATTGAAATGATTAGAAAGGTTAAAAAGGTAATTTTATAATTCAAATGGGTTAATTCACAAGTGAAAGGGCATTAAGGTTATTTTAGCTTGTGTGGGGTGTTCTTGTTAATTTTATCAAACTTAAAGGGGTCTTATTGTTCAAAAAGAGGTTAACTTGTATATGGCTTTCATTAGGACAAATCTCGGGGGGTGTCATTGTAATTAACCCAATAAAAAAATAAGAAAAAAAAAAGTTAATGGAAAACCAACTAGGGAAATTTTTTTTATGGTAAATTCAAAAAGTTTGGCTCGCATGATGTTAAAAACCTTGTGCTTGTTTATTATAAAGAACAGGATATGATAAAAACATTGACATTAATAAAATAAAAAAAGATAAAATAAACAATTTTAGAAATAGAAAAATGTGTTGCTTGAGTTTGTGTCTAGCCGAGGAGCAAGTAGATCAAAATTTTAATTTTGATAGTAATCCTAAATTCATCTGATAACAATTTGTGTCAAAGCAAATTCATTAATTTATTATTATTATATAAATATATAATTAAAGGAGGCTCATTCATTTACAAGAAAATATACATCTATCATTAAGAGAGGAGATAATATTGGCAGCAATAGAAAAAAATTTAGAGAGAAAAAAATTAGAGGAAGAATATCGGAAGTGGCGAGATATTTTAGAGAGATAGCATACTAAGAGTTTTTCTTGGATAAGTCTTGAAGTACATCTAAACAAATTCATTCACTGTTCAAATATATACAAAATTAGTAGGGGCATTCTTGTCACACAAAAAGGGCACTTTTGAATTTTTTTTAAAAAATGATGTCACCAAATGCTCTTTTTCAACGAATTCATTTAATATGGGGCAAATTGCTCAAAAGTTAAATAATACAAGGAGTTATATGCACTTTTTTTTTTTTTTTTTTTTTTTTTTAAATTTTAATATGGGTGTTTCTTGCAAATGTTTTATATAGCAAGGGTTTTTTTTTGCACTTAAACAAAAGTCTTAAAAATATTAAATATTTATATATATATCTAAATTTAATGGTACGTATATAATCGGGGCGGGTTCGTCACTAAATCCATACCCATCCCAAACCCATTTGGGAGATTACACGCTCCATTTGGAGTGGAGAGGGGCGAAAATCCGCTGGGTTGGAAGAAATTGCCATTCATAATTATTAAATATTATATTGTGTTATGTTAATAGATGTAGAGAGTCGAAACTTGACATTCCAAAATTCACAGGGGGCACTAATCCACTGACCTAGACAATTGCATTTACTTTCGTGTTTGAACGGCTCAGTTCACACGTTTTTATATCTTTATTTATTTTTAGAATATATTTGTATGAATAATGTCATTTACCAAAATCAACAATGTAATCAAATTCTATTTGATTCATCCGCTTATAAAAAAAATTAAAAAATAAAAACTTTTAGATTCCTCTAAAATGATCAATTTGATTTGCATAGCCATAACTTTTTTACTACAACAACACAATGAATTTCTGAAAATACAAAAGGTAAAATTGTTTAATTTTTAATATGAATTTGTAAAAAATCACAATCCAAAAAGAATTTAAAAAAAATTGTAAAATGACAAGCGAAAAATATTTAAAAAAAAAAAAACAACTTTTTTATTACAACTATACACAATGAATTTGTAGGGCATTATCTAATGGTATATTGGGTAGAGCGTCCAACTCCCCGAGTTGATATTCGTATTCGAGTCCCTTCTCATAATTTGTCAAGATAAAAAACAATTCTAAAAATAGTAAAGGGTAAATGATTAATTGTTAACGTAAATTTGTAAAACTACAAGCAAAAATATTTTAACTACAACTATACACAATGAATTTCTAAAAACAGTAAAGGGTAAATAATTAATTTTTTATATGAATTTGTCAATCAGAAGCCAAAAATAATTTTTTTAAATTTTAAGCCAAAAATAATTTTTTTTTAAAAAAATAATAATAAATTCAAAAATGACAGCTGTGGGATTTGAACCCACGCCCTTTCGGACCAGAGCCTAAATCTGGCGCCTTAGACCACTCGGCCAAACTGTCTTAATTATTACGAATCTTCTAATAAAAGATTATATATTAATATAATGACACAATTTTACAATAAATTATAGCTATTGTTCGTTTAAACAATATCCTAGATTTCCAATACTCCACCTTCAACAACCAGTGGAAATTGATAGAGCTATGGATTGATGAAGGATTTAAAAGTAATAGATTTGAGTTTAACTTTAAAGTTGGATCACAAAACTCAAAAGAAATATTAAATTACAGAGGTATGCTGGACATATATATTTGTCATAACCATTTTGCAGTTAAACATAAATTACTAATTTAAAACTTATGCTATAATCCGTTATATTATTGAACCTAAATTCACTCATGTCAAATACTTGCAACAAAGTCCTCACATGCAGTAGTACAAAATTTGTTTTCTTATATATTTGCTACAAAATTTGAACTTTGAATAAAGGTACTTATGTCACTATGAGGATGAGATTTGCCAGAAACTGAAAAACTCAACTAGACCAATAGTGGTTGATTTAGACTAACTGGAGGCTTCTATTTTTATTTTTTGGGGTTAGGTAAGTACTCTCAAGCACAAACATTACCGAACCCCTCCCTTCCCCTTTTGAGGGACGAGAGGGTATAACATTGGGCTAATACATGTTGCATGAAAATAGAGAACAAAGATTGATATGCTTTATTTCCAATCTTTTCTCTGCAACCAAACAGAAATTTTTAACAAAAAATACAAGACAACATGACTAACAACAAGAGAAAACAGATGATGGTAACTAAATGAGAAATCCAACTTCCAGAAACTTTGCTTCCCTCATATGGATCATCACCCCACGCCAAGGACTCTTTACTGTACCTCCTCCTCTCAGCACCCATTGCATTGTGTCTTCCTTGTTCGTTCAATCTAATATGGGATAAAATGTGAGGGAAAACCTTCTTATAGGACTCTTCTCCAATCAATAAATCCGAGTGTCCGAAACCCTCCACAACCACCCTTCCATGTCTGAAACCAGGCTGGTGCAACTTCATGTACTTGTTAGCAAGAAAAGAAGTCTCAGGTGTCACAAGTAGAGTCCGTCCACCGGATATATAGAGTGTTGGGAGTGCCATTCTCTCGGGATGAATCAAGTATGAGTTTCTTCCATTGCTGTCCACAATAAAACCAGCATTACAAATCTTTCTGAGGTAAGGAAACGCAGCCATGGGGAGCCTCGGTAAGCTTTGTTTGTTTAACCAAAAGTGCATTGTGGGACTTAAATTGTCATGCCAGAATGTGTTACCAAATATGCCTGAAAAGACTTCACATTCATCACAGGTGCATCTCTCGTGACGTGGCACCAGACGGGCAATGGATTTGAGGAACCGGTGTCTTGAACTGGCCTTTGATGTTTCAAACAATGGTAGGATCGTGTTCTTGCCTAGTATCACCATTGACATCTGCAGGTTGATTCAAGTAAAAAAAATACGTACGATCAGCCCCTAAAGCAGCATATAAAATAATGTTGAGACTGTGTCCTAGGCCTATGTTGATTAGCCCCAAGAACAATAGAGTTTTTTTGGTCAAATCAAGGTGTGTGGATTCCCGAGTGACTACATTCTTCTAAGATCCAAAAGGCTCCCAAATTACATTAACCTATTCATACCATACCCATTTTATCTTATATAGTTTGCTTGTTTTCAAATATCATGAATATTATGAACAATGCCCAGAATATTTTCAACTTAATTTTTTCAAAAATGAGTTGTTTTCCCACCACTTTTTCTACTCAATTAGTCTCTGTTTCTGAATTATTACTGACAGCAAAGTTCATCAATTTGGCCATATTTGGAGTGGAAAGAGAAGAAAGAGCTTACTGGAATGAGGGGAAGCCACATTTTGACTCTGGATGAGGCAGTCAGCTTGAAGAACATTGAAGAATTGGTGCAAGAAAGAGAAGCTATATGGGTAGCAGAGACATGGCCTCCCATTAGAGCTATGTGCATTGATAAGCCTCCAACACAATGCGCAACCACATGTACCATTACCAATGGTCCATGCAACTCATGAATCTTACCAATCACTGCAGAGAAAAACTAAGAACAACTCAGATAAAAATCAAATTGGCATGAGTTAAAATAGAAATGAATAAATATTTTTTCGACTTTACCAGCAGGTATGTCAAATCTGCCAATATCTTCAATTGTGAAATTATTTGAAGAATTCGAAGGGTGTAATCTTGGTTGTAGAAGCCACACTTCATGCCCTTCTTCCAGTAGAGTTCTAACCAAATCATTTGGTTCAGTTGGTAGACAGTAACTCTCAGTGGAATGCCCATTAATAAGTAGAACCGGACTTAGTTTCTTCTCTCCTTCAAGTCCGCATCGATTCTGATTGCATTTCCATTGTCTGCAACTGATGGTAAACCGATCTTCTGAAAAATTTACAAGAGGCAACACAACATTGAGAACTCAAATACCATGAGTCCAAAAAAAATAGGAAATAGCAAAAACATTATGCTTCTTGAAATGTTCTCTGTCCAAACAGAATTCAATTATCAAATATTTGAATCATGAAACCAAGCGAAATTACCTGTTTCTATCTCATGATGAGTACAGGTTGGATAAGATATTTGCGGGAGTTCTGATGGGTTGAAATCCTTGTGAGTACCTCGCGGTACTTGTAAGATGTAGGTTCTGAGGAAAGTCCGTAACAGTAGGCGTATAAACATTCCTCTCAGTTTTCCTTCCATGCTAATCAAAGTCTTTAGCAACTCCGTCATGGAGATGCTTAGCTCCCCTTTTAGGTTCACCATTTCTTCCACTGAATTCTCCTTGGTGATTTTTTTGAATGTCACATGCATCGTTGTGGTCTCCCTCCATACATATAATCCAAATAGATAAGGATTCATTACCTTCTTCCCTTCAAGAATATATCTACATCAAATAGAATTTTGGTTAGTTCTGTTATATATAAGCTGCATAAACGAAAGGAAAAATTAAGAATTCAAAGTATATTTAAACCTTGAACCAGAAGAAGCTGCAAGAAGGAGACGATAGTGCATATACTGCGTGTAAGAAGTTCTGCAATCTACTCTACACAAATCTACTTCCCCATCTATAACATGTAATCTGTCAATCTCCACAGCTTTAAATACAACATATCCACCTACTTTTCCTCTCAGAAGAGGATGAGATCCTCCAATAGCCCTACCCTGTCCATCAAACTCCTTCAAAGTCCTAGAGTTCATACTCAGTTTGAGGTAAGCTATGCATGGCATACCCCCCAAGCACCCTTTCATGGTTTCTTTGAACACAACCGTTGATCTCGGGCTGCTACTTAACTTCCCAGATATGATCGAACCTTGCTTATGATCAACAGTTTTATTGACAAATTCTTTACCCTCTTTGCTCTTGTATATAAAAACATCCTGCACAAGGTGTCTACTTACATGCTCAGCTGCTGCTGCAATGGTAAGACAAGGGTTTATGCCAACAGAGCAGGGAATTAAGGAGGCATCACAAACATAGAGACCAGGATGCACAGTTTTGGGAGACTTTGTGTCAAATACTTGACCATTAGGATTACAAACCCCATGTGAAGGATCTGATGATGCATTGCACCCACCTAAAAGATGAACAGATGTACTCCGATACCTCGACATGAACAGAATTCCTCCTACTTTTCTAGTAAGTTTTTGAAAGGCTTCAACTTTTCGTGGCAACAAAGGATCATAGGCTGGCCGAATACATATTCTGTTTGTGTCTTTTTCTAGAGTAATTCTCCCGTCACTGTCATCATATCCTATTCCATTAAGAATCATTCCTTGGCAAGCTTTTAGGCCAAATATACGTTTCAGCTCATCTATAACCCCATGCAAGAACCAATAGCCATATGGCCACCCATAAGTTGTGCCCCCTTTAAATATTAGGCGAGGATAAGCCGTTGAGATTACTGCACTCTGTGCCAAACAAAAAAAGGTAAGTGCTTGTTAAATTTTTTACTTGAAAGAGGGCATACAACATATCTGTATGGTAATAAACTTTTGAATGTACATATACATATTTGTGATGTCAAGAGATGCGCTTAGACTAACTATATATATGTGTGTGTGTGTGTATGAAAGAGGTTATCATTATCCTGAGTTTACAAGCATATGTCATATCATTACATTCAAATTCAAATATTATATGAGAATTAGAAGGTGAACCCCACTGATTGAGAAAATTTCCCAGACATGATTAAGAACCATTGCTACAATAACTACAGATAAGCTTAAACTTGGAACTTCTATTTATATGCTCAATTATCACGATCTAGTTTCTCCCAAGAGTTATCTAGTCCGTTGATTGCATTTCTTTTAATATACCAATAAAGCAGACGACAGTCACCAGATTGTCATGACAATGTATCAAGTTTGGCATAAAAAACAGATGCACATGGACTAAGGCAAAGGGGATCTTTAGTGAAGAAGGCTTCCACCTGAATTGTGAACCCCAGCGAAGAAGTGTAAGATGAAGAAATGGATGTTCCTGGTCGTTCTTGGAAAGGTACTTTTGATAATTGCTTTCTATCTAAACCGAAAGCACTCAAGGGTGCTGAGCTTCCAGCAATATAAGCAACATTATTCCCATTACAGCTGAATCCACATCCAAGCCTCTCAGAAAGTTTCAGCCCTCTAAATTGCGACTGGAATAGGATTTCAGCTGTACCAAGAACTCCAGCTGAGAAACAAAAGAAAATGATAAAAGTTAAAGTACTTGAAAACGTATGTCAGTTCAAAACCTACAAAAATAGATCAGAAATGTTGTTACATTTGTACACACCTGAAAGGATAACAAAATCAGAAGTTATGTAGTCAGTTTCATTGAGGAATACAAGCCAACGCCGCTTTCTTTTCCTGCTAATTCTTTCATCATCTTTGTGAAGATCATTTGTGTTTTTCACCACATAATGAACTTGACATTCTGTTTTGATAGTACATCCTGCCTGCATATTTGTTTAACAATATAAAAATATGTAAATATACAATGACATATTAGAAAATCCAACATAATATATTCACTCCATTTTTTAGGCATCATTTGTATTCCAAATATATTTAGACTTCCAACGGAGTAAATGATTTCTGCATGGTGCCCAAACGAGCCTGATGTACATAAAAATTAGATTTGCCACCTTAAACAACATTAAGAAGAAATTTACCTGGATGGCAGAAACCAGATAATTTTTGTCTGTAGAACCTTTGGCGTTATAAGGGCACCCAACAAGACAATTTCCACAGGCTACGCAGCTACCCATTTCTTGAGACTTGGTTGGATTGGATGGCTGTTCTTCTGTTTCAAAATTCACACTCAGCTTCAGAGAACCGCGGCAACTTTCTTCCATCTCTTCTTCGACTATTTCTTCCATGACTTTGGCATTGGGAAACTTGACGGGAACAGTCTGTATTCCAAGCATGGCTGAAGCAGAAGCTTCACACATCTTCCAATCTCTTTCCCATTCTTTTGGCCATTTTGGGTTCTTTCTTGCACGAGCTGGGGTTGGTAGCATAACTCCTGCATTAACTAGTGAACCTCCACCAAGCCCACAGGCCACTGCTGCTAGAGAATCATCTTGTATATATACCTGTACTTGCATCATACAATTCCATAAAACTTTAGATTCTTGGAGATACTTATATATGGTTGGATGGGAATGAATAAAGATATACTAAGTTGTCCCATATCAAATCTGTAATTTTGGTATCTGGAATTTTGGTTCTTTCAAGAATTTGTGTTACTTTTAATGCGTATAAATTCAACAATGAGTTCTACCAACCAAATGACCTTTTTTTTTAAAGTTGAATATAAATGAAAATTTTAGTGAAAATAAAAACACAAATGGAAAGCAACAAAGGAATGTTTTTATACCACCAATTAAATATCAGCTTTCTGTACATTACTTTATTTATAAGGTCATTCCAGCAAGAGAATGGTTCCAATACATATTATAGCTATGTTTGGTAGTTTTATAGCTATGCTTTGCATTCAGTGACTTTTTAGTACATATGTTAGCCTGAGTGTCTTGAATATATCACTTCATCTTCAGTCTTTCTCTGAGACGTACACAATGCAACATTTTATGAAATTTTAGATTCTAATGGATAAACCAAATGAAAAACACGCTGAAAACGTGTTTCTTTGAATTCCATAACTCGATTTCATTTTTCAAGTTTTAAAGTCAAAGCCAAGTTTCATCCTTAATGCAGCCTTCAGAAACGTGTTAGCTACATGTGTGCTCACCTTATCTTAAAAAAATGTTTAACTTACATGCATGAGAACAGCATGAAACAGAAAATATAGGAAGAGAGACTGACCTGAAACAAAGCATCTTTTGAGCCAAAGTTAAACCCCAAGTTCTGGTTTTCCATTTTTAGGGCTGACAAGCCCTTCAAACTGTCAGTTGGAAAATCCCGAGCTTCCCATTTCCGACCTTTCTCAATCAAGCACACCTTAATTCCCGCCATTGACATCCGACAAGCAGCAACAGAACCTCCATACCCAGACCCCACGACAATAGCGTCATAACCATCTTCATCAGCGTTACAAAACCAACCTTCCGTTTTCACTTGCTCCATTTCCTTGGAAAACCCAAACCAGAATTTCTAGGCCTGGTTAATGTTTATGTCAAACAGCCAGTTAAAAGTGGCCAAGTGAAGCAAAGAATAATAGAACTTGAGTTTCAGATTCATATGGCTTTATATTGAATCTTCCGCCTCCAACGGATGTTTACTGCATATTCTATTCTGTTTTAAATGATTGCTTTGTCCGAAGATATTCTGTAATTTCCTTGTTTTCTCAACAAGAAACAAAGCATTTGAAATGCGACAAAATGAGCAAAGAGACAATTACATGGTTATATGCTCCCTAACAATTTATTTTTTATTGATTAACTATTTATATAAGATCCAAAATGAAAGCAACTAAATTTTGTCTGGTTTTAGGAAATGTCTCAATTTTGTAATCATTGGCTATGCCCTGCCTTAAAAAATTTGTATTTGTGGTTAATACAAGTTTACTTAGTAAAAAAATTGAAGTTTAATAAAATCTATGTTCGGCATGTATAGAGACACGTATCTTTATCCACAGAACCTCGTAGTTTTCGGAACTATTATCAACTACATGAAAAGAAGCAACCAAACTAGACTAGCAAATGCCTTTCTTGGATAATCTTGCATAATGCTTTGCTGACAATGACATTTCAATAGAAACAAATTGAAATCTAACAAAATCATATAAGATAACTGTTTCATCTATAGGTATATGAACACAAATTAGTACACTGTTCCAGGATTTGGATAGGGAAACAAAAACTACAGTATTACAATTCAATAACTCAGTTTAAATTCTAGCTATTTCGACCGACTTTTTTAGTGCACCCAGAAGGCTTCTCATGATCCTTGGTTCTCCTGGAGGTGACTGATCTTTCAATGGTCCATTTCTCACAGCACGGAAAATTGGTCCAGTGCCATCAGGAGCTGGAAAAACTAAGCAATCAATGTACACAAGGACTTCGGTCATTCCATCCCCAATCGTAATGAAACCCAGTCTAGCTCCATTTGGAATTTTATCAACCTGTTCAGGTTAAATGCATAATATGGTTAAATTCAAAAGGGAGAATCATTCTTGTAGCATTATCTTACACTTTGACCAGACAACCTCAATAGTAGTAGCTTTGAATTTCCAAATTCACAGACAAAACATTTGGTGTAATCAACCGTCCGTTGACCGTAATATATTCGTCCTGTACTAGCAGCACATTTAAAAAGTTAATGTTTAACAAGTCAATAATACTGCAGGCGAGCGAAATGGCTACCAGGGGATGTTTTAGGACAGTCAAGAAAGTTCCAACAAAGTGCATGCCTCTTTGGACGTACCCGGCTTTTGCAGTGTTTTTTGCTAGTACTTATGGTATGACCAAGTCAATACAAGCAGTGGTAAACAAAGGAGATTGAAAATTCAATTACTGAATAACTCTGAGATCCATATACTAGATATGAATGGCTTGCAAACAAAGGATTGGAAGATAAAACTTAATGTGTACCACAGAAGGGATAATATAGCAAATTAATAGAGATTGAAAACATTTTTAAAGTACAAACGGCCAAGTCCCAAAGACATTATGAAACGAATAATTAAACAAAATGGTACAAAAATATGTATCAATGTGGGATTCAACAACTGTTGCCCTGCCAATCCTCTGTTGGGCAATCCACATGGATGTGCGTTGAACCTATCTGAAAATGAGCCTTGTACAACATAATTAATTCAGTTGAAGACTTCTCCTGATTGTGAGTCACTAGCCTGACTCACTTGTCTGGGCTCGACAAGGCTTTTATTTTTTTCCTAGACCTTGACAAGGCATTTCAAGAACTAAGAGATTAATTCGTGTAGTCGTATGTCTGTTAAGCTAAGAGATTATATAATAAAAGAAGTAAACTATAACACACCTTCAAAGGCGTAGGAAGTGGCAGATTAGCTCCTTGGCAAAGACTGTTTGCCCACTGTCATAAACCCAATGAAGAAAACCATAAAAATTAATAAAGAATAAAAATGATATTGAAAATGCAACAACAGTAAATTTTAGTTATTTCTTGGTCTCCTCATTTAACATACACAAAGAAGTAGTTCTTTTCAAAATTGAACTAAGTTAAACCGTGTATGATGTGTAAGATAGTTCAGTTACAAGTTAATCACCATCCTGAAAAGTGCCACACATGAACAATTTTGATTTTGATTTTATTTGGTTACATAAGCAAAGCAAGCGTAGGCTCCTACTCATAACACTTTGCCCCATGTGGGACTCGAACCGCTTACTTTCCTTTTTGGGAAGGAGAGCTCATACCACTTAAGGCCAATGGCCTGCTGGTCCAAGAACAACATTGATTGATTGACCAAATGTTTTCAAAATAACAGAATACATAAGTTGAACCTCCTCTGCGTATCACTCCAGGAAGAAAGTTGCTCATGTAGACATAGATTATTGACTTTCAACAACCATCCAATTTGCAAAATTAATTGCTCATATTTACTCGGAATTGAGTGGTGAGTCCATACATAAATTTTAATTTTTAAAGACAATAAAAAATCATTCATTCTGAATCTCTCTGATTTATCTATAAAACCAATATTGCAGTCCAGTTAGCATTAAGATAAGAACTCAAGTCCAAAAGGACGAACGGACGTCATAATATTGGCCTATGCTGCTACACACACAAACACACATATTTACATGTTATAAATTGAACGCATGACATTATATTCGTTTTGATTTGTCTATAAAACCAAATTAGTGGTCAAGTGGGCAATATAAAAGAACTCAAGTCATAGTACCATTAAGGAGTGCTTTGTTAATGGGATTAAAAACTAAAACCGAAAGGGCGACTGGATTTCATAAGAATAATTATATTTTCCTCCGACAGGCCTGTCGGCAGGCCTATCATGCTTTGTTTCATAATATTGGCCTATGCTGTTACATACACATATACATATAATATACATACATGTTATAAAATTAAACAAATGACATTATATTACACATAACAAATTTGGTAATTTTGAAGTAAAACAAGACAATAACCACCAAAGTTTGTAACCCAAAACGCCTACAGAATGTACGGTGAGTATAAGACACTGTTTGGTATAAAAATGAAAACTTCAACTGCATTGTATACTGGATAATTTATTTTGATAACAGAGATTTCATAAACAATTTAAATACAGATGGTGTTTAATTAATTGAGGAATTGGGTGACTTGTTGTCAGGTACCTGAAAGAGCAGAGTCTCGAATCTGGGAATATCAGTATCCAATGGTAGCTTCATGGTTCCAAGAGAGACTCCGTCGTCATCATCGGCCTGAGTAATGCCGTCGGTTTCCGACAACGCCTTGGAAACAGCCGTCAGATTCCGGTGGTGTTGGCACAATTCAGGCAGTTTAGAAGACCGGCGGTTATCCCAACTGATGAATACAAATGAGCGATGAGGAACCAACTGTGGTAAAAAGAATTGCAATTGCGAACCAGCACGGGTCGGGTTGAAAAGTTGCCTTACACAACCAGAAGCCATGGATTGTGTGTATGGGTGTGTGTGAGATTGAGGATTTGATAAGTGTGTGAACGTGGTAATCTGCGATGCTGGATAAGATAGGATTATGGAGCTCACAATTTATGGGGCCTGATATGCGTGCTGTTGATATAGGTTTCCATTTATTTAATTTTTTTAAATATAACCGAAAGATGCTTGTAATAATAAGGAATGAAAAAAAAAAAAAAAAATGTTCCTGAATTGTTATGAGCGGATCTTGATCCGGATCCGATCCGATTAGTCAGATATAAATTAAATAAAAAATTTGATAACTGGATTACAATTCGAATCCGATAATTCGCTAGCTTAACAAATCGAATATAGATTATGCTAATTCGATCCGATTAAAATTATATATATATATATCCATACTTTTATTAGAATTGTATTAGAGGTAATCTAAAAATTTAAAAAAAAAATAAAATTATAATGTTATATATACAATAGTGTGTGGTGTTCTCTTTCACATGATAATAAATCTATTAATATACATAACTAATAATATCATACTCTTTATTAATATACATAACTAATAATATCATACTCTTTATTCGTTAACAAAGAGTAAATAATTTTTTTTTTCTTTTCCTTTCATATTAGAGTAAATATTTTCTTTTCTTTTCCTTTCATATTTTAATTATCTTTTGTTTTATATATAAATATATTTTCTTATAATCATTGTTTTTTTAATTCTCTTTTGACATTAATTTATATTTTTTTCTTTTAATATAAAAAACCTACATTTTTATTGGATCGGATTATCGGATTGAATATCCGTTTATTAACAAATCGGATTCCGATTGACTTACAAAATATCCGTCGGATTATTGGATTGGGTCGACTAAAATGCGTATCGGATTCGGATCGGATCATGCCTGATCCAGTCCGTTTACAGGTTTACTTTTCGGAACATAACGATGAATTGAAACCTTTGATTATTTATTTTTTTTATTTGTGAAAATTGTTATAGGGTTAGGAGTTGGTGGGATTAAGGGGGAGGGATTCTATAAAAGGTGGACACTTATCCATTTGTTCAAAAATTTAAATTGTTTGGTAGTGTTGTATATCCATCAATTTATATTCAATCAATTTTTCATCCAAATGATGTGAGACAAATGACCTTTATTATATTCTTTCCTAGCCAAATTGGCAACGTCCTCGTTATGGTTCGGGTCACCTTGCCTATTCGGGCTGGCTCACTCGGACACTTGGCGTGATACCGGATCAAGGATTGGGTCTGGTTCTGATACCAACTGTAACAAGTAGGTGCTTGCTCATTTACTCAAAAACTCAAACTGTTGGGTAATACTGCATACTCACTAATTTATACCCAATTATTTTTTTATTCAGATCCGATGTGAGATAAGTGATCCTTGTTACATATTCCAATATAAGATAATATGGCAGAGACTTTTAAGACATGTATTCACACTTCTATTGAACTATTTTGTTTATGGGAATATTGAATTTGTAATTTGAATTTTAAAATTAGAGAAGATTTAGTTAAAATTTTATATTAAATTCGGTGCTTCTAAACGTTAGTTAAATTGTAATTGCGATAAAATTTAATAATCATATTGAATTCGCAAGTTAAATAATAATTGTGAAATTTTTTAATTACCTCAAATTGTAAGTCTGGTTGAAAAGTTGTCTCATACTAGTAGAAGTCATGGATAGTGTCTTGGGTAATTATTTTATAAAATTAATGATTAATGGCTATAATGAGGTCTGCCTCATGATGAGTTATGACTTTTAATGATTTATTATTATTGTTATTATTATTACGATAAATACAAATATGTGTGGTTGCACAGAATTAATACATTGAAACTGAATTTGAAAAAAAATTAGTTTAAACTAATTGAACGGAGCATCAATTCAATTCTTGTTAAGATCAATTTATTTATTTTTTTATAAAGTCATTGTATAAATAAAGAGAAGACTTTATATACAAAGGGAGTACACCCTACAAAAGATTTCCCAAATATTCCCCATGGGAATCTAAATGTCTACAGCAAGAGGATATATCAACAACAAAATAAAAAACTTAGTTAGCTCATAAAGACAATGACATAGTCTCTCTTGTAGTTAGATCAAGAACCAACGTTCTAATACAACAATGCGTTAGGAATACCAATTATAATTATTTTATTCTTTATTCTCTTTCTCTTATCGAAAACTATTTAGTATTATACTTTGTTATTCCACAACCAATCTACTGCTCTTGATAATTTCCTTGTTAAAATCTTAATAATTTATGGTGTCAAACAACAAGTGTAATACATTTTGATAAACTTGATAAAACAAAATTCAAATACGTCTTGTCAGGAACGTCAAAGAAATTCATTAGTGCTCCCGGAGACTTAACCGAATTGGTAAGGTCATGACCTGGACTGCCTCAAGTCCCAGGTTTGAACCCGTCCATCGCCATTATAACTCTCAATTAAAATTGTTGCTGAGGTGTGGGGCCGTCGACAGCATCCTGCTTTGTAGCCTGGGGTGGGTCTCGAAGGGGCTCTGCCTAGGTGAGTTCCGGTGCCAGCCAAAAAAAAAAAAATTCATTAGTCCGATACAACTATATCTTTAATAGTTAATAATCCCACTTTTACATTAAAGTTTAGGCATTACTAGTTTAATCTTTGCTGCCAAGATATTAAAATAAAAATTAAAAATCAAATAGAATCTAAATATATATATTAATATATATACAACCAACTACAAATATTTAATGGAACAAGAAGCAATAAACCGTACCAGTAATGCTAGACATGCTGCATTTTGAACATTTTTAGTTAAAAGTGAATGTGAGCAATCGATACAAGAAGCAACACCTGAAATATAATACAGGATTGCACTTACAATTAAATGACGCAAAAATGCGGGCCACACCAACCTACGTGTAAACAATGGGATTATTTCAATTTCATAGGCCTCCAAACGCTCCCTTAGTCATTTCACTTTCTCATTGATAAAATGAAAGGAATGGATCGTTCAGTTATATTGTTGTGGTTGATGGTCCTTCTCTTTCTCATTTTCTTTTGATATATAACATTTATAACTGAAAACTGAAAACTGAAAAACTCAACTAAACCAAAAGTAGTTTATTCAGGCTAAGTGGAGGACTTTGTTTTGATAGTTCAAAGAATCATCATGTATAAAAATAAATAAAAAATGGTATGTTTATTTTTCTGTTTTTTCTCGGCAACCAAACAGTAGATTTTAAAGAAAAATATAAGATAACATGACTAACAACAAGAAGAGAAACCAGATGATGGTTAGTAAATGGGAAATCCAACTTCCAGAAACTCTGCTTCCTTCTTCATATGGATCATCACCCCATGCCAAGGCATCCTTACTGTATTTCCTCCTCTCAGCATCCATTGCATTGTTTATTCCTTGTTCATTCAATCTAATATGGGATAAAATATGAGGGAAAACCTTCTTATAGGACTCTTCTCCAATCAATAAATCCGAGTGTCCGAAACCCTCCACAACCACCCTTCCATGTCTGAAACCAGGCTGGTGCAACTTCATGTACTTGTTAGCAAGAAAAGAAGTCTCGGGTGTCACAAGTAGAGTCCGTCCACCGGATATATAGAGTGTCGGGAGTGCCATTCTCTCGGGATGAATCAAGTATGAGTTTCTTCCATCGCTGTCCACAATGAAACCGGCTTTGCAGATCTTTCTGAGGTGAGGAAATGCAGCCATGGGAATCCTATCTATGCTTTGTTTGTTTAACCAATAGTGCATTGTGAGACTTAAATTGTCATGCCAGAATGCGTTACCAAATACGCCTGAAAGGACCTCACATTCATCATAGGTGCATCTCTCGTAACGTGGCACCAGACGAGCAATGGATTTCAGCAGCCGGTGACGTAAACTTGCCTTTAATGTTTCAAACAACGGTAGGATCTTGTTCTGGCCTAGTATGACCATTGAAATCTGCGGATTGATTGAAGTTAAAAAAGAATATTTGCTTCTTAATTAACTTATTTCCAATCACCAAATATCATCGACTTGGCCCTATTTGGAGGGGAAAGAGAAGAAAGAGCTTACTTACAGGAATGATGGGAAGCCACATTTTGATTTTGGATGAGGCAGTCAGCTTGAAAAACATTGAAGAATTGGTGCAAGACAGAGAAGATATATGGGTAGCAGAGACATGGCCTCCCATTAGAGCAATGTGCATTGCTAAGCCTCCAACACAGTGTGCAACCACATGTACCTTTATCAATGGTCCATGCAACTCATGGATCTTACGAACCACTGCAGAGAAAGATTAAAAATACCTCAGAGTAAAATCAAATTGTCATGTCAAAATGCAAATGAATATATATATATATATATATATATATATATATATTTCAACTTTACCAGCAGGTATGTCAAATCTGCCAATATCTTCAATTGTGAAACTATTTGAAGAATTCAAAGGATGTAATCTTGGTTGTAGAAGCCACACTTCATGCCCTTCTTCCAGTAGAGTTCTAATCAAATCATTTGGTTCAGTTGGTAGACAGTAACTCTCAGTGGAATGACCATTAATAAGGAGAACCGGACTTAGTTTCTGCTCTCCTTCAAGTCTGCATTGATTCTGATTGCATTTCCACTGTCTGCAACTGATAATACACCCATCTTCTGAAAAATTTACAGGAGGCAACACAACATTGAGAATTCAAATACCACAAGTGAAAAAAAAAAGGAAATAAAGAAAGCAGTATGCTTCTTGAAATGTTCTTTGTTCTAAACATGATTCAATTATTGAATATTTGAATCGTGAAAGCTGAGTGAAATTACCTGTTTCTAACTCATGATGAGTACTGGTTGGATAAGGTTCTTGGGGGAGTTCTGATGGATTGAAGTCCTCCTCATTCCCTCGTGGTACTTGTAAGATGTAGGTTCTGAGGAAAGACCCTAATAGTAGACGTATAAACCTTCCTCTCAGTTTTCCTTTGAGGCTAATCAAAGTCCCTAGCAACTCCGTTATGGAGATGCTTAGCTCCCCTTTTAGGTTCAACGTTTCTTCAACTGAATTCTCCTTGGTGACTTTTTTTAATTTTACATGCATTGTTGTGGTCTCCCTCCATGCATATAATCCAAATAGATAAGGATTTATTACTTTCTTCCCTTCAAGAACGTATCTTCATCAAATTGAATTTTTGTTAGTTTTGTTCTCTATAAGATGCAAAAATGAAAGGAAAAACAAGAATTCAAAGTATATTTAAACCTTGAACCAGAAGAAGCTGCAAGAAGGAGACGATAGTGCATATATTGCGTATAAGGAGTCCTGCAATCTACTCTACACAAATCTACTTCCCCATCTATAACAAATAATCTATCAATATCAACAGGTTTAAATACAACATATCCACCTACTTTTCCTCTCAGAAGAGAATGAGATCCTCCAATAGCTCTACCATGTTCATCAAATCCCTTCGAAGTCCTAGAGTTCATACTCAATTTGAGGTAAGCTATGCATGGCATTCCCCCCAAGTAACCTTTCATGGTTTCTTTGAACACAACTGTTGATCTCAGGCTGCTGCTTAACTTCCCAGATATGATTGAACCTTGGTTATGGTCAACAGTTCTATCCACAAAATCTTTACCTTCCATGCTCTTGTATCTAAAAACATCCTGCACAAGGTGTCTGCTTACATGCTCAGCTGCTGCAGCAATGGTAAGACAAGGGTTTATGCCAACAGAGCAGGGAATTAAGGAGGCATCACAAACATAGAGACCAGGATGCACAGTGTTGGGAGATTTTGTGTCAAAAACTTGACCATTAGGATTACAAACCCCAAGTGAAGGATCTGATGATGCATTGCACCCACCTAAAAGATGAACAGATGTACTCCGATACCTTGACATGAAGAGAATTCCTCCCACTTTTCTAGTAAGTTTTTGAAAGGCTTCAACTTTTCGCGTCAATAAGGGATCATGGGCTGGCCTAAAACAGATTCTGTTTGTGTCTTTTTCTAGAGTAATTCTCCCGTCACTGTCATCATATCCTATTACATTAAGAATCATTCCTTGGCAGCCTTTTAGACCAAATATACGTTTCAGCTTGTCTATAACCCCATGCAAGAACCAGAAGCCAGATGGCCACCCATAAGTTATGATCCCTTTAAATAGTAGGTAAGGATAAGCCGTTGGGAGTACTGCACTCTGTACCAAACAGAAAAAGGTAGTTGTAAACTTGCGACCATACAGATACATTTTAGTTATGTCAACACATATGCTTAGACTAACTAATTTTATATATATGAAAGAAGTTATCTTTCTCTTGAATGTGCATGCAAAAGTGTAAGTATATCTTTACATTTGAATACAAATAATATATGGGAATTAGAAGGTGAACCCCACTTATTGATTAAATTTCCCAACACATGATTAAGAACCGTTGCCACAATAAAGACAAGTAAGCTTAATCTTTCAACCTCTATTTATATGCTAAATTAACATGATCTAATATTTCCCAAGAGTTATCTAGTCAGCTGAGTGCATATCTTTAGTTATACCAATATGGCAGACGACGGTCAACAGATTGTCATGACAATGTATCTAGTTTGGCATAATAACAGATGCATATGGGACAAAGGCAAAGGGTGTCTTTAGTGAAGAAGGTTTACCTTAATTGTGAACCCCAACGAAGATGTGTATGATGAAGAAATGGATGTTCCTGGTCGTTCTTGGAAAGGTACTTTTGATAATTGCTTTCTGTCTAAACCATAAGCACTCAAGGGTGCTGAGCTTCCAGCAAGATAAGCAACATTATTCCCATTACAGCTGAATCCACATCCGAGCCTCTCAGAAAGTTTCAGCCCTCTAATTTGTGACTGGAATAGGATTTCAGCCGTACCAAGAACTCCAGCTGAGAAATAAAATAAAACAAAAAAAGCTAAATAACTTGATAAAGTATGTCAGTTCAAAATCTGCAACAGATATGTTGCTACATTTGTACATACCTGAAAGGATAACAAAATCAGATGTTATGTAGTCAATTTCATTGAGGAATACAAGCCACCGTCGCCTTCTTTTCCTGCTAATTCTTTCATCATCTTTGCGAAGCTCATTTGTGTTTTTCCCCACATAACAAACTTGACATTCTGTTTTGATAGTACATCCTGTCTGCATAATAGTTTAACAAAGTAACAATATGTTCGTATACAAGAGCACATTAGGAAATCTGGTATAGTTAATATATTCACTCCATTTTTGAGGAGTCATTTGTATTTCAAAGACAACTAGAATTCAATGGTGCAGAACGAATTCTGCAGGAAATCCAAATTAGCCAGATGTACTATATATATATATATATATATATATATAAACTAGCCACCTTAAACAACAGTTTAAGAAGAAATGTACCTGGATGGCTGAAGCCAGATAATTTTTGTCTGTAGAACCTTTGGCGTTATAAGGGCACCCAGCAAGACAATTTCCACAGGCTAAGCAGCTACCCAATTCTTGAGATTTGGTTAGATTTGATGGCTGTTCTTTTGCTTCAAAATTCACACTCAGGTTCAGTGATCCGCCGCAACTTTCTTCCAACTCTTCTTCAGCTATTTCTTCCATGACTCTGGCATTGGGAAACTTGACGGGAACACTCTGTATTCCTAGCATGGCTGAAGCAGAAGCTTCACACATCTTCCAATCTCTTTCCCATTCTTTTGGCCATTTTGGGTTCTTTCTTGCACGAGCTGGGGTTGATAGCATAACTCCTGCATTAACTAGTGAACCTCCACCAAGCCCACAGGCCACTGCTGCTAGAGAATCACCTTGTTCATATAACTGTACTTGCATCATACAATTTCATATGAAGTTAGATGGGAATGAACAAAGAAATACTAAATTGTCCCGTATCACACAATTCCATGGGTTATACCAACCAAATAACTTCTTCTCAACTTGAATATAAACATTTTATTTATAAGGTAATTGCAGCAAGAGAATGGTTCGAATACATGTCATAGCTATGCTTCGCATTCAGTGACTTTTCACTACACATGTTAGCCTAATGGTCATGCATATTATGCAAAAGGTTAGGTCCATCTTCAGTACTTCGGTGTGTCATGTGACATTTTATGAAATTTTGGCTTCTTATGGATAAGCCAAACAAAAGAAACATGTTGAAAAATAGTTTATTTGGATTCCATAACTCAATTTTATCCTCCAAATTTTAAAGCCAAAGCCAAGTTTCATCCTTAATGCAGCCTTCAATCTTCATAAGTAGTTTGCAAAAAAAATGGCTAACTAAACGTGTTGAATAATTGTCTAACTAAAAACGTGTTGAATAATTGCCAACTAAACGTGTTACCTACATGTGTTCTCACCTTATCTTCAAAAATGTTTAACTTGCATTAGAAAAACATGAAATAGAGAATGTTGGAAGAGAGAATGACCTGAAACAAAGCATCTTTTGGGCCAAAGCTGAACCCCAAGTTTCGCTTTTCCATTTTCACAGCTGACAAGATCTTCCAACTGTCAGTTGGAAAATCCCGAGCTTCCCATTTCCGACCTTTCTCAATCAAGCAAACCTTAATTCCTGCCATTGACATCCGACAAGCAGCAACAGAACCTCCGTATCCAGACCCCACAACAATAGCGTCATAACCATCTTCATCGGCATTATGAAACCAACCTTCTGTTTTTACTTGCCCCATTTCCTTGGAAAACATAAAACAGAATTTCTAAGCCAAGTTAATGTTTATGTCAAAAAGCCAGTTAAAGTGGCCAAGTGAAGCAAAGAATAAGAGAACTTGGGTTTCAGATTCATATGGTTTCATATTGAATAATTTGAATCTTCCCTCCAACGAATGTTTACTGCATATTCCATTCAATTTTAATGTTTGCTTTGGCCAAAGAAAAGCTGTAGTTTCATTGTATTCTTATCGAAAAGCTGTTGTTTCATTGTATGCCGATCGAAAAACCAAAGCATTTGAAATGAGAGACGGCTGGAGTAACGAAATAGCATAAAAATAGATTCATTTATTTTAATAAAAAGAAAGTGAAAGAATTCTCACTATTTCTTAGATTTATGTGTACAATTTAATTCAATGAGATCTTTCATTCACAATATATCACGATCAAGGATGTCATACTCTATTAAGGATGATCAAGTCCAGAAACTAACATGATAATGGTCATGACACTGTCTTGAAATTAAATAAACAAAATTATGAACTACCACAAGGTTTTTAGGTGAGCGTAAATTATAGTAACCTCCGGAGGTGGTGGTGTTTTCTTTTTGAAAGACATGTTAACCTAATTTTATAAAATAATAATTGTCATTCCCTTTTATAAAAATCTTATACTTTCCTTATATGAAAATCTTGCCTTGTAATCAGGAAAATTAATAACTTTCGGTAGAATTTAACCCTATTTTTCCATTTTTCGGCACAAAAATACCAAAACATATAGAGCACTAATTACAGTTTTCAAGGAAGAATGTGTACCTTAAAGGACAAAAGGCTTTCAAAAATTTCTATTTGTTCTTATTTTTTTCCTTGCTGTGCGCTACTCTTTCAATTCTGGTCCAGTTTCAAAACTGGGTTTGGTTCTGAACTCATAACCAAACAGAGTGAATCTGGTTCTAAATACGGTTTGCAAGATTTCAAGTATCGGCTGGTTCAATCAAAATATTAGCAAATGTTCGGTCTTGGGTTTCTGTTGAGGAAGTTGGGGCCAAAGTGATGGGATGGGTTATTTGGTTAAATGGACCAAAATCAAATTCGAGGTCCAACCAATTTGGGTTGGGATTGGATTGGCCGGGTAAAATCTAGATCTAAGTACAGGCAATGAGTGGGAAAATTGATGGTCAGCCTGTGTATGAAGATGGTGGGCAGCTTGCCGGGGCTGGAAGAAAGGGGGAGGGAGAAAAAGAGAGGAGAGAAATTGGAGAAAAACACTCGATTATTCAAATATTTCATTCAATACATGTATGCCCATCGCATATATAGGCAATCACAAACAACTCTAATGTCCAAAATAGCTGTGCATAATAAAATAGACTTTTTCGCCTGGAAAATTGGACCGCAGTTGTTCAAAAACGAAGCATTCCATTAATGTAAACATAGACTTGGTGTTTCTCTCTCCAATAGTAATGAAACCCAGTGTAGCTCCTTTTGAAATTTTATCAACCTGTTCAAGTAAAATGGCATAACACTTTGTCAGAGTCAATCAGACGTGATCAAACCGATTACGAATTAAAATAAATAGTATACCACAACACGCCATTATAGGTACAGGAAGTGGCCGATTAGCTCCTTGGCAAAGACTGTTCCCCTCCGTCCTAAACCCTATGAAAAAAACATATAAATTTAATAAGGAATAAAATAAAAATAACAAAAATGCAACAGTAAATTATACATCCCAAAATACTTGCTCAGGACCAGACTCATTGTCAAGCCCAGAAATTCAAAATTCGGATTTTGATCAAGTAAGAGAGAATTAAATTAAACATCATTGAAAACCCATAACCAAATTTTTTTTTTTTATCCTCCTTTGCCGCATGGTGAGGTATCATGTTATGATGTTAAGATACTTTAATTATACAAACAAAAGTTGCTTCTCTCTCTTTTTTTTCAACCAAAACAGCTCACAAGTATAACATGACTCATTTACCTAGCCATGCGTCAATTTATTTACGTTGTCAACCTATGTTTGGTAATTATGCTCATGTACACATATAACTCTAGAGAGATTTTATCCAAGATACATGGAACCTTTGTAATGATTTCTTACCCATACAGTATCTCAATTGCTTGAACTAACAACCTTAAGTACAGATAGGTTTAGATTACATGCATACTCTTTTTACTTGAAACCAATGTGAGACTTTGTAATTTGAATTAAGCTCTTTTTATATTTTGTTAATTTGAATTAATTTTAATTTTATTAGGTAATTTTAAGTTTTATAGAATTTATATCAATTAATAAATAAATACTGAAATACTGAAACACTTTGCACATTTAATAATAGTATAGATATATAGATACACTAACAAGTGCACAAACAATCTTTACCCCTTATTACATGCATATATATATATACATACACTAACAAGTGCACAAAAAATCTTTACCCCTTATTACATGCATATATATATATATATATTGCATTACCAGGGATCTGGGGGCTATCCTCAACCAAATAAAATAATGATCATGTTAATGATTTGACATAAATTTTAAATGGCAGCAAATCAAACATTACTCCAATTGATTAGCTTAAGATTATTAAATTGAAATATTAGAATAGAACATCCTTGAATCCAGATAAAATAAGTAATATCTAACATTTATTGAATTGAATTTATTAAAACATAACTTTCCATAATCAGAGTAAAATATTTTTGCTATTACATGTTCAGCTAGAATAACAAAATCAAAAACGTCCAAATAATGAAAGTTTAATTCTTCCAACCTCCTAGATAAACTCTCAACAGAAAAAGTAAGTTAATAGGGCGTCACCGTCACCGTCACCGTCTATCTGCAAAACTGTTGTAGGGGGTGGGGGTGAAAGGGGTGAGCAAAGCCCAATAGAAAATACACCAACAAAAATAACAAATAACATATGAGATGCCACAACCAAGCATCATGGATGTAAACATGAGATGAGCATGTGATATATCAACTATGCAAATAACAACAATCAAATCACCACCCAAACAATACCAACATAAATCAATTTTTAACCAATTTCATCCCAAACATTTATCCTGTTTTGTTAAGCAAATTCCGGGTAATGTTCGTAATTCCGTGCACTTGACATCACAAACCACATAACACCAACTCGGTTCATGGGCTAGTAACCTGTTGGATACGAGCACCACTTGGCCAAGGGTTTTTCACCTAAGGGCACCGAGCCCTATCTTGCTTTTCCGGCACAACCCTATTAACCAATCAATTACACTTAAACCAAATTCCACACAAAGTGTGTCAAAATATAAGATAAACCCATATACATGCTTTCTTATTTCTTTTATTAAATAAAAGATCAAAAACATAAGTCAAAACAAGTACTCCAAGCATGAACCACTCAATGATATATTGTGGGAAAATGTCAATTCCTGATTTATAGCAACTAACAATATATTCTCAATCAACAAACAAATTTAAACGCAAAATAACTTCACTTTAAAATAATTCAATCACACCAAGAACCAACCAAATATATGAATAATAATTAAAATCTTCTATATATATATATATATATAAGATGCTATTCAATATAAAAAATATATACAAGGTAGGACAAACCATAATTATATGGTTATTAGGGTTAGTATATCCCAACTCAAAAATGACCCAAATCACCTTAGACGATCAATAACCAATGCTTGTCTCCAAAATTCAGAAAACAAAAAAGGATGGAAGAAGATGAGGACTAGAGTTTCTTTTTCCTTCATTGTAGAGCACAATGAAAGGAGCAATTTTAATTAATATTTTCATTGAAAATTAGTCAAACTTCTATTTAGATTATTTTTTTCAATAAATACTTTCAATTATTATCAACCCAAATTGAAAGAATTCAAAATAATAGAAATTGTGAACCCATAGATGTGATAGGGTTAATCTTAGAATTTTAATGGTAGACCAAGAAAATAAAAATAATTTTAGTGAATTTGTGGTAAATCCGTATTAAAAAAAACCAATATAACAGAGAACCAATAAACAAGTTCAGATAGAGAGAGAGAGAGAGAGTAAACAAGCTACAAGTTCTAATCACCTCCATAAACCCTGATTATCAAAATTTAAAGGCACATTTATAGGATTTTAGAAAAAGAACAATAAAAGATATCAAGTGGCAGTGGTTCCCTTCTAGGCCATACATGGCTCAGTCCCTGTTTCGTTCAGATTAATTAGCTATAAAACCAAGTATTATGGTCAAGTGAGCATAAGAAAATAACTCAAGCCAGATTACCAATTAGGAGTGCTTTGTTAATGGGCTTAAAAACTAAAACCAATAGGGCAAATGGGTTTCATAATGTAAAAATAGTAACATTTTATGACAAAATGTGAATAGTATACTGGATAATCTACTTTGCAAGGATAGGTTCTTTTCCATGAAGTTGTCCAAACACATACATATACTCTACTATTAAGGAATTGGGTCACTTCTGGCCAAGTACCTGAAAGAGCAATGTCTCAAATCTGGGAATATCAGTAAGCAATGGTAACTTCATGGTTCCAAGATAGACTCCATCGTGTCATCAGCCTTTGGAAACGCCATCAGTTTCCTGCAACACTTTGGAAACGTGTTGGAATGATTCAGCAAGTTTAGAAGACCGGCGGTTGTCACAACTGAAGAATAAGTGAGTGAACCAGTAGCCGTGGATTTTGTGTGTGTGACAGAGGATTTGATAATTATGTGAATGTGGTAATCTGGGATGCTAAATATCCTAGAATTCACATCTAATGAAGTATTGTAAAATTTACCTATAGATGAACAAAGAGACGATGTTCAAATTAAACCATTCCAGCATGTCAAGAGGGCAGAAAATCCTCTTCACTACCAGTTATTAACAGCAACTAGTAACTCTTTCATCACCATTGCCTCAGTTGGCCAACCCAAAAAGTGCCATGACATCACAAGAAGAGCTAAGTCTAAAAGATTAAAGATTAGAATCACTAATATAGAACTCAGATTCTCACTAATAAATTTTTGCATCTACCATATTTTATTCACATGTAACACCTCTATTCAAAAATACAATGACATTACTTCAAAAACAAACTTCAAAACTTAAGTACTGCATTCAAGAAGGTGAGCAATGTTAGATCATAGAATTAAATAGATTGCAAACATGTAGCATCCCCAAAGTAAATGTCTTGTACTAGAATTACCTCATTCACGTAGAAGTGTTGCATGTATATCCCACTTGAAACCACTATCCGCTTCCCGCTGAGTATTGCATCATTCAAGTGTAGCATCTCCAAAGCAAAATGTCTTGTACTAGTATCGCATCATTCTCTTAGAAATGTCATAGATGATATGTCATATAATATAACAAGTGAAGATGGTCACGATGACAATTACACAAAAGATGAAGATGGACAAAGCGAGGATAACAGTGGTCTGTCTCACAACCAGAAAAGACATAGGAGTGTGTCCCTCTTATTACGTGAGGACAGTAAAATTTCATGTGACCAATGCAATTGAAACTATATAATATGACAAACTTTTTTCCTTATTTCATAAAATATAAAGATTCAAGTGAAAGTAAAACTTAAGCTTGGAAGACATTACCAGAGGAAAAAATGAAATATCAAAAAAAAAAAAGAGGAAGGGAGAGAGAGAGAGAGAGCCTTAAATGCATAGTTGCATACACATCAAAACACATATATGTTACAAAAAGCTAATGAAAATAATGAATAATAAGAATTTCGAATGCTATGCATATAAACAGAATTACATTAAAATGCCATACAAACAAACACCACTAAAATATAATCCTGCTAGAAATTGAAAGTGAAATTCATATAAAACTATCAAAAACAGAAAGTCAGGGTGAAAAATATCAAACAAGGGTGGCATAGTCAGTATATCAATAAGCATTAATAGTTGAGCTCACAAAGGAATTCCCCATCACGCATTTAATTGTTTCATCATTCCTGCCACCCTAACTTTAAGAAAAAATAATACCACAACATATTTAAAATAAAGAACAAAAAAAAAAAAAGAAATCATTTGAATTTACTGAACTTTTGAGTTTTTGAAAGATAAGTATGTCTCCCACCTTAAATTGAGACATTTCTAATGCATTTCTGAACCTGAAAATTCCATCTCTTGAAACAACCACAGATAAAATAGCATAAAAAGCTATTTATCTTAGGGTCCAAAACATAGGGAAATTCATATCCAAAGAAGAGATGCTCATGATGTGATAATTAGGTGGGACAAAAGGGGGCTCAAAAGGAAAACCCTCAAGAGAAACCCCTAATACGTACACAAATATATAAATATATATGTGCATGTATATATGGTTAATATAGCGCAGCTATGACTCAAAACGCTTCCATGTCTCAAAAAGGAAGGCGATCTTAAGGGCCGCGCATACACATAGCCAAACCGGTGGGTATATATTTAAAAAAATGGTCTCAAAGGAAAAGACAACACAAAGAAGAAACCACTAGGAAAAGTGACCAAAAAAAATGAGAAAGGTTACATTGAAAGAAGCTACATTTGCATTCACAATTAGAAGAAAAAACTTAAATGAAGCAGCAGAAACTGGTTCAAAGTAATTGCAATTCAAAATTATTACATAGGTCATTGTTGTCCAATTACCATGTCATACATCAAGATAATCTTTACTTAAAATTCAAGAAACCGATAACAAAATGCTAGATGGGTTTCAGAAAGTCCCTTAAGTGAGACTCAAAGAAGGCAAATTGGTTATGCCAGGAAAATTCCAGCTATATTGCATCTTAAAGAAGAATTTAGGATAAACAACTTAAAAATTAAACTGTCCAGAAGGGAAGAACAAAATAAAACCTTTAAACTAGACAGTTAAAAATCAGGCAAAAGGGTTCATCAATAAAATAAATAAATTGACATTTCAAATACAAGTACAGCATTTGGCCAATCAAATGCAATGGCAAATTGATGTAACAATGATAATAATAATAATAATAATAATAATAATAATAATAATAATAATTTGAAGATAAAATAAATGCACAATTAGATAAAACACAATTGAAGAAAAAATAAAAAAAGGCAAAGTCAGAATATCAATAAGCATCAATAGTTGAGTTCACAAAAGGATTTCTCCTCTCACACATCTATTTCTTTCATCATTCTTGCCACCTCATTTCACATTCTTACATTGAACTAAAACATAAAATAAATTAACAAAAAAACATATAATCTATTAAAAAAAGTTATTCAACATCCAACTGAAACGAAATCCATATAAAAATATAACAAAGCTTCAAATGAAATTCACAAGGGCCCATTTAATTCAATTACTGAATGATAAAATGGAACATAAATTAGAAACAGAAATGAGTAGATCAGAATAAATTAACCCCAAAGAATTCTCCTTTCACATCTAATTGTGTCATTCTTGTCACCCGACTTCCTTCTAATGTACACAAATAAACAAAACTCTCAATACACACAAATTATATAAAAAGCAAAGAAAACAATGAGAGTTTACTCCAAAATTCGACATTCGCAGAGCATTTTTAGACCTGAAAAATGCTATCGTTGATCGCATAAACTGTATATCTTGTGGTCCAAAATATAGAAAAGTGCAGATCCAAAGAAGAGATGGCTATTGAAGAGATAATCAGATTAAAAAATGTGGGAATAAAAAACGAAGAACCCTAAATAAAGACCATGATATATATATATATCGTATGTGTATGTGTGTGAAATTATGTCTATATATAATCGACATAACTCAGCCAATGCTCAAAACGCTTCCATGAAACAAAGAGCGAGAAGAACTATAATCAGAGATACATCTTTGAAGTTTATTATATGGCAAAAGCAAGTACAAAAACCCTAAAGTTGCGAGAAAAGAGCGCTGTTATATAAGATGAGCCCTAGAGTTTGATCCACTAAAACCCTAGATAGGGGCGGCGAGCGAGAGAGATGTCAGTGATTCGCCGCTGTAGAGATGTATGCATGTGTTTCGGCCCAACTCTTCGCTTAAAACAGTTGGGCCTGTATAACATGAACCCACCTGTTTATAAGCCACATTTATTTTAAGGCCTATACTATAAAAGCAGAAGATATTTATAAAGTGGTTGGGCTTAGGTCTTACTAGGGGTCGTATTGAATTACTACGTCCATAACAATTTATGAGCAGGGGCTGGGCCAAGTAGGATCCAGTGCGATGAGCTGATCCTACTGATATTTTAAAGAAACAGAGCAAAAAAATTCTCGCTTTTTAACAAAGTAAAGGGAAATCAATTTTTTTTATTAGGAAAGTGGTGAGAAAATTTTCATATACCTCAAAGTAAGATTTTGATCTTAAACTTATTTTCATGACATGATTAATTAAGTTAATTAAATAGCAATATAATTAATCATGTTATGTATTTCTATAATTATTATTTTTTTCAAGTACAAATACTTGTCGTGACTCGTGAATATTTGAATATGTCTTCATCAATTTCATAGAAAATAGATAATTTGAAATCAATAATTTTGGTTTTTGTAGATTAGAAAATGCTTCATCAATTTCATAGAAAATAGATAATTTTAAATCAATAATTTTGGTTTTTGTAGATATCCAACAACTGCAAATTATGAATAGGATTCCATGTCCTCACGAGTGAAAATATATATATATATATATATATATAAGGAAGAAGAAGAAGTTGATTTCCAATGAGAATTTAAACCTGATCGGGAAGTTACAATAATAAGAAATTGACATGCATTAACATTGCATAAACACTTATTTCTAACATAAAATCTGAATTGAGTTTAACTATTCAAAACCAACTAATTTGAACATGTGATAAAGATACATTCTGGTAAAATCTTTCAATTATGTTAAACTGAGGTATAATTCAATGCATACGCATCATCAAGCATCTGCAACCTTCTCCATTACCCTTTGAGCTCACTTCCTGTGAAATACCTAGGTCTCCCTCTCATTACAACAAAACTGTCAGCCAGTGACTGTCAATCTTTGGTTGACAACATGCTTTACAAGATCACAAATTAGATAGCAAGAGCCTTGTCATTTGCAGGCAGATTATAGCTAATCCAATTAACTCTCTACAACATGCGCGCATTTACTAGACAAATCTCCTAATCCTCCCATCCAAGGTTTGTGATTGGATTAATCAGATTCTTCAAAGGTTCTTATGGACTAGACCTGCCATGAACAAATTCAGAGCAAAGGTACAATGGGAACAAATTTGCACTCCAAATAACGCAGTTGGTCTAGGCATATATTGTTGGTAAAATATATGCTTAATGTGACTTTTAAGATATAACAACCTTTATACTAATATGTCATGAGATAATTAACAATATGCTAATAAATCATTAATTAAATATGCAACTCTATATTTAATTAAATATACAAAATAAAGCAATAAAATAATAATAATATGCAAGGAATGAACCTGGACCAAGGCTAGTATTGGATACTATGTCCTTAAGACAGATTTGCCCCGCTATGGTGCTAACGGACTCAGTGGCGTCTATCTCCCAGGATACAACGGTCTACATCCACCAGTAGCAGCACTACAAACTCGTGGATACGGCGAACCTCTTCCGTGTAATACTCTCTCTGACTCAAAAATGCATCTATATACTATATAAATGCTGAATTGGGTGTAATCCGAACCAAATGGTTCGGACCAATCTTAATATAGCTCGATGAAATTGGATTAGGATCGAAGTGGCTCGAACCACTTAACCTAAGGTTTGAACCCACTTGGGTTGGGTTCTAGTCTAGAGAGGGAGATAGAAGAAAATGAAAATGAATGACTTGCAAATGATCCAAAGGGGGGTATTTATAGAAACAGAAATGCCTTTTCTGATTGGGTGCGTCTCTTCATCATTGGACACAACCATTACAATAGGTTGCAATGGTTCACATGGTGTCTATTCACCACTAGACACATCCATTCCAATAGGTTGCAATGGTTCACATGGTGTCTGTTCACCAATAGACACATCCATTCCAATAGGTTGCAATGGTTCACATGGTGTCTGTTCACCAATAGACACATCCATTCCAATAGGTTGCAATGTGTCTTTTCGAATGGGTGCAACCATGGGTCATGATGGTTCGAAAAAAGGTGTAACCTTTTGAAAAAACTAAAAAGTGGTTTTTTAATTTAAAAGGTGTAACCCTTTAGAAAAACTAAAATATGGTTTTTTTAATTTAAAAGGTATAACCTTTTAGAAAAACTAAAAAGTAGTTTTTTTAATTCAAAAAACCAACCACCCAAAAAAAACCTACTCATTTGTAAAACCCATTTAAATAAGCCCAGCCCAAAATTAGGCCCAATCTAAAATTCCAAAAAAGAATAATCTGGACTTTACAATTAGGCCCAAGCCCAAGCCCAAATCCTAAACTCAGCTTATTTAAATTTCAATTTGTTTCAACATTTTTTCCATGTGGGACAAATACTTCCCACATTTTGCATACCTATTTAAGCTTATCAAAACACTACACTTTGGAGCTAATTTCTCATTCATCCAGAAACGGATTTCAGAAAGTAAATATACCACGTTCATCTCCTTGCGGAGAGAAACGTGCTTGTCTAGAGATCCGTAAAAAATTAGTAGCGGAATCTATTTCAAATCTCATCCAAAGTTTATGTTTTTAATGCCCCCGTTTCCAACATATTTGACATTTAGGAGTGGAATAAAGCTTCCATTATAAGACATCTATGGACTATTTCTCTAATGAATCATCAGGTATTGGGAAGGATTGGACACTCAAGCACTTGATCAAGCATAAGAACATATGGGAAATCAGCATTCCAAATGATTGTTCTTGATTCTGGAGAAAGCTATTGCAAAACAGACATCTTGCACAAAATTAACAATGGGACTTCAACAATGGTATATTTTTTACAATTGGCTTCCATGTGGCCCTTTTAACCATATATTATCCAACTTTAACCTTAGACAGGGCTAGATTATTAACAAATACATGATAGTTTCTTCTTTACTCTCAAACAACCAATGGAACTGGCCTAGACACCTATCAACCCTAACTCTGATGACCTCATTAAATGGACACCATCACCAACTGTGACCTCCCCAACCTCCCACTCCCAAACCTCAACTCTGATGACCTCATTCAATGGACACCATCACCAACCAAATCATACTCCCTCAAACACACCCTCAAAACCCTATCTCAGCCTCTTCCTACAGCATTTTGGCACAAGCTTGTGTGGTTCCAACATGCAATTCCCAAGAACTCATTTTGCATGTGGCTTGCAATACAGCAAAAGCTACTTACTCAGGATAAGCCCTCTCTCCTCTACGCTATGCAACCAAATGTATGTCCTCTATGTCTAAAAGCTGCAGAGAGTCATGATCATCTTTTTAAAAAATGCAATTACTCAAAGGTACTCTGGAACGACATCCAAGAAAAAAGTGAATTTTATACAAATCAAAGCTCATGGAAAGATTTCCTCATCTGGGCATCTCAAATTGGAAACAAAAGTTAAAATTCAGCAGAATCATCACATGGAAGCTGGTATTAGCTAGCTATGTATATCATATATGGAAGGAGAGAAACAACAGAATGTTTTCAAGCAAAGCAGGACCTCCATTGTAGACACTCAATTTGGTGATCAACACAGTTCGTTCCAAGCTTTTTTCAATCAAGAAATGTGATTGTCCTTATGTTGAGATCATTGCACGAGACTGGAACTTGCCATCTTCCTTATTTGAAACTGCACAATCAAACCCCTTTTGGACATTCAGCACATCAACAGTGAATAACAACTCACCTCACCCGCATCCTTCCACAGCCACTACCAGCACCACAACCACCACCACAGCCCCGACCAACCTCCCACTCTGAGTACTAGAGAGGCTTACATCTTGTTGGTAATAATGTCCTGTCTTTTGTTACAGTTATTTTATGGGTAGGGTTCGCTACACTGGAGCTTTCAATTCCAAGGGCGTGGCCCTTTTTTTGTTGTATTGTTGTATTTTTCTGATGTTTTCTCTTAAGCTCTGTGGAGTTTACTTCGGTTTGAACAGTTTGTGGCCCAAATGTCCGTGGCCTTTTTCTTGTTGGGCTTGGGTTATGCCCCAACTTCTTTTGTAATTACATTTTCTTTTTAAATTAATCTTACTTCCTTACCCAAAAAAAAAAAATTTAATCAATACATGTATTGTTAGAAATATTTTTTTCAAATTAATTATATATTGAAAGGTTAAATTCTCTTTCTTAAAAAAAACATTTCTAGAAAAGACATAACTCTGAGGTTTATGTCTTTCTAAGACATTTCTACCCAAAAAAAAATATATAATTTTACTCGAAGGTTTATGTCTTTCTAAAGTAAATTTCTATTTTAGAAAAGACTAAATTTTAATAGAAGGTTTATGTCATTCTAAAAAGACAATCATGTTGAAAGGTCAGCTTTCAATCTATAAATACTATACTAAAAGTTAACAAGTTTAACCAACTATATATACAATTGCATACTATGACAAACATTGGTGTGAATTATAGAAAGAAAAAAAATGTTTAAATCATATTATCTGTAGTTGATATGATAACATTAGAAAAATAGGTTATCATATTATAAATTGTCCATAACAAACCGTTATCAAGAGATGTTATTACGGTGTTGGATTGTAGATAAAAGTTTGTCACAATAACTATTAACCTTATACACATGATTACTTCATCTCAACAATTTCATTGGTGTTACAGGAAAGAGATTAGTAATTTATTACTGACAGAAGATTATCCACACATATAGACTAATAATATTATTGTTCAGAGATAATTAGTCAGTGAAATATTTAAAATTAAGACATACTTGGTACAGGTTCTCACAGACACATGATAGATTATTTAAACAGAGTTAAGCAGAAAAGCATTCGTGATTTATTAATAGATAAAGTTTTGTCCAGAAAATTGTTCGAGACACTAACAATATTATTGGTGGTCGATTTCACATCCTGAAAACACAAAAATATTTTATGTCGGTAAAATATTTCGACATAAAATATTTCAAATTAAGATATGCACCGAGCGTTAATGTTGAAACCAGGCTAACGTTGACACCAGGGCACTTGAAGACAAATAACACTTTCAAAAATTAGGTTCGGTAGGTTTATATTTGGTTTATATACATGTAAAAACAGAGAGAGTGGTTGGAAAGCATGGTGCATGCATAAAACAAACCTCCTTCCCTTTGAAATTACAATTTTGACATACAATTTTGACATATTGAAAGAAAATGATATATATATATATATATATATATTGTATAGTGCATATACCCCTTGATGTCCGCTAACCCTTGATGTCCGCTAAGCTCCTTCAAGTTTATAAAGTATTCGAATAAGGACCTCCAGTCACATTACCCTCGTGTGATACTTAAGTACCATTCTAGCAATTTATCTTGCATAATTTTAAATATATATATATATTTAAATAAAAAATGACCAAATTGGACATTGTCAAATATACACACTACATTTTATCTCTGTCTCTCTCTTTCCTTTTCTTTTTCTTTTTTCCTGTTAAAAGGGTAAGGTTTTATTAATTAAAAAAAAAAGAAAAAAAAGAAAAAGAGTATGTACAAAGTTTTTCAACCAACTAAACCAACCAAAGGAACATACTCCTTGGTAGAAAGTGGTTCCACAGCAAACTAAAGATTTTCAGCATGCAACAGATAGAATGTGAAAACCAAAGGAACATGATAGAATGTGAACTCCCAGTGTTGTTGCCCGAGGATGAACTCCCAGTGTTGAACTCCCATGTAGTAGTATGAATTGTTTAGAGAGCTATTGCAGCAGGAACCATGATTGACCATGAGCATACGAGCAACTTTGTAAGAAGAGCTGATGCAAAGCTTCCAGTGAAGTAATCCTCCTTATGTCTGTGTAATGACCCGGCCATTTTCCTTCTTTTCCATTCTCTCAAATTTTACAGATAATTTTTTTTTCGTTGATTTCTTTTTGCGTCACTTTTTCACTATCTTTTCATTTTGCGTAAACTATCGGGTCGTGCTCGGATTTGATTCCGACCTTGCATGTATTCATTTTATTTGATTTCTATGTGATCCACATTTTTACTTTTGTAGAAAAACATGCTAGGTGTTTACTTTTGCCCTTAGGGGTATAAATGCAAAGATTCTTTAAAATTGTTCTCTTTACTTGAGGTGTTTTTCGTAATTATCTTTTGATGAAATTTTGTATTTAAGGTTCTTTTAGATGTACCTTTTGAATGGCACTTTATTTTAGACTTTATGAGAAATTCACTTATTTTCACTTTTTATGGACTTTGGTACTTCCGGAAATTTTTTTGGATTTTTATTTCTTTTATTTTGAATTTTTGAACCCCGTTAGTCATCAATCTTGTCCGGGGCATATCTCCTAACTCGGAACTCTATTTTCGACCCCGTTTCGTCTGTTGACCTTATAATTCCATTCCGAAACTTTTTTGTGAACCATTGGCATTTGAGAGCGTCTTCACTGATTTCACTTTTTGGACCCGGACGGGGCCCGTTCGAACAGTTCAGGACACCTTTTTGACCTATTTAGGGTTAGTGGATGAGAGAGAAAACATCTCTAACTTTTTATTTCCTAAAATAACAGCCACTAGCCTCCATTGAAGAACTTTAGAGCTGCTATTTCTCTCTCTTCTTTTCATCTATTTCCTCTTTGAATTTCATTTTGGCGGTTTATACTTTTTTGATCTCTTCAACGACGCAGTCATTTCTATCCAATTGGTTTTCGATTTGCAGCACTTTGATTTTTGGGCTAAGAGTTCAAGCTTGGATTTGGGTCTTGTTTCTTGAAGGTTTCTTGCTTTCCTTGTTGTCCCTACCAAAATCCTGAAGTTTCATCGCATTTTATGATGTTTAATTTGGTGGGATTTAAGATTTTCATCTCAAGTGAGGTAGGGGTGTTTCATGTTTATAATTTTAGTGTTTTGCATGTTTTTGAGATTTATATAACTTATATGCATGTTTAAAATTTTGATCTACAAATAGTTTTTATTTTAATTAAATGATAATTTAATTTCATAGTTGAAGTATACTTAGATTTAATTAAGATTATGATTTTTGAAGAGCTCATGACTTGTAATTCATTATATATTATTTTTGAAATTTTTGGATGACTTTTGAAATCTAGAGATTTTTTAATTAATTAAGTTAATTAAAATTAATTAAGTGTTTTAGTGACTTAATTAGATTTTTGATTTGATATTTGAGTTCTTCATGATATATTGTTTATTATGTGTTAATTTCATATCATTTGGTGATATTTTGCAACATAGAGGAATTAATTAATTTTTATTTCATTAGTTTCCATTTAATGAAATTATGATTTATTTGCACCTTTGATGTTTTCAAGGCTTATTATGTTACATGCCATGGTAGTTAAGGTCTTAGGGCATGTCTTGTGTGTTTTCACATTTTGATTGTGTGTGGTATTTGATTATGTGCATTTAGTATATGTGTATATATTTGTTGTGCACTACTTGTTAATTTTGGAAAGCTTGTAAGGACATAATTTATGTGATGGTTAGGGCTCGGCACTAGTACGGGGAAAAAAGTCTTCCTTAGTCACAAAGTGCGCACTAGGTAGTTCCTTGAGGGTCGTAATTACCCAAAACAACTTGCTCGGTCTTGTGACTGCATGTCCTAATCTTTCCACTTGTTTGATTTCGTATTTTAAAGTCAAGCTGCTTACTTTGTGAATTTATAATTTGTTTTCCTTATATTCGATGTTTCAAGGTTGTTTAATTACTTATTTATTGTGGTTTATGATGTGGATATTCTAATGTACCTTAGAATGATCCCTTAATCTCACATTGGACATAGACGTTAGGTGGCATGAATCACATGGATTGATTTATATCGATCAACTTATAAAGACTTGCAAAACTTTAGGTTATATGCATGTTCCTTTCCTACGAGTAAACTTGTTTATTCACCTTCCTTGTTGGGACATTTTTCAAGTAAAGAACAATGCTTTAGGGATGCACAACATCCTTGAAGCTTGCTTGTGGCTTAATGAGTTAGCGTATTTCCATTCATGCACTTGCTAGCATGATTTTGCTTTATTTTGGATTAAATATGTCAAAACTTGTAACTTCTATTTGAGATATGTAATAAGTACCTAAATACATCATTTGAGACCTATTTGACATGTATGTGATGAAGCCAAGGACTAAAAACCTCATGCTTTACTTTTATGCTATTTGATATTATGCTTAAAAATGTAAAAAAATTGAAAAATGCGAAGTTTTAGCATGACAATTTCAACTTGGATGGTGGGAATTGTGTTTTATCATTTTTCATAGTGTTCTTATATCATATATGACGTGTGGCCATGGGCCAAACAATTCTTTGAATGCATTAATGATAGTTGACTTCAAATTTTGCTTAAAATGGCCATTTTTCATGATTTTGGGGCTTGGACATGTCATATTTTGGATAGTGTATTTTGAGGCCATAGGCCATTGGAATGCATTTTATTATGTATATTACACTTGCTAGAATGATCACATTGCATAAAATATCATAATTGTATGTTATGGTTGATGATAGGTTTCAAATTTCCCATTTTAAGGCATTTTTGAGGTTTAATAGGTCGAATTTTACATTGGGCATAATTGGGGGTCATGGACCATTCCTACACACTTCAAAACACTTATTACGCTTGCATGCACAATCCTTTTAGCCCACAACTTCATATTTAGTCATTTGAACACTTGGTTGTTCTCATTTTTACATTTTTCGCAAAATCTAGTTTAGGGCCATTTTGGGAATTTTTCTTCAAAAATAAATTCTGATTTTGATATAGTAACTTAGAAAATGTGATTTTAGGGGGGGTTTCTTTACAACATTTTTTCAAAAAATATCGTCTCGGTCTCGAAAACCCCGCGTCAAATCTGATTTTCTAATGCACGCACTTCTTCAAAAAAAAAAAGTTTGATCTCAAGGGTATTTTAGGCATTTCAAGTCAAAAATAAAATTTTCTTTCAATATGGTCAGCTTGGAAAAATTATTTTAAGGGGGGATTCTTTTTCGTGTTTTTCCAAAAAAGGTCGTTTCGAGGTCCAAAATCACGTTTGAGTCTGAATTTTCTAGGCACATAGTAGGTGGCAGCAGCCCCTTTGGCCGCCGCGACGTCGATTTTTCGTTAGGTTTTTTCTCCCTCGTCCGAACTCCATTTTGGGTGAACTTTTTTTTAACTTCGTTAATTTTTTGCCGTCTATCCAATGGTGTGCTTGATAGCACCTATAACTTTCTAAAAATTATGATTTTACCCCCAAGGCTAAACTTGTCCCTTTTTAAAACTTCGTTTCCACATTTTGTTTCTTTTATGTTCCGTGGCTTCGTGGGAAACCATGTTTGTGTCTTAGGGATGACATATATCACTTGAGACTTTGTTTGCATGTGAAATGACCATTTTGCCCTTGGGGACATACTTAGTTTATTTTCACCTTTTTGTTTTCGCATTTGTTTTTGTTTTCGCTTCCGCATTCCGAATCCATTGTCGGGTCAACTTACGGGTCACATTGACTATCCAGGTTTGTGAAAATTTGGAACGTTATAGTCTGTGTTGTGCTTTAGCTTAAGAGAGGCAAATCTTGCTCTGATGTAACCTTTGATGAGGTGTATAGCTTTAGTAGTTGGGGAAGATTTATTCCTAAATACTCTTGCATTTCTCTCTTGCCAAATGAAATAAATTGCACTTGAAAGTAACAGCTTGTGGGTAGTGAAGTGATCTTGTTTCCATGTTGTAGCACACCAAGCAATCAAGTCCTTCCAACTGTCAGGTTTTATGTAAAAGCCAGCTGCATGCTGGATAAATTCCCAAATTTTGGAGCTGTATTGATATTTGAAGAAGATATGGTCCACTGATTCCTCTTGTGCAAGGCAAAGGTAGCATGCATTGGTGTAGTGTTTCTTCATCACTGGCTTGGTGTCAAGGGTGGCAAGTCTCTCTTTAAGTGCCAGCCAAACAGTACAACCATGTTTTGGGATGTAGTGTTTGAACCATATAAGGTGATCCCAGGCAAAAACCAGTGAGGGAAGAGTGAAATACTCCATGGGGAGCCTATGAGACTAGTCATTGGGTGTACTTGGAAGCCATTTTACTTTTTTTGAGGCAGATGAAGGGGATATTTTGCATCTGTGAAGTGGAGGCTTGGCTTTGGAAAAAAGGAATTTGTTTGAGTGAGCTTGGAATTTCCCACTAATTGTTGGAAATTAGACTATCAACTGTGACTCTAGAGTCCAGTTAAAGAATTTCCACATCAGAGAGACCAAGCTGGAGTGTGATGGGTTTATTAGGCAACCAGTAGTCCATCCACATGTTTATGCTATTTCCAGCCCCTAATCTGCACCTCACAAGACCCTTTGCCATCCCTCTCAACTTAAGAAGCCTCCTCCAAAATCCTGAACTCAGTGATGAAGCTTTGACAATCCAAATACATTTATTCTTGATAAGATACCAGTAAGTCCATGCCATCCATAGACTGTCTTTTCTAGAGTAAAGCCTCCAAAGGTAATTTAGACTTGAAACTCTGTTGGTGAGGTCAAGGCATGAAACCCCAGTCCTCCACAATTTTTTGGTCTGCAAATGGCACTCCAAGCTATCTTAGCTCCTGTTTTCCTAAGCTCATGCCAGACCAGTAGAATGATCTCAGGATTTGATTAATTTGTTCAATCACTCCCAAAAGGAAAACAAATGCATGTGACCAGTAAGTTTGAATTGAGTAAAGCACAGTCTTGATCAAAACAGCCCTTACTACATATAAAATAAATCTTGTTGTCCACACGTTAACTCTAGCTGTAATTCTTTGGACAAGTGTTTGACAATTTGTTGCATTGATGGCTGAAGAAGACAGTGGCAGCCCTAAATATGTGATTGGTAGCACCCAATGTCAAACTGAAGTAATGATGCAATGTTTGCCTTTGTGAGGTTATTTACACCTGAGAAGAAGACTTGACTTTTGGAGTAATTGATGGATAGGCCAGAAGCTAGGAGGAAGCTATTAAGTGCAGTATTCAAGACTTCAACAAAGGCTAAATCTCCATGGGAGAACAATATGATATTATCTGCAAATGCTAGGTGGGATATGGATAACTTACTGCATCCCCAGTGGTATTTGAAGCAAGAACTTTGGGAAATGGCTTGGTTGAGGGACAAGGTTAAGACTTTCATTGCAAGTACAAAGAGCTGTGGTGATATAGGATCACCATGCCTTATTTCTCTCTTTCCTTTGAAGAATCAACATAGTTGTCCATTGAGTGAGATGGAGTAGAAGGGGGTGGTAACGCATTATGCAATCCAGTTGATAAATTGGTTTAGAAAACCAAACAAGGAAAGAACATCCAAAATGAATTGACAGTAAATTGTGTCAAAAGTTTTCCTAAGGTTAATCTTAAGGGTACAACAATGGGAGTAAGATGATTTGTGATAGCCATTGAGGAGCTCATGAGCAAGTAAAATGTTGTCTGTGATGTGCCTATTCTTGATGAAAGCTGTTTGTGTGGGGCTGATGATTGAAGGTAAAACTAAGCTAAGTTTGAAAGCAATGAGTTTGGAGATACATTTGTAGATTAGGTTACAACATGAAATTGGTCTATAGTCACTGACAGAGGTAGGGTTGGGTACTTTGGATACAAGGGCAATGTAAGCACAATTAATCTCAAAATGCATTTTTCCAGAAACAAAAAAATCCTTAATTGCAGCTGTGATATCCTGGCCTATGATAGGCCCAGCATATGTGAGAAAACAAGAATTAAAGCCATCTAGACCAGGGTTTTTGTAAGGATTGAAGGAAAAATGCATTTCTGAATCTCTATGTCTGTGGGGATATCTGTAAGTGATGGCAGTAGGTTAGTAGGAACAGACTTGGAGATTAAGTGTGAAAATGAAGACATACTGGGATAATTGGTGTAGCTTTGTCCTAATAGATTCTAAAAGTGACTTATGAAAGCATTATGTACATCTAAACCTTGTAGAATATCCCCATTTGAGTCTTCAATGTTAACAATCTTTCTTTTGTTGACCTTGAATGAAAAACACTTCATGAAGTATGTTGTGTTTTAGTCTCCCACTTTAAGCCAATGGATTTGGGCTTTTTGTTTGAAAAACATTTCTTCAGCTAAGCACAAGTCAACAAACTTCTTTACAATATCCCTCTCTTTTGATCTACACATGTCAGTAGTAGGATTGTGGCCAAGGTTTTTCCGGCACTGGGATAATTCATCTCTACAGGCTGCTACATTCAAAGAGATGTCACAAAATTCAGCCTTATTCAATTGTCTCAAAGGTTGTTTGAGTGCCCTTAATCTTTGGACAACATTGAACATTTTTGTCCCTGGAACATGCTTTTGCCAACCTTGATGAACAATATCAATAAATTTTTCACTAGCAGCCCAGAAGTTAAAAAATCTGAAAGGCAGGTTCCTCTTTAGAAAAGCTAATCTAAGCTTGATAATTATTGTGGAATGATCAGAGATGCCATGGGGTAAGAATTCAACAACTGATTGTGTGAACCTACTCGTCCAAACATAGTTGACTGAGACTCTATCCAACTTTTTTGAGATAATGGCTGATCTAAAGCTACTGTTAGTCCAAGTGAAAAAAATTCCTGAATATCTCAGGTCCTCAAGCTCATTCTTAAAAAGGCAGTTTTTGAAGTCCACCATTCCTTGAGTCGATCTAGGTGCCCCTCCAAAAGCTTCATTGACATTGAAGATGACATTAAAATCACCCAAAAGTATCTATGGAACATCAGGTTCATTTTGTTGTATGAGGCTTCTCCAAAGTGGCAGCCTTTTAGTGCTTATGTTTGCAGCATACACAAAAAAGACCAAACATCTCAACTTTAGGTCATTGATCCAAACAGCACAATTGAGAACTTGGCTATTTTCAGACATCACCATTAGAGAGAGTACCGATGGATTCCACAAAACCTAAACCCTGCCCATCACTGATAAAATATAATTACATTTGATACTCCAATTAGGAGCAATAGCCTTATGGATATAGTCCATGTTGTGAGGGTTTACTTTAGTTTCCAAGACAGTAATTAAGCTAAGTCCAGTATCCTTAATCAAGTTTTAACCTCTACTTGCTTGGGGTGAGAGTTCACCCCCTAATGTTCCATGCTACCCAATTCATTGGGAAGTGCTGGTGAGGTTGCACAATCCCCTAAACCCTTTGAGGGTAGACACATTACTCAACTTTTGTTTTGTAAGCTTTGTTTTCTTGCCAATCTTGAAATGTTTACCTAGGAAGGGCTTTCTGGATCTCAGTGCTTTGTTGACAATTGGTGAGTAAGTTGAATCATAGGATTCCTAGATTGAAGTTTATTCCCCCTCAAAGTCCAAATTCCTGCCACAAGAATCCTCATCTTCCTAAACTATGTTGTCAACCTTTTACAGTGCAGTAAAATTATTGGAGGTGGGGATTGGTTTTGAGCAAGGTGTGATACCAGGTTCTGTGGGTAAGCAATGACCTGAAAGGCCCACAACAAGTTCCACTGCCTTGAAATTCATGGCTTGTGAGTTTCCCACATGAGATGGACTACCCAGCATAACATTTGGTCTGGCTTCTAAAACCTCTGTTGGTGGAGGTGAGTAAGTAGTGACTGATGCCACTATAGGTACAGAATTTGAGGAGGAAGCTATGCTCATGTGTTTGCCAATAGTTAATTAGTCAAAGGGGTTTGGGATTGGAGTGCAAGTTGGCTGAGTCTTCTTTAACTTTTTTGTGATGGTTCTCCATTCAGATTCCTTAGGTTCTTTAGAATTGACAGTGGGGTTTCTTATAACAAGCTCACAGTTGGCTTGAGGAGCATAACATTGGGTAATTATATGACCAAAGAAGTGGCATTGAGTACAGACAGTTGGTTTCCATTGATAAACAACTTTGATTTCTTCCAATTTGTTCTCTTTAGTTCTCACATGGAATGATTTTGGTAGTGGTGAACGTGGGTTGATCTCAATGCACAACATGGCATAGTCAATTCTATTGGTATTTTGGGTATTAGCATTAGCAAAAAATGTTTGCCAATTACACTTGCAATGTAGATTAACCCTTTGGGAGACCAGTATTCCAAGGGTACATTGAAAAACTTGACCCATATAGATGTTATCTTAGATGATTCAGGAGCAATTGATGTAGTTTCAGTGTGCCATTGCCTGCCACCAAGGACATCTTTACAGTTATCAATGGACACAAATTTGAATAAGTATGTGCCAGCCCTGTTGACAATAACTTTTTGGAGTCATCTGGCATCCTATATCCTATGAGCAATGCTAAAGATGAGCTTAAAAGGCATTTTCTTATTGAATTTTCCAATTAGGCATTCCCTCCAGAAACTGTTGCCTTCATCACAGATATTTTCTAGTGGTTCAACAACCAGACTAGCCTCATGGATTTTGGGTTCAAAGTATTCAACATTCCATTTTCCATTTAGTGTTTTGGCCACTGAAGCCCAACTATCAGCATTTGCATCTTCTTGTTGTTTCGAAGCTATGTAGAGGGGTGTTGTGTTAAGACTTTTATTTGGATTGTTGGTGTGTGGGGTATTCTGGTTGTGATTGAATAAGAAAGTTGGAGAATCAGTTGGATTTGGGTTAGACAAACCTTGGGGAATATGTTCCGGAATCTGGTTGATGTTGACACAAGGGGGTTGGTAAGAAACTATGGGTAAAAATTAGTGGGGGGGTTAAAGTTACAGGCATGATTTCAGGAACGTTTACTTTATCATTCAAATTTGAATCTTTGAGTGCAAATCTAGGATTTTCTTCCATCATCACAGGTGGAGGCGTGTGTGAATCACCATGGCTATCACAGTGGTCAACAGGGGATTGAGGCGATGTGGGCAAATTCTTGGGTACATTGTCAGCAAGTTGGGTTGAGTATGCCATTTCTTCTCTCAGTTTAGTTGATTGCTGGAGGGAGTTAAGAGTTTTGAGCTTATCAGTGGCCACTGCAAACTCTCTTTCTTTCTCCATGAGCAAACTCTTAAGGTGAGCTACCTCTTTGATGAGGTCAAACTTTGAGGCATCCATGATGGCCGATCAATGCCTTCTGGTAGGAGAACCACATCACTGACCTTAAGCCCATTTGGGTTAAGAAATCTGTCATTTGCAGTGCAAGCCTAACATTTTCCTTTGTAAAACTCGTTACTGAAGGGGTACATGGCAAATAATGGTCAGGGGAATTTCCCTTAATTGGCTTTGTGTGCTTGGATGGAGGTGGAGATAAGGGAGGTGTGGGTTGTTTCCTTGGGAGTTTTGGTGGCAAGGGAGGTTTGGGTGGTGGGGGAGGCTTTTTGAAACAGAGAGTGGTGGTGGTGTGGGCTTAGTTAGTGGGGGATGTTTGGTTGGAGTGGGTGATTTTTTATGTGAGTTGGAAGGAGTGGAATTGGGTTTGTTTTAAAGGGATGACTGGAATGGTGGTTTCAGGTGGTTTGGTGGCCGGCAATGAGGAGGTGGGTTAGGAGGTTTCACGCTCATGCTTATTACTTGATTACATACTATTATTGTCATACACTACTAACATATGGTCCACCTTGGTATTGACTACTGCTTTAAAACTTCTATCTCTGTCTCTCTTTACTATTTACATAACTAATAGATTAGATATATATATATATATATATATATATATATATATATATATATATATATATATATATATGCAAGTTATTTAATTTAACTAATATACAAGTCCATTAAATTTTCATATCTTTACAAGGATTCTTTTGGGTTCCTTAGATTTTATTGGTAGTTGATATTTGATTGTTTATTAATGATACGTATGTATATATATATATATTTATTTATTTCTTGATATTCTCATTTATTCTTTTACCTTTTCAGAATTAAAAAGGGAGATATTGTTAGGAATATATATATATTAACTCCCCCAACCTATTTCATGTATATGGTTGTTGTTGAGAGTAAAATATCTCATTCATTATACACAACTAAAAGCATTATTATCACATCATCACACAAATTTGGAAGCATTAATATCATTACATCATCACACAAACATATATAGATATAGCAATCTTACATACCCATGCACAATACAATATTTTACATGGCTCACCCAACTCTATGGATACGTCCATCGAGAGATATTTCACTATTATAAATCAAAGAAGATAATATACAACTAGATATCAAAACCTCACTCTCACTCGTCGTCTATTTCTTACTTACTCATCATCTCTTTTAAGGGTACATCTCTATACTTGTGAATTACATATATTATTCTCTCCTCTCACAACATTCACCCTTAAACCCTTAAATCTTTTCTCATTATCTCTATTTCTTCAGTTATAAACCTTTCTCTATTTATAAAGTATTCAAACACAATTCCTTAATTATTAGACAAGAATCATAGCACTTGTCTACCAAAGAGTTTCAATCTCCATCACAATTATATAGAAACTTTATAGAGCATTAGTGCTAGCTGTTTGAATCCTTAAAATTTATATTATAAAGTAAAGAAACATAAAAAAAAATAAGAAAGAATATGATCTAGAGTAACTAACGTAGATTTAGGTATTTGAAAGTCTCGTAGCTTTGTCATAAGATCCCAAATGAATTTATAGTAGTAATTAAAATTCAGCATCCCCGTCACTTTATAAAACCACACGAACTAGTCCTATAGCTTACGCACCCTTACGCACCCATAAAATCTTATTCCATCATTATGTATATGAAGCCTTCAAAACGATTCTAACTCAATAATGATAGGATTCTTTCAAAGGCCTCGTATACAAGAAACAATAAGTTCTTCACAAACACGGATGTGTGAAGGGTCCCACTGAAATTTTTTATTATTGCATTTTACACCCCTAAAATTATACTTTTTTGCATTTATATCTATAAAATTTTGACATTGCCCCTACTGAAATTAAAAAAAAAAAAGAAAAAGAAAACCCATCTATATAAATTTATCCCCCACGTATGAATTCTTAGATTTGTCCTTAGTTCTTGAGCTTACAGATGATGACATGTTGTCAACAAGAGAGGGACCAAGCTTGAGAGGATGAAAATTGAGATAGAGAAAAAGAGAGAGGAGGGGAGAGGTTGAGCTAAAAATAAAAATAAAAGAGGGGGTTTAAAATGTGGAAATTAATATAACAATTGCAATAGAGACATTTTTGACATGTTAGAACGGCAAAAATGAAATAATATAAATATTTTATGTCACATGTCACCGAAAAGTGGTTTGGGGGAGTGTTTCCTAATTTTTTTTAAGAAAAAGTTCTAACACGGCACAAATTAAAAAGTAAAGGATAATCAGGCGTAAATGTTATACTAGAGTGGTGTTTTGTATATTTAACTCACTTTAAGCGAAATAAATTAAAGATGTCAATGTCTCAAAATATACGTGGAGAGGGGGGAATTAATCAATACTTAATTATATTATTGAAACAACATTGTTTAATTGATTCAAATGATAATAAGTTTGATGTTGGAAATTATTAATTACTTTTTTTTTTTCATTTCCAAATAGTGCACATCTTGACTGGGTCCTTGGCACGCGGAGTCCTTTCCTGTTTTTCTTCTAAACTACGTGTTTACTTGCACGTTCGCCGACTTCGTTATCAATTCTGTGTGGTGTCATTAGTGTTCCTTGACTTTCCCTTGACTTTCAATTCTTCTAACCTTTTATTACGACTACAATATATATCTCCTTCTTCTCCGTAGTCTGTGTATATGTACACGCACGTAGTATATAGTATATTTATTATAGGTCTCGTATACTTTTTTATGGGTCGGCGACTCGGTGGAGGAGGTCAGCTTTTCATATATATATATATATATATATATATATATATGAAATAATATGAGTGAGAAAGAAACTATAGAGAAATTGTAAGAGACTTTGATTGGAGGCATGTGTCAAATCCATCTCTGACTCGACAGTCTCGGTCTCATCTCATCCCTGTTACTTAATTACACGCTCTTATACAAATTACTATATGAATCGTTTTGGGGTTACCAAAGTCGATGATATTGAGTAAAAAAACAATAAAAAAAAAAAAACTGATATGGCATGCCTTTACCATTCTCACCGTCCGATGCTCACACAATGCTCACACGCTTTATTAAGATATCAAAAAGTTAATGGTGGGCTACAAATAGTTAGGTGCATATAACCAAACACTTTTAGCAGGGATCAACTGATAGTTTGAAATAAAATAAATTTGTGAAATTAATTAATTAATAGATATATATATATATTCTTAAATGATTATAGAATTGAAAAAAAAAGTACCATCTTTCAATTTTAATATATATTCTTAAATGACTATAAACAAAAAGAGTATTTCATACATAATTCACTCAATGAATACATCGAATAGAATGAGAAGAAGTAAAAGAAAAAATTAAATTACATTTGGCTTTCCTACCTTCCTCTTATAATGTAATTTTTTTAAAGTAATGAAACAAAAAAAGGAATAATAAAACTGAGATATGGAGCTTGTGTTTATCAGTTTATTTTTTAAAGTAAAGGGAAAAAAAAAAATTAGAAATAATGCTTATATTTATCCACTCATTTCCTTATCTATAAAAAATAATAATAAAAGTGAGACATGGAGTTTGTGTTTATCCTTTTAAATTTATTTCGGCGCACAATTATAAACCAATAATTGTCAGACCTAAAAATCTAGAGAGATTTTATTCATTAATTAAAATTTTATTCTTATCTAATACATTTAAGAATCAATCACATGTTAATCTTTTTAATCGTTTATTCTTCATATAACTAACTATAATAATTATCAGATCTAATAATTTAATCGAAAATGTTAGTAAAGAAATTTCTACTAATTAAAATTTTGACTTTATTGATTACATTACGAGACGGTGTTAATAATTAATTATTTTTTTCAAAAAGTAATATCGGTGCATGCAATATTTATATAACAGATGGACTGATTCCACAAGCTCCATGTAGGGTAATATGGTACGTGACATAGTATGTGGACAGAGATACATTTCCTTAGAACCGCGTGGAAGCTAGTTTCCTGGCAACCTCAGTGTCCAAGTTTTTTCTCATTTCACTCGGTTTGCTTTCTTCTTCTTCTTCTTCTTTTTTTTCCCCCTATTTCACACATTAAACCCTCCTCTTTATAAATAGGGGAAACCAAGCAATACGGTGAAATGAACCAAACACAGATAGATAAATTGCGCACACACAGAGAGAGAGAGAGAGAGAGAGAGAGAGAGAGTGAAAATTAAAAGAGAGAGAGGTTTCAATGGAGTCAATGGACTATCTGCCACCGGGTTTTAGGTTTTACCCAACCGAAGAAGAACTGGTTTCCTTCTATCTGCATAACAAGTTAGAAGGGAGCAGACCAGACCTGGACCTGGTTATGCCTGTCATCGATATTTATGAGTTCAATCCATGGGACCTCCCTCGTTAGTATTCTCATTCATTATTTTTCTTTCTCATCATCATATACACATATATATACACGCTCTCCTCTAAGCTATGCAACCAAATTAATGAGAAAAATTAATCTCAGAATATGAAATCCTGAGATTAATTTTTCTTTCTATTAATTCATATTATTGAATATTGAAGCGTAAGATTGACAAAAAAAAAAAAAAAAAAAAAAAAAAAAAAAAAAAAAAAACAGAAGAAGAAGAAGAAGAAGAAGATGCAAAAAATATGAGTAGAAGGACTAGAATTAATGAAATGTGATGAAATTAGCTAATATGTATATATATATATAGGTTTTGATATAGTATATATTTGTTTGTGGAAGCAGAATTTGCAGGAACGTTGACTCGTGGAGACCATGAACAGTGGTTTTTCTTTAATCCGATTCAAGCGAAAGAGGCGCATGGAGGAAGACCGAACCGGCTCACCACTTGTGGTTACTGGAAAGCAACTGGCACGCCCGGTCATGTCTACTCTTCTCAAAACCGAGTTATTGGTATGAAGAGAACCATGGTTTTCTACCAAGGAAGAGCTCCAACTGGAACAAAAACTGAATGGAAGATGAATGAGTATAAAGCCATTCAAGAAGTAGCTTCCTCATCTACTACAATTCCAAGGGTAAGATTGACTTATACACCATATATATATATATATTTAGAACCTATATGTATTTTGTACCTTATGTATCTAAAAGTACTCTCTCTTCTATCTCTCTCAAAGTGGAGGTTGAGGTTCAAATTTTTCATGGAAATAAAATTAATGTGTGAGTTATAACTTATTTGTTAGGACCAAAAAAGAAATTAATTAGATTATTTTATATGTCAGCGTTAAAGATTGATTTCCTTTCACATGCATGTTTTCATTTAGGATCTTTTGTAATACAAAGTTCTAAATAGAGGATTAATTTGAAAACTATATTATGAATTGTGAATAGACCAAATAGAGTTCAAGTTTTTAAGAAGCTGGTACATCTCATCATGGCCAACATGTGATAATAAAAATTTGTTTTAGATTAACCCTAATATATATATATATATATATTTCACCCTAAGTCCATAACTAGGCCTCATGTCTGCAAGCACATGCACACACATATGTTAGCTTAGGTAAGATCACACTTCACAAAAATGATATCGATGAGAATTACGAGAAGCAATATAAAATGCAATCACAAATTTTTATCTTATATATTGTTTTGTTTTTGATATATCCTCTTGTGTTTATGCAGTTAAGACAAGAATTTAGTTTGTGCCGAGTGTATATCAAATCAAAATGCCTGCGATCATTTGACAGACGACCACCAGCAGAAGTGGCTGATGGTGAGGCAACGGCAGTTCAGCAAGTTAACCGCGGTGATCATGCCGGAGCAGCAGCATCTGATCATCAGAATCTAAATCCAGTTATGATGGATATTGGAACAAGCTCACCACAGAGCTCGTCCTCAGACGACCTACCTATTAATCCTTCTCAAGGTACAGATAGTGATTTCATGGAATCCTCAGGACACCAAACTAATATTTCTCAAACTGGGGAGAGTTTTCGGAATTTGGATGTGGCTAATGGCAATGGAGCTAATCCTTCTGAAACTACTACGCAGGGTGGTCACAACTTGGATGTGGCCAATGGCAATGGAGCTAATCCTTCTCAAACCACGACGACAGCTGCCAACTTAGACATGGATAATGGCAATGGTGCCGTGTGGGATTGGGAACGAGTGAATTGGTTTTAAAAGAAGGATCAGAAATCAGAATGGATGGGAGTCCACAAGGTTTAACCTGCAAGAAAATAAATATAGTAGTGTTTTTTTTTTTTTTTTGTATAAATAATGTAGTTACCTATGTAAGTTTATAAATAAAGTAGTTATCAATGGAGAGAAGCCAAGAATCCTACCGACATGGAAAATGTATGAGCATGAAGTTTTGTAAAATATAAATTATCCTGTACTTAATATATATGTGTACGTGTGTGTGTGTGTGTGGAATTCAGTTCTTTGTTCTTCTTATTCTTCTTCTTCTCTTGCCATTTGTTGTTGAGAATAGATAAAGGATTTAGATTAGCATCAATTTTGCTCACGAATATTAAGCCTTGGCATTTTATTGGCATCAATTTTACATCACAGAACGCTTGAAGAGTTCACAAGCTCTTTAATTACAAAATATTTTACATCGTCTGCTCGTCCAATAATTTATTTTAATGCAACCCACATTATTTTTCAAGGCGATCGACCAGAAGATTGAAGAGTCTTTAATCAAATTATTTTTCAATCGGTTGTTAAAGAACATTGTGGAAGAGTAGTTCCGAGTTCTAATAGATTATTGAAACCTCTAGTCGAGTCGAGGTCAACTCTGAACCATTTCTTTTAGTAAGGGTACGTAATTTAATTTATTTTTATATATATTTTATGCTGACACGATAGAGATTAAAATAACTCATGCTATTTCTTGGGACAACTAAGATATCAACCATTGAAATAAATAAATATTATGATTATATAACACAATCCCAGTAACATTGTCATTCTTACAAAAAAAAAAAAAAAATTATTAACTAAACCTTTAGTTTGAAAATTCCAATGGATAATGGGAGAGATTTCATCTACTCGGTTGAACAAAGTATGGTTGATATGTTCTAACTTATAATTACGAATAGATATATATATATAGGTAGGGAACAATATTGAGAATTTCAACTGAATTAAGATTTTGCAATGTGAAACAATGGAACAACTAATCTCAATTATATAAACTAGAAGAAATTAGAAGGGCCATATATTTATCATCTCTGTTGTTATTGATGCTATTTGCAAGAAATTATAAAATAGCTTCTTGTTGTAATTGAAAACATTTGTACTCAGAGTGATTGAGACTATATTTTTAACGTGTATTTCTTATTTATAACACATAAAAGTTAAATGATTATATTTCTTTTTCTTTTCTTTTTAATTAAAATACATAAACCTTCGATAAAGTTATGTTAGTAGAAAGTCACATTTTCAAATTAAAACCAAATGGATATATAACATTTTAGAAATTAAAATAACAGAAAATATATAAAACAATCGTGGCAATAAGTTTCGCGTGTAGTACTTCGTTTCTTACGGTTTGTCAAGTCTTTTACTAAACATTTCTTAGAAGTTTTCTTGGCATTTCCTACGTTGTAATCTTTTACTTTTGGCCTCATTGAATAAGAGAAAATGTCCTTGGAACATGGTTGGATCAAACACGGCTCTTAAATTGAAACCAACCACATCCACATGGTTGGTATTGTGACTCAAATGATGACCGACCCAAGAGAGAAACTTTGGTATAAATGACACCCGTTTTCGTTTCGTTTGTTTTGAGTAAAATATATTTTTTTCAGGTAAAATATTTTTTTTTAGTGTTTGATAAAAGTTTATGTTGAGATTGAAGTCGAATTCAACAAACAGAACATGTAAAATAACCTGTCAAAAATTAATGAATAAGTTAATTTTATTAAATTTTAATTTTTTTTTTTCTTAAATATTTTACTACAATCAAACACTAAAAAATAAAAAAATATTTTAAGTCCAAACAAACTGAGCCTATCCATTTCATTTTAGTGACATGATAAATGTCAAGTAATCAAGTATTAGATTGACCTCATATATTGATATAATATTTTTTTGGGGTTTTTTTGGTAAGTAAGATTTAATTATTTAATGATATCAAATTTGCTTGGTATCAACACACAATGACGTTTTTTTATAAAGGGAATAAAAAGATTAAAATAAAATAAAAAATTGCCCCTTGGCCCTTCAGAGTTTTGACGCTTGCAATGTTGATTATCAACTCTGACACGTGGATGTCCAAGAAAAATAAAAAAGCAGCTGTGAGAAGTAAGATATGTTCAGCTAGCTAGTCCATGAAAGCCAATACAGGCTACATAAATTAATTAATAGAAAATCTGACTAATAATACAAACTAATATATTTTCTCACATCCACTGACTACAATAGTTTGTAATGTTTCAGGTAAAACAAAATTTATTCTGGTCTTCGCCGAAATTTGACAGAAAAATAGAACAGATTATATATATATATATATATATATATATATATATATATATATATATATATATTATAAATAGGTTTATATAATACAGGCTAGTTCTTTTTTAATTCTCTAGTGCTAGTAGTTACATAAATTAAGTAATAGAAAATCAGATTTATAATACAAACTAATATATTTTCTCACATCCCTGACTGCGATAGTTTGTAACTTTGTAATGTTTCAGGTAAAACAAAATTTATTCTGGTCTTCGCAGAAATTTGACAGAAAAATAGAACAGATTATATATATATATATATATATATATAATACACGCTAGTTTGTAGTACTAGGTCAATGTTTAGCATGTTTAGCCTTTACAGTTAAAATGCATGCATAGAAAATTGGCCTTCAAGAGTAAATTTGTGCAAATTGCTGATTGTTAATAATGTTTTGTTTCTGATAACTAATAATAATAATAATAATAATAATATTGTGTTTGGAAGTATTAAATTAACGTCTAAAAATTAGAATTTGAAAAAAATTAGTTAAAAATTTCAACTAATTTATACTTCTAAGACGTCCATTCAGCACTACCAATAATAATATAAGAGTTTTTGGTTTTATATATTATAACTTCATCTAGTAATTATAGCTTCTTCTTTTTTCGGAAAATTACTAATTATAGCTTTCATTTCTGTGATGGTATGTAATGTGATAAACCTCCTTTGTTAATGGTAATTCTTTCATAAACCTTAAAAGATCCGAATCAACACTGTAGAGATATCTTGGGCTTATTTGATTCAATTTTTAAAAACATTTCTCACGAACTCACAAAACTATTTTCATAGAAGTATAAAAGATTGAAAACAAATCAATTTTTTTTTAAACATGGTGCATTTAGTATCGTTACAAACACAGCCCACATCATAGTTAGCCCAAAGCTAAACCAAAAAGGGCCCAGACATGGCCCAAAGGCCAACAAGGCTTAGGAACCAAAAACAGTTACAAGACTGTTACAATAATTCTCGCATCCGGTGATCATGGAGAAGGACTCCCACTTCCGTCGACGGCTGTCAACTTAACCTATCGTCCAGAGGCTTCTGCGGTGGCCGGATTGTGGAATCGGGTAACTCCCATTCATCTGCAACTCTGTGGGGGATGGTTGTCATGGCAGAATTGGAAGAGAGGAGTTTGGTTCTTACTGATTGTAGTGTCAGATGAAGAACTGAATTGTCAGATAAGGACTTCCTCTTGAAAATCTGACGATTACGCTCGATCTAAATGTTGTAGACTAGAGAAGCGAGACACATTTTTGAGATGGATTTGCTAAAGACACCATGGTTCCCATTCCAATGGTGAGATGCCCAAGTTATCAAATCATTCCAGGTGGAGGGTTGAATATTATATGCCCATAAGGGTTTGGAAAAGGAGCACTTGAAAAATAAGTGATCGTGAGATTCTGGTTCCTTTGAGCAGAGAGGGCATAATGTGGCATTGATATGTGCAGTGCATCTCCTATTTAGTGTTGGAAGTTCGTTCTGAATGGCCACCCAGAGAGTGAAGTTATGCATTGGAATAAAGGGATTGGATCATATCAAATTTGTCCAAGGTAGGGAGGGAGTTTGGTGGAACTGGTATTTCAAAGTTAAAGCAATTGAGAAGTTGCCTGATGGGGATGGACTCTAAATGAACTTGTTTTCCCTATCCTGGTTGGGGATTGGAAGAGAGGAAAATCACTGCAATTGGGGAAGGAGATCAATTATAGCACTTGGGAAAGTCCATGTAGAAGCTGTGATGAATGAGCAAAGCTTTGTCTTGTTGTCATGTCCTGACTCAGTAATTTGTTGTGGGGAAACAAGTAGGTGAAGAGGCCCAAGATGGCTCTAATTATCAAACCAAAAATTTGTGATTCTTCCATCACCAATTTTCAGATTGATAAGAGGCTTGATTTTCTCCCTGAGGCTCAGAATCTTCCTCCAACTCCAAGAACACTGCCCAGGTATTTTCACCTCCCAAATACTTCTTCCTTTAAGTAAGTAGGTTTCAATCTATTGAACCAATAACATTTCTTTTAAACTGTTAATTCTCCAAAAGTGTTTCATGATGGCAATTTCATTCCAAAAAGCTAGGTTAGGCAGCCCAAGACCTCCCAACCTCTTAGGAAGACAACATTTCTCCCAAATAACTTTCCCACCAATCTTTTTGAAAGCTGGGCCAGTCCATAAGAAGGATCTGAAAATGACCTCTAATTCATGAATGATGCTCATTGGAAGAACAAATTTCGAACTCCAATACATCTGTGTTGAAAAGAGCACAGCCTTGATCAGTTGAAGTCTACCTGCAAAAGAAAGGTTTTTGCTTGTCCAGTGACTGATTCTTGAGGTTATTTTGTTAATCAATACGCTGCAATCAAAAGCCTTCAGCATGGTAGTTATAAGAGGGACACCAAGGTATTTAATTGGCAGATCAACCTTTTGGAAACCAAAGAGATCAAGAATGTCAGCCTCTAAATTGATAGGAATTCCAGTAAGGAAAATGTTGCTTTTCCCATGGTTAATTTGTAGGCCAGAGATGGAAGAAAATGTTTCTAGGCAATACTTGATGGTTTGAAGAGATTGGATATTTCCATGAGAAAAAAGCATGAGATCATCTGCAAAGATTAGGTAGGTAAGGTTAAGTTTTTTGCATCTCCAATGGTGCTTGAATGGCTTTTCTTTGGTGATTTTAGTGACAATGAGGGAAAAGACTTACATGACTATGACAAAAAGGAAAGGTGAAAGGGGGTCTCCTTGGCTAAGTCCCTTGATACTCTTGAAGTGGCCATTGAGTTCCCCATTGATGGAAATAGAAAATGATGGTGTTGATACACAAATGTCAATCCATTGCAGGAATGTAGGAGGAAATCCAAAAAGTTTGAGAGAGTCCACTAGGAATTCCCAGGAGACAGTATCAAAAGCCTTCCTTAAATCAATCTTGAGTGCACATTTAGGGG